CTCTGCCGGTCTTTGGCATTGTGATTCCTCCTCCGGAGGAGAGAGAGAGTGTGTGTGTGCCTCGCTGAGTAAACACCCACCACATGTTCCGGCGGCTGCAGATATTTTGCCAAGAGACAGCCTGCCAACCAACCCCCGATGGAAAATGTTCACCCACGAACACCAACTATAGTGCATTTTGACAAATTTTTATAATATAATCACGTACAATGCACGTGTCGTGAAACTTTTAATTTATTCCACAAGACAAACTTCAACAATTTCCCTCATTCCGCCCTCTTTCACCCCCGCGCGCGCGTGGAAACTTTCAGACGGCACTCACACATGTGCTGCTCAGTGAGATTATGGAGGAAGAATCTCCTCATTGTTTCCTTATCTGCACTCTCTGAGTGATTCATGAGCACGAAAAATCGGTCACTGCACGAATTAATGACAATCACTGAAAGTCATTCCGGAAATTTACTTGGGAAATTACAACCGACAAGCGGATGAAAAACACTTCTGTACTCTCTGTGACTGCCTTTTTTGGTGCAAATTTACAACAAAAAAAGCGTTTCTGCATTAAAAATCCATTGCATGAATTTGTCAAACAAGCACGCAAAATCCAACATGATAAATGATATCGCAAGAGGTGAATAAATTTTGATTAAGAGAGTTTAATAATGGTTGAGAGGAATTTCCGTGTGCAAACAGTTGAAAATGAGGAGCGTGAAAAGAAATTCCAATGCGTGATATCCTTTTATTTATGAGTGTATGTGACGACACAACATCAAATATTGATTTGAGCATAAAATTGTCAATATAATTTAAAGATTTCTTCGTTGGAGGCACTGCCGTTGTGGAAAAAATCACAAAAATGTTTGCCGAGCGGGCGCGACGCGGCGGGCGAGGCTGATGGTGGGGCGCTGTTGAGACAATACCAATGAGGAGAGACGCGACATCAAATGGGACAAAGAGACACCGACTTATAATGGAGCTAAATTGCATAAATGTGTCACCAAGTGGTTGGGAAGTTTAATGTTCAAATTACAAACAGCCTGTATCGCTTGCGTTTTCTTCCAATTGCCTTTCTCCCATTAAATTTATCATTAAACGTCTCTCAAGAAAAAGCTCCAAAATACTGGTAATTGAACTTTGAGTCTCTGCGGGGTTTTTCATTCTCTTACGCGAATGGCAGTCGTGAAGACGTATTAAAAATAAATTATCCAGAAACTTAATTGTTTGATCACAAATAAATCCATCTCTCCTACCTCATATTTTATCGTCATATCTTCCCAAAGCAATATTTCCTGCGAAATACAAATTTCCTGTGATGTTTGCACAATTGATTCAGTTGTGACGCGACCTGACGAGCAAATTTTGCAATTTTCCACTGTTTATCCGGAACCAATAAACATGTTGAGTCAAAACTGCAAGAAATATAACAAAAAATTTTGTTTTCCACTCGAAACCTTGCAGTGTTTCGACCAAGGCGAGAAAATGTGTGGCATTGAAAGAGTCCCAACATTTATTGCACTAATTGGAACTAAGTAAATTTCTATCCTTCGCATATATCCTTCAATTTTGGTCAGTTTCTTCCGCTTTGATGCATTAAACTCTTGAGATCCGTTTGAGAATGATTCCAATTTCCGTGCACCCAAAATTACACTTTCAAACAATTTGAAAGTCTCTCCGAAAGCTTTACTCAGCAGTGAACTGTGTTGGATTAAAAGAGCAAATTACTCATGGAAGCTCGTGTTAGGAAAATAATTTCAAATGATCCTTCTGTATTTACCTGAAACATGTGGAAACATAAAAGAGTTCCTCAACGACAGAATGACAGAATTTCCTGTTTGAAGTTGAGAGAGGAAAGCTTTTTACGCCGCTCCAATCGTTTTAGTCAACAATATTAATTTACCCCTTTTAATGTCATTTTCAAATTGATTTACCCCATCATTATACATATAATTGAAGGTGTTGTTCAAAGGCAAAATGCCGGAATAAAATTGCAATGAAAAAACCCTATCGCGAAAGCAGTTTAATCTTTGATGAGGTAATGCGCGAAAAATGTCAATGCTTCGCTCGGCTGAAATCTGCCTTTTTCACCGCCACGGGCTGTTTTTCGTCAATCCTGCGGAAAATCGACGCGATGGCCGAAAAGGATGAAAATGCGCGAGTTTTGCGTCACCAATTCAATTGAAAAGCCGAACATCCTGGCCCGCGGGCGGACGAGCGCAAATAATTTTTCCGCGGTTCCACTGGCGCAATTTTTTTTTTTCGTCATGTCGTTGGGAGGCTTCCCGAGGACTCAGGAGCGCGCCCCCGCCGCCGCCGCCGCCGCCGGCCCACATCTGGGCGTCTGATGTGTCCCATTTTCCGCTGTGTGTGCTTTTAATTTTGAGCGCGCCATCGTGCCTCCCCTTCGCACACGCGACAAGCGCATATCCCAGCGCGATTGCAAATATTTGCTCCTGGAATATTTGCGCGTTCCATCATAATTCAAACAGATGCGATATTTGCAGAAGAGCAATCATTTTAATATGGACTCATGGGATGGATACAACCCTCCCATTTCTCCACCCTTCCGCGCCATCCCGCGCCCCCGCGTGCGCAAGATATCCCTCCTACACACTGCCTTACACAGTTACACACTTGCACACACTTCAGTTAGCGCGCGACTTGGACAAACAGCTCGGCAGAGCTGCGAGAGCTCCACGGAGGATCTGTCTCTAGATAGAAGACATCCTATCTAAGTAAGTTCAGAGCCCCTTGGGGAGGTTATTGCTTCATTATATTGTCCTTTTTGTCTATTATTGCATTGGATTTTGTGACCTCTTTGATCTGAAACTACTGGAACTGCTCTAATATGTGCTGTTTTCCTGCAATTCTCCCTATTTTATTGGGCAAAATTGAACTTTTCAATCACTTCCTGTCCAAAACTGTACCTAAAATGCAAATAAAAAAGTTTGTTAGGGAGGAAAATATCCTCACTTCTTCCCAAACTCTATATCATCCCTCTTGTCATCAACTCTGGCGCTTTTGTGACGCTACGAAGGAGTCCATGTTATCCCCTTGAAAAATTTTCCTCTAGAGCTGCAGAATTTCCCCCGGTTTTCACCTCATTTTATCTACATATAGCAAAATGCACGGTCCGTCCTTTCCGTCCATTTTCCGCCCGTTTCTTCGTCCCCCTCTGCCCACACATCTCCACCCTCAGCGCAGGCTGCCCCGTGAAGCAGCCGAGGTAGGACGCGAAATAATCCATTTGCAACCCCATTGTGAGACCACCCAGAGCAATTTCATCCATTTTTCCCGCTTTTTTTTCCTTCCACCCTCGCAACATTTTCCCGGGAGGTTTTCCCTGATGGGTAAAATGGCGCTGGTGCGCGCGGGGGTGGAAAAGCAGCCCAGGGAAAATTGTACCGCGAGGAAGGAGAGAGAGAGAGAGTCGAGTGGAAAAAGTAAAACATAAAGATCGATATCAAAAGCCAAAATATTTACCACCAATAAATATTGAACTAATACACAATGTTCTCTGTTGATCATGAAAATATTCACACAAGGAATTATAAGATAAAATACAACGTTTTCTGTTATTCCAACAAATTTTCCACAAGAAGGCTTCATTTGTCGTTCTCTGTGATTTCTCTGCACATTTTTCTCTCACAAGGAAAGGGGTGGAAAATGTTGGTGGAAAATGTGGGTGACACGCACGGGAAAAATGTAATCAATAATTTGTAGAATCAAAAAAAAAAACAACCCTTTTGATACACAATCAGATATGATTGAACATCACCAGCAAATTAAATTGCAATTGAGTAGGAAAAACAAATATTTTATTGGGTCAACAAATATGCAAATTAATTGCTTAACAATTTTTTAAATATTTGAATTCCTTCATTATTGACACTCTTGCCCTGGCATTTATGCTGAATTTGTGTCACATTTTTGCCCGTGATCAAAAGAGGGAAATTATAAAATACGTGCGCTCCATTTTATTTCAACCAAAAAATAAATAATATGTCTATTAGTCCCATTTTATATATTAAACATCAACAGACATCATCAAATTGAATCATTCTAAAATAAATTTGCATCAATTTCCATGCAATAAATTGAAAAGTATCAAATATTTATCCTGGGAATTTTTGCGTGGTGTAGAAAATTGATGTGGTGAGTTGATTCAATAGTTGACACTCGGCACTGTTTAATGTTGACACTCGCGCGATGTTTAATGAAAAATAATTCTCACTATTTGAACTGCTTTTTTCTCCACAGCATGAAAAGTGCATTTGGGAAATGAAATCCACTCTCTGTGTGTATTGTCTCATTAGATAATTAGACGCCCCAAAAGTGACTAAAGAAGTGGTAAAAAGGTCTCTTTTTTTGGGTGAATGTTTGGCAATTTTGCATTTAATTCCACTTGTTTGCACTTCGATTGGGGAATTTCTTTAATCAATGCTCGTTGGAGAGACAGAAATGGCAAATATTGCATAGACAAATGGAAATTGACACTGAGAAAACACAAGAAATTATTTGTTCTGCGCACCTTTGCAAATTTATTGTGTCACTCTCGTTTCAATTTGCATTCTGATCAATCCAAACCCGATGAAGCTTCCTCTGCAAGTGCTGTAATTGAAGAAGTGGCGTCTTTTGTGACTCACGCTTTGCCCTTTTCAACCAGGAAAGTCAAGTGACTTTCAATCAGTGCCACATTTCACACCAAAATCCAAAGTTATTGACTAATTTGCAGAGACGAATCGCACGTCTTCTTTCCCTTCAGCGGAAGATTGTTCACGAGAAAGTAATTAAAATCGCAATTTACGAGGCATTTCAGGAGAGGAAGAAACCGAAGAAACAGTCGAAGTTCGTAATATTGAGTGTGAAAATTAGAAACAATTATCAGAATCTTAGTTTGTATCAATTTTCAGTAACTCAATATCATTCTTAAGGCTAATTTCTATCAAAAATTAAGAGAATTAGATAAAAACCTAGGATTTAAAAATGTCATTCTTATTTATTAATCAAAACATATATAAAAAATGTAAGTGAAATTCTGTAATCAATAAATTAATGATTCGATTTGCCTTTCATTTGTCAACTCAAACTTGCGTGCGAATTTTCTTGGGATCGAAAGTCACCTTCCGGATGTGATGATAGTTCGGCAGCACTTTCCGCAGGAAGTCCAGCTGGAGCGTCTGCGTGGATTGCTTCTCTAGCGCCTCGCGCAGAATGCAATCCTTCCCGGTGATCACAGTGTTTTCCGGCAAATCCTGGGCGCCAGTCAAGTGACATCCGGCGCCAATCACGCAGCCATTCGAGATCTTCACGTCCGCCGACACGGAGGAGTGGCACTCGAAGATGTTCCTCTCGCCGATCTTCAGCGCCTCAATGCGACATCCCACCTCGAACACATTGTTGGCGCCGATGACCAGAACGGGCGGCCGATCGCTCTGCACAGCCTGTCCGGGAGGCACGCGATGGACGATCGAGACGTACTCCTCCACGATGCAATTCTCGCCAATTATGATGGGACCCGACTCGGCCACGATCGTGGCACTGGGATGGATCACGCATCCTCCGGAGATGGTGATGTCGCCCCGGAGATTTGTGTCCTCGCAAACAATCGCCCGCGGCATGATTTTCACCCTGACAGAGAGAATCGTTGGCAATAAAATCACCCGTGATAGGAAGACAGGAAGTTTCTTACTCAGATTTCTGCGTTGACATCTCTTATTTGGTGAAATTGAGGAAAATACAGCACTTTTTCAATGTTTCAGGAGGAATTTCCTTGGGAATGTCAATCTCTTGCGCCACTAGCGACACAAGTGATCTTTCTGTAAATCAAAATTATGGTTGAACTTCAGCGCCCTTCGCGGTGATTAGCAGAAACATTTGCAAAGCGTGAATTGACAGCGCAAGAAGTTTCCACACTTTGTTTACCACGAGAAAATATCAAGGAAAACTAAGAGAAAATCTGTGCTCGATTGATGATTTGTGCAGGTAATTTCACAAGAAAGACAGAGGAATGCGAAAATCTTGCTGACAACATTCAATTTGCACAGAAACATGCTCAAAAGGCTAAAGATGCATTTGTAAACAAAGTCTTTCTCTCTTCTTAGAAATGGCAAATTCACCGGAAGAACAATTGCCCGTGAGCCAGGGAAGCGAGGAAATTTTCCCAGAATCATCCCATGAGAATAGCGATAAAGCTTACATGTTCAACATTGATTCGGATCAAATTCCCAAGTTTGACACACTCGATAAGCGTCTCATTGTTGAAGAGAAAGTGAACAAATTTATTCAGGAACACAACTTGAGTCCTGCGGCGGCCAAGGATCTGATGACAATCCTGCGTAGACATTCAATAGTGGGGCAGGAGGAGGACAGCGACATGCCGGAACAGAAGGAGCACGAGAGAAGCCGGGAGGGAAACTGTTGCTGTAAGCATGTGAAGTACATTCACCGCGAGATAAGAAACATGGACATTGAGATGCATTCTCACAAGGAAATCTTCAGAAAACTGCCACTGAAGTCCAAGGAAGAGTTGGAAGAATTTGACGAATCTTTGATAATTCAGAGCAACAAGGAGAAATTCGTGAGTATTCACTAAAATTATCGAATATTAATTACGTTCATCAAATTAATTTGTTTTGCAGAAAAACATTGCATTGAAACTTAAACTCAGACAATTCCTGACTGATGACGTTATTCTGGGACTGCATTTTAAGGGATCGGGATCCCAGAAAGGCATTCAGGATTATCGTTTTTACGGCATTTGGAAAGGTGCGTAATTTCTTAGTAAATCTTTAACTTTTGCTAAAAAATGCATGAAATTTCAGAAACATCAGCGTCTCCAAGCGATGTTTTCGCAAATGTCATAAAAGGGGAAATGAGAGCTGCAAAGTCGAGGATATACAGTGCCAAATTCAACAAGAAGAAGAGCAAATAAGAAAATTATAAGATTGAATTTACTTATAAGAAAATCTACTGAAATAAATATTTTTGAGTTCGAGCTTTTTGCCATAAAATGAAAGCCGCGAGAGCCATCTGCAGAGCTGTAGCGGCTAATTCAGTAACACTTCATCCGGTTGTCAATTTCATGTGTGAATTCTTGGGCTTCTGTTTTCAATGGTTTTACTAAGAAAGTATGTATAATTCAGCCATTATTCATCATTATTGTGTGTGAGAAATGTTCTTAGATCTTTTTCACTTGTTAGTTTGGTGGAAATTTACCGACAAATTAAATAAATAGCATTTTTCCTGAGCTCAATTCTCTAACCTTATTCTTTGTTTTGATCTTGGAGGCTTCCATGGAATTTTCTTGGCTCATGGACAAGACAATGTGCACATCCTTGCCGGATGATTCACACGGACTTTGTGTACATGAAGCGACGAAAGACGGCAGAGGAGAGAGTAAGAAATCATGAGAATCCATAAAAACTTTCCCTTCACGATGCATTTTCATCTCTCCAGAAAGCCCAGAGAATCATCGAATATTCGCCAAAGAAGAGCAACAAGATCGTTCTGGATGGAACTGTGGATGTCTGGAGGAACATGACAGTGGCAGAGTTGGCTAATTCTGCGGAGAAGTCACTGGAACACATTCAGGAGGTGATGCTGTACGTTCCAGGCGTTGACGATCTGGATTCCGTCACGAGACTTCACGACATGAAAGTGATCAAGAACATTGTGGAGAAGTGCGGCATGAAGATGAAGATTGTGGCTCCTCCGAGCAGTGCTGAAGTGATTGTCAAGGACAAGGATGTGTTTCCTCGGCCACCAGCGGCGCCTGAAGACATGGAAACGCGACATCCCATCGTGACTGTCATGGGTCACGTGGATCACGGCAAAACCACGCTGCTGGACACACTGAGAGGCGCCTCTGTGGCCGCTGGAGAGGCTGGCGGGATTACGCAGCACATCGGAGCGTTTACAGTGGATCTGGAGAGTGGCGAGAAGGTGACGTTTCTCGACACGCCCGGACACGCTGCCTTCAGCGCGATGCGCGCTCGCGGGGCGAATTGCACAGACATCATCGTGCTGGTGGTGGCTGGTGAAGATGGAGTGATGCAGCAGACGAGGGAAGTGGTTAGTTTGGCTCAGGAGGCAAAAGTTCCCATGATTATTGCCATCAATAAGATCGACAAGCCGGAGGCGAATGTGGAGCGCACGAAGCAGGGACTAATGCAGCTGGGATTGGGACTGGAGGGACACGGAGGTGACATTCAAGTGGTGCCGATATCGGCACTGAAAGGCACGAATCTCACAGAACTCACGGAAACCATAAGTGCTCAGGTGAGGAGAAATTCTGCTGGTATTTCAGCTGAAGTCAAGCATTTTCTATAAATATTCCAGCATTTTTCAAGCTCAAAACTAAGTGTGATTGCTGTAAGATATAAGAACGGATACGAAGTGATATCAAAATGTGTTTCTTTCTTACACGCACTCTTGATAAATGTGGCTACAAAGTCTTGACCAAGTTTTCTCCGCACACACATTATAGAGAGTCTCAATGAATTTCCTTTCAGGCCACAATGATGGGCATCAAGGCGGACTTCAAGGGCTTCGTGGAGGGCATCGTGATTGAGTCGCGTGTGGATAAATATCGTGGCAAACTCTCAACGACAATCGTGACACGCGGAACTCTGCGCAAGGGTGCGATTCTGGTCAGTGGAGTGGCATTTGCCAAAGTCCGCGGGCTGATTGATCACACAGGAAAGCCACTGGAGAGTGCGACTCCCGGGACGCCAGTGGAGATTCTCGGCTGGCGAGAGCTGCCGCTGGCGGGAGAGCAAGTGCTGGAGGTGGAGAATGAGCAGAAAGCCAACTCTGTGATACGATTCCGGAAGGGGAAGGAGATGAGTGACAAGATAGAAAATGATCGTGAGGCGATTCTGAAGAAGGAACTAGAACACCTGGAAAAATACAGAGCTGAGCGCGATGCGAGGCGAAAGAAGGGCTTCTTCAAGTCTCGACCGGATGGTCCGCGGCAGAAGGAGATTCAGGATGATCCCACGCCTCGGGTTAATATGATTCTCAAGGGAGATGTTCACGGATCTGTCGAGGCGATCCTCAATGTGTTGGATACTTATGATGACTTTGAAAACTGTCGTCTCAACATTGTACATTATGGAGTGGGAAATGTGTCCGAAGGGGATGTGGAGTTGGCCAAGACATTCAATGCCATTATCTATGCCTTCTCTGTGGACTCTTCAGTTGCTGTCAAGAGTCGCGCATCTGTGCGGGATTTCAATGTGATCTATCACTTGATAAATGACCTGAAGGAGGAGATCAGCAGTAAATTGCCAGTTTTGCAAGTGGAGGAAATCGTTGGGGAGGCGAATATTCTGCAAATCTTCAAGATCACTGAAGGGAGGAAGGAAGTGACAGTGCTAGGATGTCGATGCACCAAAGGAGTTCTCAGGAAGAAATTCCAGTACAAAATACTGCGACAAAATGAGATCATCTACACAGGTTTGTTCCTCATTTCTCTCTTAACCATTCTCTGCATTCAATGCTTGTCATTCGCTTCTCCGCAGGCGGATTGGATTCAATGAGGCATCTGAAGAATGAAGTGGATTCAATCAAGACCGACACGGAGTGTGGATTGAAGCCCAAGGATTTGGCGTGCGAAGTGAAGCCTGGCGATGTGATTCAGTGCTTTACACTCAACGACAAGACTCAGACAACATCCTGGGATCCTGGATTCTGAGCAGCGCTCTTTTGTGATCTCTAGTCAATAGTTTAGAAGAGTGAGTAGAATGGCAGAGAGAGATTCTCGCGGAGGAGAGAATATCATGCCAACTACATTTTGAAATTGTGTCAGGGAAGAGGAGAGCGGAGAGTCTCATTGAACGGATGTTGTGTTATCGTGTGGAGATTTGTGGAGTTTCCAGCATGAGAGGCTCATTGAGGAGTTTCTTTGCTCCAATTTGAGTGAATGAAATTTATAACATGGCATAAAAGTATCAAGGCATGACAAATGTTCAATCTGTTCTCCTTTTTGCTTCACTCTTCTCCTCCAGCACGAGAATTTTTGGTGTGTGTGCGCAAAAAAATCATTGCTGCGCAAGTTGTAATCTGAGGGAGATCCGGAAAAAAGGCAAAAGAGTCTCTAATCGTGCTTGAAATTCTAAATTTGGATCTAAAATTGTGTGAATGTGAGCTGCTGATTGAAGCACGACACATCTTGGGGGAGACTTTGGGGAAGTTGTAAGATGATAAAACTTGGTTTTTATCACAATGTGTGCTTCCTGAAGCTTTTTTCTTGTTTCCTCGCGAGGAAAATTTCTACATATACAACATTTTTCTCACTCCCAATGAATGGTTTTGAATATTTTGCAGATGTGAATTGATTATTATACATGTTTTTTTGGGGGATAGAATTCAAGGTCTGTGAACTTTTGCCTCTTAAATTCTGCATTTATTTCCCGAGGGAGAAAGAAAAAACACTAATTTGTGATGAAAGTCAATGACAATTTTATGGATTAATTTAGAAAATGGGTTTTTGTCGCATTAAAATTGCCATAAAGCGAAGCATATCACACTCAAATGGGAATAATTTATCAGCAAAATTCCGGTTTCTAAACTTGTGGCATTCACTGTATGATTAAATTGTAACATTTATTCATATTCACTTCCATTAATGCTTCCTCTCATATTTCCACAGGTTTTTTTTCCCCGTCGCCCGCCCACAAAGTTTTCCTTTTTCGACAGAGAGAGAGAAGGATTTAATTTATGTTAGAGGCTCGTCATTATTAACTAAAAGTAAGTATCTTGATCTTAATATGAATTGCGATCACTTTGTGATAAGAATCTTTGATTCCCTCTTTTTCCAGGCCACTTTACACACACTTGATCGGGATTAGAGGTGTTTTTTACTTGAATGGAAAAGAGGGAGGATCCACTGAATGGCATGAAGGTATGAAATTTCCATTGAAATTAGCATCAATTAGCATGATTGGCCGGTGATCATGATGCTGCGCGTGTCCTTTTGAAGCGAAAGAGAGAGAAATAATCTTCACAAGTGTGAAATATCTCTCTATGAACCTGTAAATGGTTGGGATCATCACAATAGTGTATCGCTGACAAAGTATTTCTATGGGTAAATATTTGTAAAATGTGTGTTTTGTTGGGGATATTATGAATTCTTCTGGGCGAGAGAGTGAAGTTTTTGTTCAACACACTTCGCTGGGCACACTACAAGAGTAAACAGACAGTGGCTGTGTTGAGATTTCGCAAAAGTCACGCGTGTCCAGGAGTGAGGGTGTCTTCAGTTGCGTGGCGATTGCCACTTGGATGACAATTTCCCTGAAGACTTTTCCCATGATCTCAATCACCCCCGGGTGTTGCTTTTTTTTGTTGCTGGCTTTCTTCTGTGGGAGAGTTTATGAGGCGCACTTGCTATATTGGAAACTGCTGTCGATGCATGAGATTTCATCTTGTCACTGAATCTCCCCTTCGACGACATGTCTCGCGATGGTTTCTTCCCTCCTCAAACTCTTTCTACATTGGATTTTTCAGCGACTTGGTGATCTTTTATGTCTCTCTCACTGTCTGTGACTGTGTTTATGTGCATTTTTGAGCATGTAAGATTACATGCGTGGTGTCTTTCGGGTTGGAACACTGTAAAAGTGCGCGCCTATGAGAAAGAGAGAAGACCCCATGGTTTTGTCGTTTTTTCTGGGCCTCCGACCATCTCTCTGTGGCCGGCTTCATTGAAGACTATCATCGTGGAGTCTCGCCAGTCAGCGGAGTCTTCAGTCCTGCTGCAGACGCTGCTGGTCGAGGCATAAAATATTTTTGCAAGAAAGTTCGGACCACTGACTTTATCTCGCCCTCTCTCTCTCTCTTGTTCATTTCATTTTCCTATGATCTTCATCTCCGGCTGTTAATTATCAAATAAAAACGGACGCCCAGAGAGGAAGGCGAAGAGGAAAGAGATTGCTGGCGAAGGAGAGGAGAGACTCGACAGTCTCACTTGCGTCCATTCAGTCGCGAGTGTTCCGCGCGCGATCCAATTATTACAACGGTTTTATTGGGGAAATTTCAAAGTCGAGCAGTCAGTTTCGGTTTGGCTGTCGACAGGACAGCACGGATTTTCCAGTGAACCTTCTCTCGTCTTCTGTCAGGGATCTCTTGGACTCTTGGATACTTTTGTACAGAAGAATTCTTGTGTGCTCCAGCAGAATTGGAAATGCCATTCAGTGATTTATTGCTGTGGTGACACAAAGTGGCAAAGGATTTAACACTTCAGCCCCAATTTGTGGATTTACTAAGTCAAAATATAATTCATTCGTGTGTGAAAGAGGATTTCTCCGAATTTTTCTCAAGTGCATTTTATGGTCCAACAATAAAAGGATGGGCCCATCAAGGCAATTTCAGTGAGTTCTTTTCTACTAAGCAATATTTTATTGATCTTCAAACTTCTTGATGATTAAAACACAATGGTTTTGGGAAGAAAAAGTGATTTTTTCTGGAAAAAATCTCACTTTCTAAATGTTCTCAAGTGGCTGATGAATAATTAACACTGGAAGATTATTGATAAAAAGTCATAGAAATTTCAATAAAGTTCTCAACAGAGCGGAATATTAAGTGATTGGCGGTGTTGTTTGAGCTGTTCTCACTGTGATAAAAATGCTCCTAAGAGTGCCTCACGAAGGGATAATAATGTGAAGAGATGTCGTATAATTTTAATGGGATAAGCAACAAAAACTCCCGTCTGGCAATTGTGGAATTTTAGAGAGGAATTTCCACTGCCTGAGATCGCGGGAAAAGTGCCCTCTTGTTAATCTTGTGCAATTCCATGCAGTAAATTCTCTTTTAGGTCTTTTTTCAACTCCCTAATGAATTTGCTTAACCTTCGAATGTGGCTGTGATGAACAAAAAATCATACCTACAGAGTAAAAGTTCAATATTGACACCGAAAAATTCTTTAATCAAATAATATCCCAATTGAAGATTACATCACTCATCTCACTTCTTCACATTGGCGGTTGAAATGTGGCGGGAGGGGGGAAGAAAAAATCATTGGACATTGTGGCGTGATCCTCCGCTGGAGATCATCATGATTGGGATGCTCCTTAATGGACCTTTTTTTATCTTCTCTCTTGATAATGCAAACGCCGCGCGCATCATTTGATGATGAGGGATGTGTTTTGGGGGGAATGAAAATTGCATAGTATTTTGTAAAATGAATTAATAATTGCCGCAATGGCGCTCCCATGTGAGAAATCAGTGAGCCTTTTCTCTGTGTTTCGCCCTCTTTGCTTGCCATCATCCTTCATCTCTTCAGGTTGTCGATGATCTTCGCGTGCCATTTGAAAGATCGATCTTGAGGTGAAGTTTCTCTTTGATTGAAATGAGAACAATCCTCTCGTGGCTATTTTAGGGGCTTCTTTTTCTCAGACTTTCTGCACACCATCTTCTTGCCATCCCAGACTTTTGTGTGTTGTTGAGCACTGCGCGCTCTCGCCTTCAATGGCAAAGGATGGGCAGTGTGAGCACCCAGAAGAGATAGAGAAGAATAAGCTCAGGAGAAAAAAAACGTCTAAGATAATCGTTTAAGAGATTGTCTGGACTCTCTTTCTCTCTCTCTGTTGAGAATGTGCAACATGTGAAACAAAGTGGAGGAAGCAAAAAGATGTAAAAACTTGGTGCATTTCATTGTCTGCAACCTCTTAAAAGTGTGTATAATATGGCTTATATTAGTTTATAGGTAGAAAAAAGGGAATATATATATAAGAGAAGATAGACAATGCTTGGCAGAAGGTTAAATACACATTGAGAAAAGTGGACTAACAATGATTTTGTGCACTTTTTCCCCGTCGCCTGCGACTGACCATGGGCGCAGCCCTTCCTTAAAAAGAATGCCAAAAATGTGCCAGTCACATGTGATTCTTCTCATCTTTACAATTTATTTAAATTTTTCCGCCGTCTCTTTAGCATCTCTTCCTTGCATTGTGTTTGTCTCTCTGAACTCCCAAAGACGTTTTACACACACATTTCTCACATTGAAGTGGAGGAAATTTTTCTGCAATTAGGAGGAGAAGTGATTTGGACGAGTTTGAAGCTGATCAGTTTGATGGATTTCAACTTTTCGTGCAATTCACCAAAGAAACCGCGAATCTTCCTGTTGACCCAAAAACCGTGTCGAATGGCCGAGAATCGTATGAGCTGAAAAAATCGTCTGGCAACCGCTAATTTACTTGTTAAACTCACACCCGAAAACTCTTGCAATCTCTCTTCACAAATCCACAAATGCGATCGCTCTTTAATTTACGGCAATTGCTCAGTACTTTTCTTGTCCATCCTTCAAAAATACTTTTTATTTCTCGCGCTCTTGCTCTAAACACGATGATTGTGTTTTCACAAAATATTCTCAACTTTTTGCATCATCATTTCATCTGTTGAATTTGTGGGAGACGCAAAAATGTGGGAATATAATTCAAAGCACGTGCTTTTGCTCATCGAATGATTTGTTAGTTTTTTCTCTCCTCCACAATGCACTGAATGCTACTGGTTTGATGTGGAGGATCACAAGAGTTCCCGAGAATCATTCAACTCGAGATCTCGTGCAATTTGTTTGCAAAAACGTCTGGATGGAGGGTTTTTTTTCGAGCTACGCTCTTTTGTGGGGTGTTTAATGATTGCCGCGCGGGGTTTCTTAATCTTCTCTGACTGGGTTTTTTTGTGTCAAAGGGGAGTTTTTTTGATTGAGTCTTTCGTGCAAATTATCACGGAGGAGACTTTAATGATCGTGTGATGTCTAATTTGGATATTTCCACTGAAATATCGATTGATCAATTTGTTTTGAGTGCTTTTCAGCAGTTGGTTAGATTTATGGGATTCTGCTATCGGGTGGTTTTTAATGAGAAAGAGACTCAATCTTCCTTGTGCATCCCAAAATTTTGAGCGTCTTGCGTGGAGATAGGAAGCCTTCGGTTCATTAATAATATTTCCAGTGGGATAACATCTGTTGTGGAATTTTGGTGGCTGAGAACCTCAGTGTGTGCGTCCAATGATGAGAAAATACGAGTTCAAAAGCCACGATGTGAAGGAAGGAGATAAAACCATCTCCAGAGAAATGAAATCCCTTCAGTGTGGTTTTCAATTTTTCTGTTCTATCACTTCTTTTAACATTCACTTTCGCTCTGCGATGTTGTCCTCTAAATGTTGTGTCACCCAAGAACATGCATCATCCAGAGATTGCGGCTCAAGGAGGGATTTGATCCGACTCAAGAGAGTGAGAGGCATCTTCATTATCTATTTAGTATGAAGCGTTAAGAAAAACAGGTTGCTCTCGCGCTCATTTCTCAGAAATCCCGAAAGGAAGATCCTCTGGCGTGCGTTGAGATGCTCTTTTTTCTTGTTAGGGCCCCTTGTGATAAAGAACTTGAGGAGCGACGAAACCCAAATAACATGAGAAAAGAGAAGCATTTTAATTCTTTATCCGATCCACTGCATACATATGGTGCATTTAGCATTAATTCAATTTAACTTGCCTCCGTGCCACTTGACAAGCACTGCTAGAAGTGGAAAGAGAAGAAGAATACCACGTTTTATTGAGATTTCTGTGGTAACATTGACCTGCAGGATTGGATTCTCGTGCCATTTCTCACAGTGCATGATCATTGTGAAGAGGATTTGCCAAGATATTCTTGCACGAGAAGTAGCAACTGGACTTGCTGTCTTTTATGACATTCGTGCGGGAAAATTAAAGGCTTGAAATAAGAGTTTAAATAGAAATATCAACACAGTGGAATCTTGATTTCCATGCAGCGAAGATGCCAAAGATGAAGATGGACAAGCATTGAGAGCATTTTACATAATAATTTGTGATTATTAATATGTGATATGTATTTCTCAATAGTCTTTCTTATTCCCATTAATGGGCTGATGGTGCAGAAGTGTGATAGAGAGAAAAAGACAAGCTAAGGCTCTGCCTCTATTTGTTTTACGTGATTTTAATTTTTGAAGAACACCTTCACAAATTCCTGATTGAATTGAGCATAGAGAAAAAAAGGGGGAAGAAGATGGAAAGCAAATTGACTGGAGAGAGCATATTTAGAAATTATTTTTAGGTACATTTAAAGGGAAAATACTTGAGTGAATTTGCCTTCTGTAAATATGAATTCACTTGGAAAATCACTCATCGGAGGTGGAAATGGTACACTTTACACAAAGCGGAATGAGTTGATGTGTTAGATTGAGATGAATAATTGAAGAAATAGCGAATAATGTCCCTCAATAAAGGAAAATACCGCGGGTTTTCTTCTCTCCAAATTGAGCTGATTGAGCCTTTGCACAGTGCGCGATCGTTGAGAGTGAATTTCGTGAAAATAAACACTGAAGGTGAGAGAGGAGTCACCATCAATGTACCTTGTACTTCTCGCACTCTACTCCCAATATTTTTTCCACTGACTCCTCTAAATGTTTACCAAAGGGTCTGTGGTGCACGATTATTGCGTATTGAAGGCATATTGTGTATGCAAATATTTACAATTGTGATTACTATCACATTTCTGAATGATTGTGCCATACGCCAAGTGTTAGTGGTGAGATGAACACGCGCCAAAAATCATCACAAATGGACGAACATTGTTCGTCTCTTTGCAATTCCAGCTAATTTTGGAATTTAATTACACACTGACTCTTATTTTCCTTTTGGAAGTTAAACATAGATTTTGTCGTCTTTTCAATGCCTGTGTGAGGCCTTAAGAAAAATACACACACTGGGCTGATAGACGTTATTAATGTATTTTCCGCATTCTCGCGAGCGCGACTGGACGAAAAACATGGAGTGATAAAATGTTCTCCTAATTTAGATGTGAGTAGTTGAGTTTGCAAATTTTTCCCCGTTCAACATCAATAAAATTAGAGAGAAAAAGAGGAAAACAAGAAGAAGAAAAAAAGGACGAAAAAGACGTTAATGTTGAGTAAATTCTCTCAAATGCACGGAGTTTGAGGAGACACGAAGAGGCAAGCAGTGAATGTTTGCGCACATTTTATTGCCTTTTTATGACGATGAAAAGTTAATCATGCATGAATTCTTAAGTTTGCATGCAAAAGAATCATTTTTAGTGCAACTCTTCACACACCCTTCGGATTTCTTCGCCATATATGCAGATGCAATTGAACAACGATGTGGTTTCACACCACGTAAATATTCTAAACTTCTTTTTTTTTCTTCATCTCCTCTTATTTTCCCTCTGGCTTTGCACTCATTTGTTGCTTCTTGAGAATATTAGATGAGATTTTATGCTTCATGTTCTTATGACAAGAAATTACTCAAAAGGAGCTCGAGAAAAGCCAAATACGTGCTCATAAAATGTCCCACAAGTCATCATTAAAACCGCAAAGAGTTTAGGGAAATTAACAGCAGAGAAATATGTTGAAAGCTTCCAATTCTTGCACTGGTAAAAGGATGGATTGTTGTGTGGTTGAAATACGACAGAAAATCCGTTGAAACAATTTCGCTAATTGACAATTATTAAATCGCTTCGGGAATTCTTTCGCTATTTTTAATTGAAATTAGGTCAAACATTCAATTGGTAAATTGTCTGATTGTTGTACTTTACATCTCTTCTAATGCCTTCTTCGTCTTTAGTTCGCTTAGTCGAAAAAGGGGAGAAGAACAAATTGTGATGATGAAATTTGTTTATTGTTACTTTCTTCGGCTTTCCCGTGGTATTTTGACAGTGTGTGAGAAAGTGGAGAAAATTAAGACATTTTTTCCGTTCTCAATATTTTTTTCTGTTCATTTCTCCTGTTTAATTTTAGAACAATTCTAATTGGGTGTATAAATTGATGTAATTCAGAGAATCTTTATTGAATTCTTTCTGTTTGGCGAATTTATGATTTTCTCTTGAATCTTGTGTTTAGTTAAGAGATGGAGAATTAATGGAAATTCCTAGAAACATTTATATCCTTGGTGATAAGTATATACAAACACTCTATTTTTCTTCTTGCAAATTGTAGTTAATAAAGTCTCTCTTAATTTTCAGCAAGTCCTTCGGAAAATTTTTACTCGCAATTGTATATAAAGCGTGTGATCAGTTGTCTTTGGGTCAATGCAAAAAAGCAATTTGTTAGAATGCTCAAAACCCCCCGGATTGGTTATGCTCACTCAAAGAATATTTACTGTGAGAACTTTTCTGGCACTCCATTGCTAATCACACACACATCGGAATGAATAAATACTTTTCATTTTTTACACTTTCATTTATTTTTGTTTCCTCAAGAATATATTCGCTTTTCTCCAACATGCATTACTCATCTCGCGTGAGCACATAAACGCATATTTTCTCACCACACAACGCATGAATGGCTGAAAGAAGTACACTCTCGCTTGGCATGGCGATTGTTGGGAATTATTGTAGAGTTTTTAGTGGACAAGAGAAAAAAAGGGCACTACAAAGGAGAAGTGCAATACTGTCGTGCATAGTGGGAATAATGAAAATAAAGTGAAATGAAGGAGTTTTGTGAGGCTTAAACATACAAATAAAGAGTGCGCAAAGTTTGTTTTCCCTCATTCTTCAATTCTTCAAACTCTCCATGCAAATGCATTGCTTGTAATCGAACTGTGAGATTTTATTAACACTTCCCGCCATCAAAAATCAATCAATCCGTCAAACTATAAAATTCACGCAGACGTGAAAATCTCGCGGTGTTTTTTGCCTCTTTCTCTCTCTCTCACTTCATTTTTACAACTTCACTTGCACTGTGTGGTATTGTCTTAACCCAATTTTTCCGGCTGTTTGGAGGAAAAAAATACGCACAAATGTATGGTGCGAAGGGCTCGAAAGGCGCATGAGATTCCAACAGCGTGTTGGTTTATTTTGAGTATTTTATCGTCAAATTGTGATTAAGTGATTTATCATATATCCCTTGTAAGATGTTGATGTTGACCAAATGAACACATCGAAAATGTTGCAGGAAAAAGAATAAATTTTGAGGGAAAAACATGCCGAAAGTGTGTTGAAAAATGGCACTTTGCAATGAAAGCTGAAGTGTTTGTGAAAATATTTGATGAAGAAACAATTGAGATGAAGATTAAATCTTTTAATGATCCCTTTCATGCGGTGAATTTAATGCAAAATTACTTCACAAATTAATTTCCCACACTCCTTCCTGTTTTGCCCTCTTCAATTGCCCGATGAGTGCACTTGATTTATTTATCTTGATGCAGTTTATTTTCTTGCACTTCTTCACTTGGAGGGATAATTGAATGTTTCACCATGCAATTGCTCTGGGTGAATAATTGAGCGACGTGTGAGGGAGGGATGTGGAGCATATACGAGCGATTCGTTTGCGTACGCCTTTTCATTCACTAAATGAAATTGCATTATTTATTTTTTCAACCATGGCACTTTGTGCGGACAATCTGAGGACGCGCAGATTAATGGGGAGGAAGAAGAGTTATGATGTGGGCTCGGGAGGCGAGGCTCAAGTTCACAAACAGGAAGATATAATTTGTCGCAATTAACAATGATACGCCCTCGAAGGCAAAAAAGTGCCACAATGAAAAAGGAATTGAAAATAAAACACACACACAATAGCGTTGGTGAGAGTTTGGAGTGGCTTTGCAGAAAGAGAGGAGATCAATTAAATGTAAACTTGTGCAAAGACTGTAATTTCCTATGATATATTGTGCGAAAACGAGAAAGGAAAGGCGTAAAACCATTACATTATGATCTTCACTTAAAGACAGTTCCTTTGTACCACTGAAGAAATGATAAATGTCAGGATTTTACCTGTTCTCTTAGACATCTGAAACAATAGCCAGCATCTCCTGTTTATTGTAAAATTTATTGCTTGTATGATTAGTGCTAAAATTCTCATTCGACAGCTAAATAATATCAATTGCGGAAGATGCTGGAAGCTGTCTGAGTGTTAATCGCATTCGTTTATACTTGGAAGATTATTTGATATATGAATCTCTGGGGCATTTATTTTACTTTCAACTTTACTGCTTGTGTATTTATTTTCTTAGAAAAGGAAAAAGAAAAAAATTGAACTTGTATTTTGCAACATTGACTCTGTGTGTTGGCTGTGTGAAACCCTTGATTGCAAGAAGCACCATAAAATCCATTCCGTCAGTTTTCATTCACAGACTTTGTAATAAACTCTCATGTAAATTTACACAGTTGATCGCTTTATGATCTGCGATCGTTGCGAAGGACAATGTTGGTGTTTCTGGCATCAATTTCTCACATATAAGCTTGCCGGCGCGGGATTTGTGACGAGTCAAGAAGAAGAAAAAAGGCCGGTAATATTTGCAGTGGTGATTTTCAGCATGATTTCAGTCTATTTGTTTTGGACAAAGTGATTGAAATGAGGGGAAAACCTCCGAATGGATATTGACTGAAATCTGTGACTGTTGTTTCTATCCGGGCTTTGTTGAATGTTTGATTGAACTTGTTAAAATTGACTTCACATATCTCTGTGTGGTCTCCTGAGTTGATTGATTCATAAATCCATCAGAGAGTGACGCGAAGGCATAAGAAAAAAAGAGCGATTAATGAAGAAAATTCATGAGATCTGATGATGATTCCACATGTCCAAATTGTAATTGTCTCTATGTATTTCGGTGTCAATAATAAAAATGGTAACATATGTGTGAAAGCTTGAAAGATTCTGCCTGATTGCTGTGTGTTGTCTGTTTACATTGAAATTTATGTTTGAAAGGCTCATAATTTGGATGAAAGCGATAAAAATGTGTTCTTTAGGACTATATATTACTACAAAATTTTTAATGTGCGTTTTCCGATGGGTTTTCACGTGAAGTTTACTTCAGGATGAAGTACAGAAAGAGTGTGTGACATTATATTAATTTCCTGTGTGCAAATTATTTGATTTTTCATCAAAAGAGCGTCAAATAAATTTTGGAAAAAAGATTAAAGACTCGTGCGTGGAATCGTTAAAGTTTTCTGACAGGAAAAATTATGGAGAACATATATTTTTCATGGAATATGTATTGCTTTTTTTACGACATTTTCCTAACTCAACTCCCTCTTTTCTCTCTTTACAGAATATTTGCCTTGTTGCTCTGCTTACTGACAACTTCAATCGATGTGACTCAATCCAGGCATGTGAGTACAAAAGAAATAAATGCTCGTCTTTTTTTTCTTACATTTGGGACATTTTTATGCGAAAATCTCAGCAATTTCCCTTCTTCTTTGCCGATGCCTTTTCACCGGCTACAATGTTGAGACTCATTAATTCTCTCATGTAAATATTTAGAGGCTGTGAAGAATGAATTCAATGATTTCTTAAGAGTTCCTCACTGATTCATTGCAGACTTTTTTCTTTACGAAATGCTTCACAATTAGTCATGGCATCACTCTCTGGGAATGTCCTGAATCTTTGCGGGGGTGTTTCTGGGTCAATTTCCTGGTTCGCAACTCATAAAATCTGCTTAATTTGTCTTTCAGTTGACACGAAATCGACACAAGCGACAACATGGAGCCAGACTCTACCTGCCGGCGACGTATGTGATCCCGAGCGGCGAGGGAGATTCCGGTGAGCGCTGGGGTCCCTGGGGAGCTCCGTCGGAGTGCTCGAGAACGTGCGGCGGTGGCGTCGCCTACCAGACGCGCGAGTGCTACGACGTGGGCCACGATGGACAGCCGCGATGCCGAGGAGGATCCCGCAAGTACTTCTCGTGCAACACACAGGTAAACAATGCCTCTTCCGGCCCCGCTTTTGCCCGGATTTCTCTGAATTTTACAGAGGCTTGATAATTGATTTAGACTGCTTGATTTCTGCAAAACGTATTTTAACCATAAATTTCTGTAGATCAATCGAGATCGAAGAAGCATATCTCCTAATTTTCCATTTCCGGAACGTTTAATGAGAATAACTTGTGATGCCATAGAAGAATTCATCACAAACACACACACAATTGGAATAATATGGTGGATTGGAAGTGAGAAGGAAGAGATCAGAGAAAGATCGAGGCCACATATTTTTCACAATCCTCGCCCATGATCTCCAAATGTTTTATATGTTGGGCCAGAGAGAGTGAGTGTCGAGATGAGGAGTAAGAAGGAAAAAAAACTGTGTGCAAGTGTTAACATACAAATTGAGGGAAACTGAATATCATTAGTGAAATGAGAGATCAACATGTATTTTATATCACGAATGACGTAGTTTCATGGCGAGGGTGGATCGGATTAGATAAATTACATCACTTGCTAATCTTAATTATAGACAGATTGCAGGAAAAAAAAGCCTTCATTCTCTGTTTACAACTCACTGGCAATTTCTCTCAATCTCTTCCTCTTCCACATGGACTCTATCTGACACGTTTTCCCACCAAATTAGCCAAGAAATGAGTTGATGATGAAAATATTTACCTATACAGAAATTCAGGGCGCAAGAAGAGTGATTTCATCTTATTTCTCTCGATCCAGGATTGTCCAGACAATGAGCCGGACTTCCGAGCGCAGCAGTGCTCGCACTTTGACACTGTTCCCTTCGAGGGTGTGCGCTATGAGTGGGTGCCCTACACCAAGGCTCCCAATCCCTGCGAGCTGAACTGCATGCCGCGCGGCGAGAGGTTCTACTATCGCCACAAGGCGAAGGTGATCGACGGCACGCGGTGCAATGAGGAGTCCCTGGACGTGTGTGTGGACGGTGTCTGTCAGCCGGTGGGCTGTGACATGATGCTGGGATCTGACGCGAAGGAGGACAAGTGCAGGAAGTGCGATGGTGATGGATCTTCGTGCAAAACCGTGTCCGGAGTTCTGGACATGAACAATCTCCAAGTCGGTGAGAAGGCTTTTTATCTCCTTACACATTGATCTTGCTTCCCAAAGCGCACGTGCAAAGAGATTCTCTCTCTCTCTGTCTCCCAAACATTGACATAATTAGAAAGTAATATTGGGTCTGGTGGTGAAATGAAAATCACCTAAATATTTATTCCCAATATTTACCTGGTGTGGAGAAGAAATTCTTTCTTTCATGTTTATAATCCAATTTTTCAATTTACGCCCTCCACATTTGCGGGTGAAACAGAAATAAGATGTGATCTAATTTCTTCTTCCAGTTCTTTTCTCACCAATATTCTGCCTATTTTCATTCTCCTTTCACTATTTTCACCTATAAATAGAGCTCTAAATATTGTACGTGTGGCTTATGAGACACCTTGTATACTTGCTGTTTTCAGGCTACAATGACATTCTCCTGATTCCTGCTGGAGCGACAAATATTGAGATCAAGGAAGTTGCTCCGTCAAACAATTATCTGGCCATAAGGAATCTCGTAGGTGCTTATTATCTCAACGGAAATTGGCGGATAGACTTCCCGCGGCCAATGACTTATGCCGGAGGCATTTGGCACTATGAGAGAAAGCCGCAGGGATTCGCAGCTCCTGATCATCTTACATGCATGGGCCCCACAACGGAGCCAATATACTTGGTGCTGCTCTATCAGGATCGAAATGTGGGCATTCGCTATGAGTACAGTGTGCCCGAAGCCACTGCTCGACTTCCTCAGCACGAGACCTACAATTGGGTGTTTGGGCCATATTCTGAGTGTTCAGCGACCTGCGGTGGTGGCTTCCAGACGAGGAATGTCACCTGCAACAGCCGAACAACACTTGAGCAAGTCGATGATAGTCTCTGTGACACGACTGAGCGAATGGAGGACGCCAGGCAGTGTGGCCAAGAGCCGTGTCCGCCCAGATGGACAGAGACTCCGTGGGGCAAGTGTTCTCTGCCTTGTGGCAGCGATGGCAAGCAGGAGAGGGAAGTCACGTGCGAGAGGATTGACTCTAGTGGTGTGGCCACAAAAGTCGAGGATTCTGTCTGTCTGGAGTCTGCAGGAAACAAGCCGGCAACAACTCAGGAGTGCAACAAAGGTGTCGTTTGTCCTCAGTGGCACGTGGGTCCGTGGCAACCATGCAGTCGTCTGTGTGGCGATGGCGAGAAGAAGCGTCAGGTGAAGTGCTATCGCAAGGAAGACGGCAAGATTAAGGTTCTCCCCGATGGAGATTGTCTGGAGGAGAAACCCGCCGACTCCGAAACGTGCGTCTTGAGACCTTGCGACGGAGTGGATTGGATAACTTCCACGTGGAGTGGATGCAATGCTTGTGGTCTTACAGTGGAAACCAGAACGACGTATTGTGCCTCGAAGACAGGGAAGATCTACAATGACTCGTTCTGCGAGAAGAAACCGAAGCCAGAGCTGGAGAGACCGTGCACATCCAAGTCCCAGTGTGACTTCCAGTGGTTCACATCGCAGTGGAGCAAGTGCTCGTCTGATTGTGGGAAGGGAGTGCAGACCAGGACGATCATCTGTGGTGTTTTCGATGGAGAGATGGTTAAGAGGGCGCCTGATGACTCGTCCTGCAATGCCGATGAGAAACCAGAGGATCAGCAGGAGTGCGAGAGTGAGAATGAGTGTGCAGGACTGTGGTTCGGTGGTCCCTGGTCGGAGTGTTCAGTGCCTTGCGGAGGAGGCACTAAGTATCGCAAGACTCTGTGCATGGTTGCTGATCAACCGGCTCCGGTGGAGAAATGCAGTGGCGATACTCTGAAATTCTCAACGGACAGCTGCAATCCTGAACCGTGCATTGACGATGAGACTCTTCCTGTTGACAGCACAGCAATGCCGATTCTGGAGGACGATCACGACGAAGAGGATTACTGTGACTACGATGAGGATGATTATCCTGAGGTGTCTGAAGAGGATCTGGATTCTGTTGGTTTGGGTGAATTTGCAGAAACCAGTGGAACTTCAGATGTCTTTGATTCCGACGCTAAGAGCACAACTGAGTCATCTTTGCTGACAGATGAACTCATGTTGAGCGACTCGACTAGCTTTGACACAGCAGAAACAGATGGATTGTCCACGGATTTGCCTGAATCCACTGTGGAAGGATCTGGTACTCAAGAAACCGCCTCGAGTGTGCATGTTGAGACGGAAGAAACCGGATCGGGAGACTTCGAGGCTACTCAGACCAGCACAGAAGGTTCTGTGAGTTCAACATCGAGTGAAGGATTGTCATCAGCCTCAAGTTCACATGAACCAACGGAAAGTGTTACTGACACGCAGTCAACCGAAGCTGCAACGACTGAAAGTGTATCCGAAACCACAACAGAAAGTGCAACGGAAAGCTCAGAATCTTCCACAGAGTCTTCAATGGAGACAACAACAGATTTATCATCAACGACCGAAAGTGAGACTTCTTCTGAATCAACGACATCTGCTGTGGAGGAGACAACGACGTCTGAAGGGGCGGAAACTACGACTGTTGCCGAGGAAACGACGACTACAGCTGAAGAGACAACATCTGGAGGCAGTACAGAAGCTGGTGATACCACAACAGTTGGAGTTACGGAATCGACATCTGAGGGATCTGAGGAGACCACGGTTTCCGTGAGTGAAGGATCAACTGTTGAGGTGTCCACAGATTCGACAGATTCTACAGAAACTCCAGGATCCACTGAATCTTCTGCTTCGACAGTTACCGAAGAGACATCGTCAACGGATGAAGATGAAACGACGGGAACTGATTTGGACATTTGGTCGACAACTGAACAGTCTTCAGTGTCTGAGGATGAAGATGAGGAGACATCGGGAAGTACGCCGAACACGCTTGAGGATATTATCAAGAAGGAGCAGAAGCCACGCAAATGCAAACCTCGACCTAAGACGATGGCTTGCGTTACGTCAGCGTTTGGTTGTTGCTCGGACAACAGCACAGCGGCTAAAGGACCCTTCGAGGAAGGCTGTCCTGCGCCAAAGACTTGTGCTGACACCAAGCATGGTTGCTGTCCTGACAAGCTGTCTCCGGCGAAGGGTCCGAAGAATCGCGGCTGTCCGAAGAGTCAGTGCTCACTCAGTCTCTTCGGGTGTTGTCCGGACAAGAAGACTCCGGCAGAGGGCAATGACAACGAAGGGTGTCCTGTGGTTGAAGTCACCACGCCTGGTGGATGTGCAGCGAGCAAGTTTGGGTGCTGCAAAGATGGAAATACACCGGCTGAGGGACCCAAGTTCAAGGGATGCGAGAAGGAAGAGAAGGAGTGCACGGGAGACAGCTGTACCACGCCCGAACCGAAGGTTACTGAGGAGTCAGGAGTCACGGAGGCCAAGTTCTGTGCTCAGTCCACGTATGGATGCTGTCCGGATGGACTCACCGAGGCTACTGGAAAGGACTTCCACGGATGTGATCTTATCGATGAGGAGGATTGCACGAAATCGTTCTACGGTTGCTGTCCAGACGGAAGGACTCCGGCCAAGGGAGACAAACAGGAGGGATGTGCCGATTGCATGCGAGAGATGTTTGGATGCTGTCAAGACGGCGTCACGCCTGCTCATGGACCGAGAGGTGAAGGATGTTGTCTGGAGCAGCCGTATGGTTGCTGTCCGAATAACATTGTCCCTGCTCGTGGACCCAATCTCGAGGGATGTGGTTGCGAGCACTCACCCTATGGCTGCTGTCCGGACAATCAGACCTCAGCCACGGGCTATGACAATGCAGGATGTGGCTGCGAGTACAGTCGCTTCGGCTGCTGTCCGGACAAACTCACAGAAGCCACTGGGGAGAACTTTGAGGGCTGCTCCTGTCACACCTTCCAGTTCGGTTGCTGCTCTGATGGCGTCACCATTCCGTCTGGCCCACACAATGCCGGCTGTCACTGTTCGCAGTCCGAATTCAAGTGCTGTCCCGATGAGGTCACCCCCGCCAAAGGACCCGACTTCGAGGGATGCACCTGTGCCAACGGCAAATTCGGCTGCTGTCCGGATGGCGTTAGTTCGGCTGAGGGTAGGAACTTCGAGGGATGCGACGAAGTGCCATCGACACCGCAGAAGGCGTGTGGACTCAGCAGAGATGCCGGTCCGTGCAAGAACTTCACAGTCAAGAGCTTCTTCGATGCTGAGTACGGTGGATGTTCGAGATTCTGGTATGGTGGTTGTGAGGGCAATGAGAATCGCTTCAACTCCATCGAAGAGTGCAAGACAGTGTGCGAGGAGCCTGTTGGGAAGGGTAAGAATCCTTTGGATTGACGCTAGAAGAGTCTCTGTTCATGTGTTGAACTTCTTGCAGAGGCTTGCCATCTACCAAAGTCCCATGGACCTTGTACTGGATATCTGCCGATGTGGTACTACGATTCCGATCGCAATCAGTGCACACAATTCGTTTGGGGCGGTTGTTTGGGAAATAATAATCGCTTTGAGTCTCTGGAAGAGTGTCAGAGTGCTTGTGTTGTGGACAGTTCGGCGCCTCCTTGCGAACAACCCGTGGATCAGGGACCTTGCCAAGGAGCCTTCGAACGCTGGTACTTCGATGCTGACTCCGATGTCTGTCGTCCCTTCATCTACGGTGGTTGCAGAGGAAACAAGAACAACTACGCCACGGAACACTCTTGTCACTATCACTGCAAGAAGCCAGGCGTGCATCGCGGTGAGTCAATCGCTTTCATTCCTCTTCTAACATTATTAAATTGGTTGTTTTTGTTGGAAGCTGTAATAGTTTGTTTCTTAAGCACTTTCTAGGTGTTTGTTGGAAGTTTTTGCACGAATTGTGGGTTTATTTGGTGTAATCTTACCTTTTTGTAGAGTTTTGCAATGCCCCGATCGAGAAAGGAGACTGCGAAGGTGGTAAGCTCGCTAGGTGGGCTTTCTCGTACACTGATAACAAATGCATGCCATATTACTACACTGGTTGTGGTGGCAATAAGAACAGTTTCCACTCGGAAGACGAATGCAAGTCGAATTGTCCGCCGCAAATTGGTACTTTTTATTCATTTTCTCTATTTGCGCACTAAAATTGACAAAATTTATGTATATTTTTGGCATGATTTCTGTAGAAGTAGAAATTGCTTCTCTTTAGTGGCTTGACAGTGCTTTTTGATGGTGTCTTTTTACTAATTATTTTCTTGTGTGTTGCGATCTTAGAGCGGGATTTGTGTGTCCTGCCGACGGAGGTTGGAAATTGCCAGAATTACACTGCAAGATGGTACTTTGACACTCGCGAGTCGCGCTGTCGATCCTTCTACTATGGCGGCTGTGGTGGGAACAAGAACAACTTCGAGAGCCAGGAGGAGTGCGTCAACCGATGCGAGAGAATGCCCACGACCACAACACAAGCGCCCAGAAGACCTCCAGTGCACGAGGATCGCGTCTTCAGGCGGGAATACTGCTTTGTGCATCCTGACGGTGGCGATTGCCGTGGAGATGCAATTGTGGCGAGATGGTATTACAACAAGGATGAGGGTGTTTGTGCTCAGTTCGCTTACACTGGATGTGGTGGCAATTTGAACAACTTCCTCACGGAAGAAGAGTGCGAAAGCAATTGTGATAGCGTTCAAGGTAAATTTCTGCTGAACACACAATATTCCTGACCAGGAATTGATGTTGTATTGGTGCTTTCTTAGATCTCTGCACACTGCCTGCTCTTCGTGGACGATGCAATGAGCAAATTCAGCGATGGTACTTCGATCAGAATGCTCAGCGATGTCTTCAGTTTGAATTTGGTGGCTGTCGCGGGAACAAGAACAACTTCTACACCGAGCGCGAGTGCCAGAACGCCTGTCGACACACGCCTGGACGGATTGAGCAGACGACACCGCCGCCATACGTGGTGTCGACGATTTGCGATGAGCCTCGTGAGCACGGTCACTGTAGTGGGAATGAACTCAAGTACTTCTTCAATCGCGACACGGCGTCGTGCGAGGCGTTCTACTACACCGGCTGCGGTGGGAATGGGAATCGCTTTGAGTCGCAAGAGCAGTGCGAGAGACAGTGTGGCGAGCATCGAGGTGTGGACGTGTGCCATGAGCCCATGGAGCCTGGGCCGTGTGATCAGTGGCAGGTGCGATACTACTTCAACACCACCAGGCGACAATGCATGCCGTTCCACTACAGCGGATGTGAGGGCACAGGAAACAGATTCACGACAGTTCAGGAGTGTGAAACACTCTGCATTGGACACGAAGAACCGCCGCCAGATGATAAAGGTGAGGATTTAACGTTCTCTGACACTAAATTGTTTGCTATCTGGAGAACTCTTGCAGATGATGTTGTTTTCTTTGTGGCATTTTTATTGAATTTCGCTGTGAATTTACAGCAATTTGCAATTTGCCCGTGGAGAGTGGCAGATGCAATGAAGATGTGGAGAATTCCCACAGACGCTGGTATTATGATGATAGTCGAGGAACGTGCATCACCTTCATCTACAGTGGATGCGCGGGCAATCAGAACAATTTCCGCTCTTTTGAGTCTTGTGTTGATTTCTGTGTCAGTAAGTGGAAGTTACCACAGGCATTTCGGATGGGGGAGATTGATTTTACGGTCTCTCAAATCCCAGGCTTCACTGAAAATCTCACGCACACTCGCTCTTATTTGTTCCTCTGCACAAAAAGCACAAAAAGCACAAAAGCTTCTAATATCTCAACCGGGCTTCTAAGTGAACTGTTAATGCATGATTAATCTGCAATGTTGCGTGATGCTTTTCCAGGTGCATCGCCACATGAGCCCGGCAGAGAGCCGAGTGGAGACAAGTGTGAAGCTCACACGCTCGCTTGTGAGAATCTTCAGTGTCCTTATGGTGTGGAGACGACGTACAATGAGGACTACTGCAAGGTGTGTTCCTGTGAGAATCCCTGCTCCTCTGTCCAGTGTCCGCCTGACTCTCAGTGTGCCATTGATGTGGGCAGAGATGAGACTGGCCAGTCGATCTTCATGGGTGTTTGTCGCGAGACACAAAAGCCCGGCGAGTGTCCTTCTCTCAGGGACAACAGTCGCTGCGATCGCGAGTGTTATACAGATGCCGATTGCAGTGGTGACAAGAAGTGCTGCGCTGCTGGCTGTGGATGGCTCTGTGTCCATCCTGACGCGCCTGACACCAATGTTTCAGAGCCAGTGAGACCACACTATCCGCCAACATACTATCCAGGCGCTCATGCTCCTCTGCTGGAGGAGAAGACGCCCGAAGAGGTGAATGTGGTGGCCGAGGAAGGTGGTTATGCTGTGCTGCACTGCTTCGCCACGGGATATCCGCCGCCGACGGTGTCCTGGAAGTATGGAGGCATTGTGCTGAACACGAATCAGGGACGTTATCTCCTCACATCCACTGGAGATTTGCAGATTGTGCAGCTTCACAGGACAGACAGTGGAACTTACGTGTGCGTGGCTGACAATGGCTTAGGCGCTCCTGTAACTCGCGAGGTTGAACTTCGAGTCAATGGTGAGTGTTGTCCCAATTCGGTGGTGGCTTTATGATCTTCTGTGCTTACCATCTCTTCTCTGTAGCCTCTTGACACAGTCTTTAATGCTAAATTCTCTCTCTTTCTCTCTGGTTAATAATCACGTTCGATGTTGCATGAATTGTTGTGCCAATGTAGATCCTGTAGATATCTTAGAGGCTGACGCTTATATTCTGGGTGAGCCAAATGCCACTCAGATTGTCACGCTGAACCAACCGGCGACTCTGAGGTGTCTGGCCGGTGGCTATCCCAAGCCGTACGTGAGCTGGTGGCGTGACACGGAATTGCTGCCGCTCAATTCAACGCGCTTCGAGCTGCGGCGCGACTATGCGCTGTTCTTCACGAAGGTGGAGCTTCAGGATCTGGGCAAGTACACGTGTCAGGCGTACACGGGACGCGGCAGACCCGTGTCCGTGTCCATCACACTCCAGGCCATCGGGCCCGTGCACGTGAGCAACAGAGAGGATGAGAAGTACTTGAAATTCATCGTGGATCCGCCCATGCAAACCACAACGATGCGCGTGAGACCCGAATATCCTTACAGACCAACTCCGGCTCCGCCGCGAGTCATTCCGCTGCCGCCAGTTCAGCCAGTGTACAGTGAGTATTTAGTGTGCTTCGGCAGATTGTCGCTCCTTTATCTGCATTGTGACTAAACTATCTGTTATACTTTCTTCGGTGATTGAGGGCTTCTCTTAGTCGCTTCACTTTATTCATGCCAATTGTGTTACTCTCTGTGAATGTTTTGATGTCAAAATTTTTGTCTTTTTTTCCTTGGAAAATCACCTAAAAAATCACTTTGAAGCGAAGAATATTCTTGTGGTGAAGAAGGTGGAATATCTTCAGGAGTTTGCAGAAATTCGCAAGATCACAATGCTTGAAATATTGCAATGATCAAACTGTGTTTGCGTGATATTAAAGGATTTCTTCCGATGTTTCTAGCCGAAGTTTCGGCTCGCATTCGCCTTCCGGGCGGCCGACAGTACGGCTTGGGAGTGGATATCAAGCTGGAGTGCGTGGTTGATGGATATCCTGCGCCCAATGTCACCTGGTTCAAGGATGATCGCCAACTCGTGCCCACGCACCGAGTGCAGATCCTCGAGCAGACGCGCGTGGTGATTTTCGGCGCCACCAGGGAAGATTCTGGCTTCTACAAGTGCGAGGCCAGGAATGGCTACAGCAAGTCCTTCAACGAGGAGGAGATCATCGTGGAGGGTGAGTGAAGAGATTGAGGATGCTGTGGTAATTGACTGTTAACCGCTGAAATGCCTTTGCAGGAGTTTATATTCCGCCAGAGTGCACGGATAGCACAATATTTGCCGACTGTGCGAAGATTGTTCGTGGACATTATTGCGGAAATCACTACTATGCCAAATTCTGCTGCAGATCGTGCACACTTGCCGGACAATTGAGCCACAATCGTCCGAATTTTGTCTAGAGAGGAATTACACTTTCTCATTCAGAATCCTTTCTGGAGCCACTTTAGCATCTTAACAACACAAAACACTTTCACTGCCAGGATCTTCTCAAATAGATCAGCTATAAAAGAAAAAAACTCTTTTGATGAACAAATTGACGATCTTCTCTGATCATCAATCCGTGCCATATGAAAGTCAGCATCTCTAACTCTTCACCTTTAACATTATCCTTGATTTTGTTGATCGTTAGACGTGACAATCGTCTCAAAGGTAAAAAAAATGCTTCGAAAGAGAATCAATTCTACAATTTATTAAATTAGATTTTAGATTGACTAATAAACTGCCATAAATGGAGACATTTGTGCCTCTTTTCTATAGTTTAAAAACACTTCTTTTCCGTTCTGTGTCCTTCCGATAGAAATGATCTTAATACACAAGAAAAGCGTTTCTTTAAAGTTATATTTTTTTCGGTTAAAAATTCACTTAACTATTGTTACCAATTTGTGGCTATTAGATTAATAATGGACAATAAAAGAAAAATTGATGAAAAATGTAATAAGAGACTAGATTTTTTTTCTTATTATGTAAAGCAATTGAAGAATTATAAAAGTGTAAAAAAAATAAACTAGAATGTAAATACAATTAGTCAACTGGTTTTCCTTTTCTGTCTCTCGCTGTGGATAAAATGCTGAAAACTCCCTTGGAAAATTGAAAAAGAGATGCAAATTTTGTTTCGTAACATATTTATTTGGATATAAAGAGTTTAAAATAGCCGAATAATCTTATTTACAATTTTTGGTTTGATCCGCTGATTTATCAGCAGCTTTAGCATTGCTTTCCTCAACATTCCATCTTGCCTTTTCCCTCTCGAAGCGCTCTTTCTCGTACGCCAACTTCTGCTGCTCAATCGCCAGGCGCTTCTGCTCGATGTGCAGTCGCTCCTCCTCAACAGCCAGTCTCCGCTCCTCGACTTCCAAGCGTCGCTCTTCCATGCTCTGCAGTCGCGCGTGCTGCTCCATCACGACTTGGAGGTGCTCGTGAATGTGACTATCAGATCGCGTGATGTCAGCCGCAGAGACGGACATCCTCCGGACAGAGCTCATCAGCGGCGTCTCGGCTCTGTCTTCGGAACTCTCCTCGTCATTCTCGTAATTGTCATTGCTCATCGAGACGAATTCTATTTTACTGCTGGATTCCATTGACGAAGGCGATCTCTTCACCTCAGCTGGATTCAGCAGAATCGCGTCCTGCTCATTGTCAGACTCCATGGGATCCAACCCAAGGAGCTTCGTCACTCGTCGCTGATTCTCTGACAGCTCCAGAGATCTCTGGGGCAGTCCAACACGTCCATTCCTGCCGGTTTTGTGCATCTTCGACAGCTTTATCTTCTTCCGCGTCTCGAACTTGAAGTCATTCCAGACTTTCCGCCACGTCTTCCAGTCCCTGACAGGCGGCCCGCGGGAGTTCAGCTGATCCGCCAGATCCTTCCACGTCTCTCTCACGCCATCCTCGTACATATTTCCTCTGGCCTTTTGTTTGGCAAAGGCAACATTCTCCTCCATGAACTGGATGAGAACGGCAAACTGTCCGATCGTCGTTCTGTCTCTCCTGAGCATTATAACAACAATTAGTGACTACAAATCAATGACCAACTAGTTAAGTAAATGATTGCGATGAAGTGTTCGGCTGATGAATGTGATTTAAGGTGTGAAAAAAAACATTATTTACTTGCTGTACAAATGCTCCATTTTGACACTTCTTCTGTTTATCGCATTGACAGCGCGAGAGCGAGATGGCAAATGTCGATAAGTTAGACGAGTTTTCGATGTTTTCTTTTTTCTTAGCGAAAATTCTCGCAAATTTATTAACAATTTTTAGCCATAGAAGAAGTCGAAAGTAAATATATGCTTTGAACGCTCAAAACACTCAATTGCCACAGCAAAATAGATTGGTCAACTTCGTGAGGAAGTGATCCTCGGAAGTCGGAGGCACAAGCTCAAGGGTCTGGGAGTCTTCGTCCTCGGAATTCGATACTGGAAGCTCTTGTATGCTGAATGTGTCGAAGTCGTGCTTCTTGAGGGCTGTTCTGCTGTTGGGGAAGAAGGACGGGGACAGTTCGTCATCACTGTGATCAGACTTGTATTCCACAAGTGGCTGATCTTCCACGTGTCCGGGAATTTGGAGGCGATTTATTGGAATGATGTTTGATGACTTGGTCTGCAAAAAGAGGCGAGAAATCTTCAGAAAAAGATCTTGAGAGCCTCCAAATCGTCACGCACTTGTGGTGAATCGTCAGTCTTGAGGAGTTTCTGGTAAGTTCTCTTCGCTCTCTCCACTTTCAACTCCAACTTCCTCTGCATCATCCGACAACTGCTCGTGGGCGGCACATAAGTCGTCTTCGAGGCACTGGGAACACCTCTAAAGATCACCTCAATCTCGTCCTCATTGGAGGAACTCTCCTCACTCTCGCGAACACCACCGAGGACTATCTTTTCCTGCAACATTTGGCGCTCATCAGCTTTCAATAAAATCGTTAAAATCACAATCTGCGCTTCCTGACTTACATTTTTCTCTCCACTGTCAATTCCACTGTCTTCCATCGCCCCAAAACTCTTTTCAATCCAGGAGAATCTCACAAATCTACGTCTCACAGCTGAAGTTGAATGGGCACTGCGAGAAAATCGATTTTCCCCACGTTTCCTCCGCGAAAAATCCGCCCCCAGACATTCTATGTTTCTTCCCGCCGATATTTTGGCGATATTCCCGGCGAAAAATGAGGGGAAATATCGCGATTTGCTAGTTTAAATTGCATTTAAATAGCGTTCGTTACAAATTTATTTGTGGAAAATATCAATTTCCAAGTGAATTCACTCCACTCTGAGCGACACAGTGGCTCCCTAATCAGTATTCAGCAGCAGACAGACTCCTTGAAGTATCCAGAAACTCTCGTGAACGTTGGTTTTCAGCTCCACTTGAAACTCAAAGCCCTGCTCCTTTTTATCTCGGCGATTTGAGGTCGTGTAGACGGGCGCTTGAAAAATGTTCTGCAAAGTTTTTGGGTGGCAGAATGAGCACGAGAAGAGAAGTTTGTCTGCTTTTACTTTACCTGCAACTTGACACGGTGCTCCTCCATGGGGGTCACGAGAACCACGGGCAGTTGCTCCATGAGGACTTTCGGGTGTGACTTGGCCAGGCAGTTGAGGGTGGATTCCCACCGAGCGCCCTCGAGGAACAGACCACTTGTGTAGCAGCCACAATTCGGTCGCTCCTCGATGTCATCATCAATGAGCACATCTGTGACCGTGGTGAAAGTTGTCGATCGCTCCAGCAGCCAATTGTTCTCTCGGGCGGCAATCTGAAGGGTTTCCGCGCAGACATGAGAAAAGTGAGAAAGTCATAAAAGTGCATTTTCTCACTTTTTTGCCCTTTTTCTTCACCTTTTCCTCAAGAGACGAATTGATTCGAATTCCGGCAATGTATTAAAGCACAGAAACTCCATCACAATTGGTGTGATTTTCAGACAAACCACAAATAAAGCCAGTGGTTGATGGATGATTCAACAAAGGAGAAATAACCCTTAATTTACCAAGAATTTTCAGTAATAGTTATCCAGTATTGAAATTTCTAATTTTCAGCACATATTCTGGCTTCTTGGTTGTCAAATATTTACTCTCTTGGGTCGGTGAAGTAACTTTTGCCACACACATACTGTGTAATGTGGCGTTTCCCCACTGACAGGAAGCTATAGAGGAGAACTCCTTGAAGGGTTCAAGAAGTTCCTTCCTCTCCCAAGTTTCACTCTTGCCCACGAAGATAATCATTCTTAATCAAGTTGTATTATTGTCATAGAAAAGTCATTAAAGAATGATAAAAACTAATTCTTCAGATTGTGAACATCAGCAAATTCAACCATTCGGAAAATGTTTTTTTCCGCCATTTGTAGGAAGATTTTAACAATTGAAGAGAAGAAAGGAAGCGTTAATTGAAATTATCTGAAGAACCCTAGAAATCCATTTGGAAAACTCTCAGCTTTGCGATATGCGAAATTGGAAATACGCGGATTAAAGGGTTGTCTTATGGGGAAATTCCGAGAAAAACGCCATCGAGATTGATCCTTTCTGTACCTGAATGAGCGCTGTTATGTAGCTCTTCGGCACATGGAGTCCTGACAGCCAAATGACGAGTGGCTCTCCGGACAGTGACCAGTACTTGTACTGTTGATTCCGCCTCTGAAGATGATCGATCCATCCGCCGAGCCGCTTGCACGTCTCCGGGGCGTATTTCCTCCATTCGTTGGGCAATCTTCCAGCGAAGAGCGCTTCAACCACATCATCCAGAACCTCATCCATTTGGGCGTCCCCGGAAAGTGCCTGAAGAGAGAAAAGGTATTTAATTTCTTCCCTGCCTTTCTTCCTTACATTCGCATGTTTGTAAGCGCTATTGGACTTTAAAATATATGGGAAGCTAAAGCCTGTGGCGAGAATGAATGGCTTCATTTATGCATTTAAATAAATTAATTTTGATGGCTTTTCGATGTGAATTTGTTTAAATTCAATGAAATCCCACAATTGAACTCTCTGTGACTGAAGAGATAATTTGATAAATTGAATTTAAAAAAATAAATAAATTCAAATTAGATGACATAAAAATAATTTTACCGATTTCTGTTACTTTACTGTCAATGAAAAATTCTCCGAATAGCGAAATGTGATTTTATAATTTATTTTTATAGTGTTCACTTCAGATTCTCGATAAATAATACATTAATTAAATTGATTAATTTCATAATGATTTTCAATCAAAAATTAATAACACCAATCGTCATTGAGGTGCATAAAAAATGAGTTTCGCGATGTTTATCGGGAAAAAAAATCATTTGAATTAAATTCAATTCAATAGGTTTTGGTGTGACTTCTATGCTGAAGTGAAATCCGTGGAAAAAAGGATGAAAAATATTTTGTTAATTCTCTTATTGTTTAGTTTAGCGTACGATAAAGCAAGCAATTTCGCTCAAATTCAAACATTGACATCACGCCCTCGATTTAAATATTATAGAAAATCAATTGGAAATGCAATTTGGTGCAAAATTAAAATGAAAATGAGCAATTTTATTAGTTTCCCATGAATGCAAAGAACATTTTCCCATTTTGGAGCACCATTGAAATTTTAATGAAAATCCTATAGAGCGAGAGAGAGAGAGCGAGAGTCAAACATTAATATTGATGCAAATTAATCATAATTTAATCAAATGCCATCAAACCATTTAGTGTGTTCGTGGAAATAATATGATACTGTCTGTCTCAACCTGTTTGAGGAGAATTAAGTGTTCCTTTATGTGGCGTATGAGGGTGTTGAACAGCTCGAGTTCTTGAATGAGCACCACCCCCGTGGCTGTTATATTAATCTGATAGGCCTTCTTCACCTTCTCAATGTCATATTGCTTTGGCAATTTACCCAAGATATCACTGGCAATATCCTGAATAATACTCTCTCGCGTCACATCATCTGCCTCAGTGTCCGTCTCACCTGGAAAACACGCACAAGAGAGAAAACAGTGGAAAAACTCCAGCGCACTCATGTCTCAGTCCTTAACTCATCATCAGTCTTATTCTTACGCATTGGCTTAGCATCTTCTCGTCTCACCCCAAAAGATTCACAGCAAAGCCTAGCTTTGCAAACAAAACAATTAAAAAGTCATATAAAAAATCACATATTAATTATCTTCTTCAACCGCTTTTGCGTTTCATTTCGCACAAAACATAACCGCCAGTCAGACTTTGGGATTTGGCTCATGCCGAGCTTGTCTGAAGGGATTTCCCATGAAGGTTGCCGCAATGCTCACACACGCGGAAAGGTAGGTTTTCTCAATTGAGCGTATTGGAAGCGAGAGTGGCTTTTTTTTTCACTGCCCAAAATGAGCAAAATTGAATATGCAAAGCGGAAATTTTGAAAAAAAAAATTCCCTCACTCAACAACAAAAAGTTCATGCAAAATGCAAAGTTGTCCTAATGAGACCGTTTAAATATGTAAACTTCTCTGCAATTCCAAGAAAATTTCCACTTTGTTTTTGGCTTCACAAATGACACAATTTCTCCTGAAAATCGTTCATTCGAATGCGAACAACTTTGGATTGCTTTCCAAAGACACACAGAAAAAAAACAGGGAGAAAAAGGGTTTGGACTGTGTGAGGATTTGAGTGTGGAGAAAAAAAATTAGCAAAAAATTGAAAATATTGGAGTAAAATTGAAAAATAGAAGCGAATAGAATGAAGGCAAAGAGAAGAGGGAGAAAATGTTCCCAGTTGTATAAGAGCAAAAAGGAGTTCACTCGGGAGTTATACGTTTTATAATTGAATTTTTGTCTCATTCCGTGAAAGAATTTAAATTCAATTTACTCACCCGAAAGGTGCTGCCATAAAATCACTGGTTTGGATACCGTATAATGTTGTATTTATTATTTTTCCATACGTTAGCGTCGCCCAGAGTCGCAGTCGCAGATGAATGAGGTCAAGAGAGCGCAAGAAAGTGGAGAAACAATTACACGGGGGGAAAAAAAGAAGAAGTTTGCAAAGTTATAGGGATTTGAAAGCAATTGGAAAGTGTAGTGAGGACACAATTTTAATTTAAGAAGCATGCTTTAAAATGTGGGTCACCTTCTCTGGGTTGAAACTTCACCATTTTCCTAAACATCCCCGCCATGGAGGCTTTGTAGTAGTTTATCTCGGCATTTGAGTTGAGGCCCAGCAGTTCAGGGGATGTGATCAAAGGCAATCCATCGATTATATCTACAGTCAAAGATATACGCAACAATTATATGTAAATCTAATTAATTGACAGATACATGGTCAACTGCAGTAAATTTCAATTTGGCCAATCCAGTGGTTATGTTGAGGAAAATATGTCTAATGCTTCAATTGGCAGCTTAACACCTAACACTAATTCTGGCAGAATTTGCACTAATTGCCGCGAAATTACATCTGAATTTTAGTAATTGCATTTTGTTTATTACAATAATGTTATACATTTTCCCGTAAAAGGCAATCCATTTGCGGTGTATGTGATTAACATACGATAGAAATTTATATTTCGCTCTGAATTCTCCCCGATATTATTCCGAATTGCATTACATTGGCTTTTATTATTCATATTGGCTTTATTATTATTTATTAAATAATGTCTCTCCCTTCGGAGAGAGAGAGAGAGAAAAAGAGAGCGAATGAGAGTGAGAGAGAGGCGAAAGCATGGAATTATGTTATTATATATTCTCTATCTGCGTATTTTCAACGCCAAATAGAATTGAAACTATCACAATTTCCTTTCATTCTGTCACCTTTTGGACTGTTTTTCAAAATATACGATACAATTCTGTTTACCAACTCTCGACACTTTTTAATTAACATGTAATTTGAGAAAAGGCAGCGAGAGATAATTCAAAAGTGCTAAAATTATGGCGTTAGTTTTCTTGATTCTGGGATATTTCTCATTGTTCGTTATTTTAATTGTCCGATCTCCTTCCTTTATATAGTCCTTTAATTCCCTCTCGCGCTGCTCCTGATGGTTGTATAAGAGTGTATAAACAAAAAAAAATCGTGGATGCACTCTCAAAACTGTATAATTGAGTTTTGCTCAAGCACATTTTACGTTAAAAGTTACACTCTTCTGTGGTTAGGTGAACGTTTATATTCTCAGCGAAAGAGCATTTTCTCCAAAGCAGAGTTAATAAAGTTCTTTGACATACAAAAGACAGAAGAGGAGGAATGAGTGCTTCTGGAAAATTCACTATAGTAACCTGAGAGTGCACTTGAGACAACAATATAACACTGTCTCTCAGATTATACGCATATTGTTTGTGAAAATATAACTTTCTGAAGTCATTTAGAGGTATTAATCGGATTATGTATAATCTCAATTATTGCAGTTATCTGTCCAAATTGACCCTTTTTCAACTCTGATCACTTCCACAGAATCACATCTAATTAGTTCTTATTTTTATAGCTGGAAAATGTAACAAGAGTGGGAATTGAATAAGTAATTTCTGGGCTATTAATATTTTTCAGGATATCTTTATATTCGTCTTCAGCATCTTGCAATCTCACGATAAACAATCTTCGAGCTTTTATTATGTGTTTTTACCCTTGGATTCCATTAAAGACAGAGCTTTTACGAGGAATAATAATTAATTATTGATGAAATTGATTCATGAAACGATAAAGAGCGATTTGTGAATAAGTAAAATTGCTTCTCTCGCTTCCTATCATCCCTTATCTCTATGGCAGAAAGAAAGGTTTTCCTTGCTAAGAGAGCTAAAAGACTCACCGATAAAGTGCTGCTGCGTTGCTGTGACAGGAAAGGTGTAGTGAACGCTAAAGTCATGGGCGAAGTGAAAGGGCTGAAAGGTGTCAAAGAGGAAATTCCCAAAATATTCACTAATATAGCACGCAACAACTCGATTGTCGTACTCATCAAACACTCTGCCGCCGTACACAATGTCACCGATGAGGCACTTGAGAACATCCCAGGAGATTCTTGATTGCCGCGACGTGAGGGCTTTGGTGAGGTAGAGGCAGAGGATTTGCAAGGAGATGCTGAAGTCGGCGTCGTTAAACTCATACGGGATGTTCCAGCCAATTTTGCCAAACTTGCGCCTCTCTTGCATGACACCGTGAAAGAAGGTGAGCACGAAGATGAGGGGCTTCAGGGCGGGATGGTCAAACGCTTCCAGTGTCTCAAATTCAATGCGACTGATGGTGGATTTGAGATTGTACTTCAGCCCCTTTGGGATCTCAGTCACAATTTTCACCGCCTTCTCCAAGAGACCGGTGGGAAATGCCTCACTTTCGCCCATTGTTATCCAGAGTCGGAAGTTCTCATCGGCGACACGAGCTTGATGGAAATGTTGCTCCACCTGTCGCATAAATTTCGGCAGATTGTGAGCATTCTCATACAGAAGCCACTGCCCAGACTTCCTGCACTCCTCCAGCATCCTCCACGCCCTCTCCTCCTGTCCCACCCCCAGCGAGATCATCCGCACCCTTTCCGGCGATGTGGAGAACCTCACAATGTCCTCTGTGGGATTCGTCCCTGGCGCCACGATTAGAACCACGGGAGTACTTGGTGATGCTCGCGCGTAGATTTCGTGATAATTGATGATTAAGGGCGCCACAAACTCTTCACCCAATTCACTGATGACATACTTGTGAATGGCGCGATGTAGTCGATCACGCCTGAAGCATCGCAACACCATTAATTTCTCGAAATTATTCAAGTGTGGCATCAGTGGTATTGATAAATCTTCTGGTGTCTCAGAGAGGCACCATGCTTCCCACAAATCGCACTGCATTTCAATATTTGCGACAAGTGCGGAGAACTTCCCTGGGAATTCTTTCACCAATCTCTGAGCGTCATCCATTCCACTCACTGTCATGAATTTTAATTGGGGCACCGTTTCATCGTCACATCCGCCGTGCCTGTCGTCAGGACTGAAAGATTTTGGGAAATTCATCCACTGGGATTACACCAGCGAGAGCTCAGCTGAAATATTTCAGGAATTTCACTACAAGCTATTGACTAGATTACATAACACACGTCCTTATCGTGTCCTAATTTGAATTATTCAAAATTGAAACACCACGCATTCAACCCAAAAACAATATACTCTTCCATAAATGAAAGTTTCATTCTAATTTCCCTGTAGACATTTTTGGAAAATTCGCTAGTTTCGTGAAATGTTTCAGTGAGAATTTCTCATCCGGCACAACTTCGCAACCTTACCCGCCATTATCCGTGCGGTTGCTGCTTATGGATGAGCCAGAGAGAAGAAAATCAATCTCATGTTGATGCAAATTGCCACGCCGAACAGCCAATTTGAGCACTATGCCAAAGGTGAAGAGCAATTGATCGCGCTGAAAAATGCCAACACTGCACCAATTGTATGTGTTCCGCAGCAAGTTCAATTTGATGCACTCCAGCCTGGCGTCCAAGGACGACCTCTCGTCGGTGCGCGTGAGCGTGTCACGGAAGATAGTGACAAAAGTTGCCAGTGAGTACTGATAGATCCGATTCACACGAGCCATGTCAAACATGACTAGGAAGATGCATGCACCGTGGCAGGCGATGCCACGATACAGGCTCCGCACTTTGTCATTGTCTGCCATCATGCGGGATATGTCGGTGAGATGCTGGCATATATCCACATATTTGGCATTGGTCGTCTCCAGAGTTGAGATTAGGGCTATATTGTCGAGAATGTTGCCCATGGTTGTGGCCAGTTCATGCAGGATGAACACTTCTTGCTCCCTTAGCAACTGCCGCTGTGTCACAATCACGCTGGCCAAATCACTGCGCTCCTCTTCGACGTCTGGCCTCTCCATTGCCACGGCAATCGTGAGCAGCTTTTCTTCCACACCACTGTGAATCAGTGTAAAATTGATAACACACGCTATGCTAAATATGACAGACGATAGGTGTGGATTGGCCATCTTCGTCACGAGGTACAGTCGAAAGTTGGCATTGTAAGTCACTTCCTGTTGGCCCACCATGACAAATGAGTGTCCATCCTCGTGCTGGATTATATTCTTCACGAGGACATTTTCAATCATCAAATCCACATAGTCATCGATGTCCTCCACGACAAACGGACGTCCATGTTCTATGGCACTCTTTAGGTCCTGCAGAAAGTTCTTGTCACTGAAATTTGTGATTCTCACATCATTTTTCCCCTCCATGGATTTTATCCACTCAAGCGCTTGTTGCTGAGGATCAATACACAGCGGGAAATGCATTGAATAGAGTGTGAGAATTGCATTTTGCTGGGAGAAATCATCATTCGGTAAACCCTCTTTAGTCCATCTGCGGAAGTTAAGAAGTCGTGAATGTTGAAACGGGAGGGAAAAAGCTCTCTTGTCCGTCGATAAAGCACATTTAGCACATAGGTGAAAACAGTGGCACAAGATCAATAATAACACATCAGCATAAAAGTGATTTTCCACCTTTATGACGGGACATAAAGAAATTCATCTGTAGGATAAGAAATATTTTGCTTTGTGCTATTTCTTCGCTTGTGTCATTAGTTCACACCACGAGGGATCGTTTGTGACCCTTCGCATTGTCCCGGACAAAAAAGCCGGACGAATGTGAAGCGTGAGCGAAAATATAGAAAGGGGTGATAAACTCACAAAATTATATCGCTATCATCCGTTAAAAGGACATTTTGGATTTTAAATGGGTCATTGATGGGAATCTCCTTGGCAAGTATATCCAAATACCAATCGTCATACACAATAGATTTGCGAAAGTTGAAAGAAAAGGGTCCGGTGTATGATAAAAAAGACGCTGAGAGCAAACAATTGCCGGCAACTTTCGATTTATCCACTTCTAACTTATTTAAATCACTTGACCATTTCTCCAGTTGAGACTTTAAGCCGATCATCAGTCTATCAGATGTGAACTGGACGGGAAGAAAGGAGGAGAGAAAGAATACATTTAGTTCATTTGTGGGGATGAATTGGAAGTGTATATATATAGCGAATCCACTGGGGGTGGAAAAGCGCGCTTGGCAAGTGTGTTAAATTGAGAGGAATTGAAATAACACATTGCATTTAATGGTATAGAGAAGGAGTAAAAGTACTTACTAATCGTCTCTCTCCCTGCTCTAACATTTCTTGCAGTATTTGCTTCTCTTCGATTAGTTTCTGATACTCGCTTGAGTAATTGGACAACTCCTCTTGAGTCAATTTGACTTCATCATCCATACCGCTCACCACTGCCTTCTCCTCGCACAGATCCTGTTCCAATTTCTTAATTCTGTCCTGCATGGGTTTCACCTCTCTCAGCATTTCGCAATATTGAATTACCGCCTTGAGGAAGAGAAGCAATCCGTAGCCAGTTTTCGATATCGCCTTCATATCTTCCATTTTGGTGGTTTTCTGCAAAACAACACACACACACACAACTCACTCATCTTCCAAGTCTCCCTGCCCAAGATTATGTCCCTTTTTTTCCTCAGCGGAAGGTGTTAAAAGGGTATTCATATCTGTTTACCTTCATGTGATTTTTCACGGCTGTCAATTGTTTCTGACTAATTGTGTCACAATTCATCTCTTGCAAGCTCTTCAAGAAGTCTGTCTCAGCCATAACGGCCCTGGCGGACTTCCAAGAAACATCTTTGGCGCCTTTCAATATTAAAAGACACTCGCAGAGCACCTAAAAAAGGCACAAGCAGAAGCTTTTGAAGAGGGGGTGTCTTTGGGCGAGAGAGGGATAAATGGGGACTTTACATAGATGGCTGAATGGCTGAAGTATGATATATTCTCCTTTTATGTATTTGTGGAAAATAGCAACATCTCAACAAAGTGAGCAAAAACCGGAGCATTGTGGGCTGAAACTTCAGCGAAAATCGATACAAAACCCATAGAAAATGCATCGATACTCTTGTGAAATACACCAAAACGGATTACATCTCAAGAGTGTCGTATTTATATCACAGACTGACTGATTTATTTGAGCAATTTCTTAATTTTCTCACACCGTATGACAGACAGTGTTAACTTCTCGAGAGTCTCGAGATGAGAAATGATTGTAATGTGCTAGAGTGGCAAGAGTTCAATGGAGTTGTCATCATATTTGCTCTTCAACGCGTCATAATAATTCATTATGCATCTATTTGAAGCCAAAAACCCATTTTACCTAATCTATAATTTATGCTAAATTCGCTTTATTGTCAATTTTAATTAAGCGCGCACTTCCCTTTGAAGTTATTCACTAAATTTGCGGAACTTAGAATTTGAGCCAAATCTGTGATAAAACACTAAACAACACTCCAAAAGCATCGCTCTAAACTCCAACATATCACGTTTAAGATCAACTTGCTCGCATAGTGACAAAGTTTCCTCCTGAAAACAGTCCTTTTCGTGTTTATGTGAAAAGCCATTAATAGATAACTTTGTTCATAATTCAGCGTGTCACGAAATTAATTATTTCCTTTGTGCACATTTATGTAATGACAACAGCCACCAATAGAACTATCAATCAGTTGAGATTTTATTACAATAGCAATAGTTGGTGGTATAATGAGTGAAGTATTGGATTTTAATTAAACTTTAATAGAGTTAGCATTGCGCGAAATAGTCATCAATTTGCTGGTCATTAAAGCAGTGGAAAGAAATTAATCGATTAATTGATTAGAGAATGTCTTTGTGTGTCGCCCTATTCACGGGTGACTAAATGGCGACAATCCAGAGCGGGATTCTCAAATGAAGGAATTTCTCTTGCGCCTTGAGAGTGTGAGAATGAGAAGAGCTTTCGTGTAACGCGAGAGTGTTTGTTTCTCCATGGGATGGAATTCTTCTCTGTGGTATCTTCCGTGGAAAATCTCTCCAGCTGGTTATAACAATAATTCCTATAAATTTATTTCACATTTCTCCCTCTCTTCTCGCACTTCTCAAACCCACACTTGAGTTGGCTGCTTTTGCGACAGAGACGAAGACGTTACAATTCCACGCAGGAGAACGGCGGAAAGAGGGGGGGGGGAAAAAGTGAATGCGAAAAGAGGGGAAAATGATACTGAAAAACGTTTTACAAATTACCTGAACCGCTTCCGGCGGTGTAGCAAAACTTCTGATTTCCGTAATATCTGATTTCTCCAGATCACCAAGGGCTAGACGTGCCTTCTCCAATAATGGAATTGCAGCCATTAAAACTTCTTCTGCTGTTGTTTTTTCCAATTCAATTTGTTTTGTCCTTTCTTTCACATCAATTGATTTCAATGATATTTCAGTTTGCTTCAAATTTATCTTCTCTCTCACTGGGAAATATACAACAAGCAAAAGTGGAATTCTGGGGGGGTTGAAGTGAGTGCGGGTGGACTTGGAGTGAATTCCAGTAAACAAATAAGTCCCCAAGAAAATAAAAACAACAAAAACAGACATATAAAATATTGAGTGAGGGAAGAATGCCGGGACACTGTTGGAGATTACTTGCAGCAGAGAAATGAAGAATGGGCGACATTTTCATCCAATCTTCCCCTTCTTCCCAATGCCTTGCATGTCGTTCAATGATTTCAATACACATAAAACTTTAAATGCCAAATGACTTACATTCCTCAATGCTTCGCAACACCGATGCACACTTCTCCGATGAATCCACGACATTCTTCTTCTGCTCCTCCACCATTATTTTCAATTGGTCGATCTGCTCAACAGCTTCTGTCACTCTGTTGATGCCGTCCAAGAGTTTGTTGTACAGCTTTGTCATAGACAATTGATACTTCTCTGAAAAAGCGGACACAGAAATCAAGTGAAAACAAGCTTCCAAAATGCATGGCAAATGGCAAAAAAAGAAATAAAAATTCTACTCCACAAAACTCTACGACAAACAATAGACAATGGACAAAAGGACGCGGTCCAAGAAAGCAACGAAAATCAAGTGAAATACCATGTGAAATTGTCTAGAAGGGGATTTCCTGGGGAATATCCACATACCAATTAAATTGAGGAACATATGCAAAAAATTCAAATAATGTTTCGGAGTCACATAGAATCTACGGTGAAATTTCTCGAAATACTCCCTTGCATAATGTACAATTGTCTTCTGAACATGAACAACATGTGAAATGATGTTCTCTCTGTGTATTTCAGGAATCTGCGGGATGTTTTGCGAGAACGATAGAAATGGGTTAGTTGTATTCACAGCTTCTCAATCCCCTCGAAAGCTACACACAAATATATGTATGTGTGTATGGTAGGAATACCTGGGGATGCTCCGCAAGAAAAACCTTGGCAACGGTGAGGAGAGCTTGCTCTGGCCAGGGAAAAATCCAATTGATTGTGGTGTTTCCAATTAAACTTGGGAAATATCGACATCGTCGACGGAATTTGTCGCCGACAGGTGACATGCAAAGCACAATGTGCAAATTGTCCATGCACTTCTCCAAGAACTTTGACCAAAGCTCCTGTCTGAAAAGCAGAAGTAATTATTATTTTCATTTATGAAGAGCGACACAAAAAAAACACACGCTTTTTAGTGCTAAATTAATCCTTTTGCACGTGGCTTTCACTCTCCACAAATGTGTACAGAAAATGTATTTCACATAATCCAAACAGCATTTCCACAGACATTTTTCTCCGCACACATTTCACACATTGGATAAAAGGAAATTTTCAAGCAACAAATATAGACCCCATATCAATGGAGAGGATAACCATGTCGTCTGTGAGTGTGACCGAATGTAGGATTTTCTTTGATGTTCTCAAATGTTCTTTGTCATATCATATTCACCCTGTGAACATTTTGTGTTCGAAGATTTGCCTCTTCGTCTAGAAAGAAGAATTCCCTCTGTTCGTATAAATATTTTAAGGACACAACAAAGCAAAGTATTTCAGTCGGTAATTTACCCCTTCGTGCTGAATCCAAAAAGCCCTGCCACGTGACAATATATAATAAGAGTGTGAAGTTGCAATTTCTGCACCACACTTTGCTCACGTTTTTGTATTTGATCAAATATTGAGTATATTTCCACTCTGATTGTTGATATATTAGCAGAAGAAATTTGCAAAGTCCATAAGTTTATATTGCATAATCAATTCTTCAATACATATTGTCTCCATCCAGAGTTGATCAAATATGCGCTATGAAAGATTAAAGGATCTTTTGCATTTTCTCTACTTTATGCACACATAAAAATGACAAACTTACAACTAAAATCCCAGACAAATCAACAAAAGGATGAGAGAATAGTGAAATATATATAAAGATTATCCCTTAGCTACATTTTCCAACTCGTTGAGTGGGTGCAAAAGAGGAAAATGATGATATGAGAACAATTTTTGTCACAGCACAATAGGGAAAAGTTGTGGCACACATATTTCCTACATGCTCTCTTGTTGGCGTAATATTAGTTAAATAAAAGATTTGTTAAACTTTCTCACCGAATCTGTTGATAATCCGACTGTTGTTCAACTTGTTGATGGTTTCCAATTAAAAGATTCATCTCGTCGTCACTAAACAGTGTTGGCACAGAGCCAGTGGTTAGAATATTGTGAATATGCTCAAGAAATGTGTCATCGAGGATCTGCGTGAGAGTGGAAAAATGGGAAAATATTAATTTCTCCCACTCCGCATTGATTTCTCATGCGAATGGGGACACCATCAGCCAGAGTGGACGCCAGGGTGACCCAGCGAGGGGTTGAATGGTGAATAGTTAATTGGAGTGTAACCTCATTTTCAGTCAGCATAAAGACAGTCTTCCGCCCTTCGGTGGCCAATTGGTGGTAAAGTCGCTTTAAATCACTCCTAAATGTGGCCTCAGAGTAGTTGTGGTTGATAACAATCTTGAATAAATCACATTCAGCTGCAAAGGCCGCCAATTTAGCGATGCTCTGTCTGCCGAAGCCATCGTGTCCCACAAGTGTCGCATGGCCCCTATTCATTCGCAGGAGTCGATGGAGTCGTGTTAAGTGCTCGAGGCAATCCTCGAAAAGTACCAAATCTAATTTTCTCATGTGATTTCGCTGCTGGTACTCGTCGAGAATCTCCTGGAAGAGGAAGTAGATGGCCTCATAGTCGAGCAGATCCTCATAGTAGCGGCGCCTCGAATCGTTCACAGTGTTGCGATAATCGCCAAAGAGGAGCGGATCCCTGAGGACGTACTCGTGCACAGGGATTTCTTTTGTCAGCTCCTGATTCACTGGCAATCTATTGTCGCCCTCATCAGACGAGTGCACCGTTGATGAAGTGTCACCCATTTGTCTGAGGTGCAGCTCGACTCCATCAACCTCCCTTCGCGACACCGGTGCACTGTCGCATGGGGGCGGCGGGAAGTGGTGCTCCACCTCACTCTGGAGGTGCTTGGCAAATAAATTCGCATCCTGGAAATGAAACTTTGGCCACTTCACACAATTTGACACGCTAAATTAAATGCACATAAGGAAATTTCTACGAGATAAACCTGGATAGGTTTACTGAACTAATTCCCACACCTCTTTGGATATAAAGCGATCAGCAACAACTCGAGTGAACTCATTGCGCCAGAGTCTCAGGATTTGGCGAGATTCTTTAAATAAATCCGGGTGAGTGAGCAGGATTCCTCCACAAATCCGAGATAAGTCCTTCATGTTGAAGATGTAGTGGAAGCGACCAGGAGTCGGCGGTAAGTCTCGATGGATCGCCTAGAGATATGAATTGTTTTCGTCATACATACAATATTGAAATGTATATTGTGCAGTCCACGACGAGGTCAGGAGGAGAATCTAATCTCTAAGAAGACTCGCCCAACCTTCTCGTGTGTCTTATTTGGCAAGTGCACGCTGCTGGTGATGTAATTTGACTGTGCGAGTTTCCATTCACTTCAACCCCCTTTGACGGGAGGACACACACATTGAATGACTGAAGCTCAGCAGAGCGCAACATTTTCATATCTTTCGTGCCACTACCCTGAGTCTATGTGAGAGAGTTCGATATCCTACCCTTAAGAGATTCAGTGTCATTTGAATAATGACGTCAGTGATGAGCTGTATGGATGGGGCGAATTCAGCAAAGTGCCCCCGGAGGATGGAGGTGTAAATGTGTTTGAGGGTGATGTCAGTGGGCGGTGGGTGGTGGAGAACAAAGAATTTCGAGAGAAACCTCCGATCAATGTCATTCCGTCCGCCTCCGGGTCGCCCCATTGCAGCATAGAAGCTCAAGTCGCGAATATATTTCCATCGAAGATCATTAGTGCGATCGAAGAGTCCTCCATACTCCAAGAGCTGCTTCAGCAATGCAATTGGCTCCTGAGTGCCATACCTATTCAAATACACATTGTGGAAAAAGAGAGAGAGAGAATGGGAGACTCGCGTTCAGTCACAAAAACAACTTCAAACGAGCATTTCATAGATAATTTCAATACTCATCAACATGCGGCATATTCATGTCGTCAATGAACACGGAAACGTGTTTGCCCATGGCTGGTCCAAATATGAATTTCGTGCGCTTCTCTATCATCCCTTCAATGGCTCTCTGCACATCCACTGATTTGGTTCGATATGAAAAATTTAAATTGAGTTTCACCTATTCGCGGAGTTACACATAGAAAAATATCCACCGTTTGATTTCCGCGGATGCAAAAAATATTGTCCATGCAATGATAAAAAAAATTATACAGTTAATTAAAAACACATAGTATATGGGGATGTTTCTGACAAGGCATGCCAGAGATGTGAAGAGTGTTTGGTTTTGTGCGGAATTGAGAGCAAAAGCAGCAGCAGCAACAACAGAAAAAACTTACGTATTTTTTGCCATCCTGCTGCATGAGATAATTGCTAATGAGGGTGGTTTTTGCCGTTCCCACATCGCCAATCACCACAATGGGTCGATTTATTTTGCTTATGCGACTGAAGAGATAATCAATTTGAAGGGTGTCGGCAGTTGGCACGAGGACATCCTGGAATTGGAGACAGAAATGGGTTGCTTTTGCAGAAGAATCAAAGGTGGCAATTTGCCACGCCCTCTTTCAGCTTAATTGACTTAATCTGACTGTTAAAAGAAGATCCCTAATCAGGTAATTGGTTACTTTCTGATCATTTTTCCCTGTGAAATACTTGTCAAGTCAATTTCCAAGAGGCTTTTTGTGCTTGTAAATTTCCAATAAAATGGATATGAATTAATTTCTGCGCATGATATGAGTGGGACGGCAGAGGCAATAAATTACGACGGAAGAGGAAAACAGTCCTCTTACCTGAAATCTCGCCAAACATCCCGGCTTGTGGGTGAACTCAGGGACCATCCACTGCCAGGCGATCCATAAATTTTTGCCAGGATCAAAGAAGTACTCGTAGAGGGTCTTCCTGCTGATGGGCACTTGTGTGGCATTTGCGGGATTTTCCTTTGTGTCCACGAAGGTGTTTCTATTGATTTTCATTTTGACAAATTGGTCAAATTTCTCTCGATGACCCTCGGCAACTGTGGCGCCCAGGGAGAGGTACAGGCAGCATATGAAGTGACACTCAAGAACATCTGCGGTGTAAGATGAAGTGGCGGGACAGAAGGTGGAAAATATGTCACAGAACTGGACCACCAGGCTCAAGTCACTCCTCTCGATGGCCATCGAGATGTCCGCAGTGTCCTCCTGGGCGTCGCCGTGCGCCGATTGAGCGAGCATCCTCAGGGTGGGCGAGATGTATCGGTCAAAGAGTTTTATTAATTGTTGCTTTTCCCCATTATTTTCATATTCGTCCACCCATTTCCGCCAATATGGCACAAAGCCCAGATTTATAGGATCAATATAAATCACAGCACAACGTGAGATTGTTGCTGGGCTGGCATATTTTAGATGACCAATTTCAAAGAGCAACGTACAGTGATTTTGAAGCTGAATACGCTCCCCATTTGTGAGAATAAGTAATTTATTGTTATCCAACACACTGTTCATATTCTCTATCCAGTGCGGATCAACATCTCCGTCGAAGCAGATAAATTTGCGCTCATTCAACCTCACTCTCGTGGTATTTACCTCACGGAATATCTTTGAGATGAGACCATCGTGCCACTGGTGCGACTCACATGCAAAACGCCCGTACAATTCACCAATTGTGTATGCCTTCGGATTCAAAGTAATGGCCTTTGTGGGCCAATTCAGGTGGCCATTGAGCGCCTCCAGGAGCAGTTTCAGCATGACACTCTTGCCACCACCTGAGCCGCCCAGAAGCATCACAGTATGATGACTTGTGATTGTTTCCCAGAGTTGCCGTACTTTAATTTCCTGTTCGGCCACCACTGTATATTTGAGTGTGCGATAGCTGGCCGCAATGGCATTGTTGATTTCGGTGTCACCACTTTGGCTCTCCATGCTCTCACCCGGAAATAGATCCTTGATTAAATTGAGAAAAATTCTCACATCATCCGGAATGAGCTTGATGAAGTTCACATCACGCAGCACCCGCACAACGAGTGTCGACTCCAGCCCACTGTCCCGGTGGGAGCGCTTCATGTCGCCCACCTGCCGCAGGATGGTCATCAGTGACCGGATGCCCCAGTCGTAGTGATTCTGACGCGACAGCTGACTCCGTGCCAATTTGTACAGCGTTGTCATCTTGCGCGCCAGCAACTTGGCCGCCGTGAAGCCGTCCGAAACGAGTGAGATCATGCAAATGGCCTCGTAATCCGGTGCCAGGCACGTTATGGGCCGAAAGAGGGACTTGATTGATTGCGAGAGCTCAATACGGCCCACATATTCAGGGTGCAGAGTCACGAAGATACCGACTTTTCTGTCCAATTGAATTTCGCGGTCGTCGAACTACAACAGGATTGAGAAAGAGAGGAGGAAGGATTACTGGACATTCTCAAAATTGGACAACAGAAGCCTGTTAAACTAATATTCATTAGATTTTTCAAAAGGACTCCATCGCAATTTCTTAATACACATTTTAATTCTGACCCAATTTCACTGCCTCATGAACTTTAGAACCTCGTACTGGAATCACTACGTGAGGTGATTGTATAAACTTTGCCTTATAGCCAAAGGCGAATGCTAAATTAGTCATAGTTATGACATTATTCAAATGAATAGAGAGAAGAAAGCTACTTCCTTATATCATCGATTCATCAGAAGCCACACACAAACACAAGCATATCATCAGGTTGATCTTAAAGAGGATTTTTGAAAGGATATCCTGGCCACTGTTAATTAAGATATTGAATTGTACTTATCATGTCTCATAGACTCGCATTACACAGAGATGAGGGAAAGTAGCAATAGGTTTATATGGGAATTGTGTTAAGAAGCACTTTGTGTGGTGGACTGAAGGGCTTGAGAATGGGCATGAATGTGTGCAATTTATCTCCCCAGTGTCAGTGAATGGGGTATGTTATTAATGTTTGCGGTGGTAGTAGATGTACAAATGATAGGAATGGAGTGTGGGGCATTTTGCATGAAGATAATAATGAAGATTGGGAGAAACTTACAATCATGTGAAAGGTCTTCATAACTAATGCACTTCTAATTGCTTGCAGTCGTGTGGACACTACGTTGAGCAGGGTGATGTCAATGCGATTGAATTCATCGAAGCAGCCCCACACGCCACACTGCACCAGTCCACACAGGATGGCCGTAAATGCTGGGTAATCGAGACCATGACCACAATTTGTTACGACACACAGCAGCGCCATCGTTTTCGCCAAATCCTTGATAATTTCCGTTTTGCCCGTGCCCGCTCCGCCCTCTAGGGCCACGCTCAAATTCAGGGTAAGAGCCTGTGTGATGGCCAAGTAAATCCGATCTGTCTGTGGAGTCATTACTAATCGCCCAGTCAAGCCAACGTACTCGTAGCCGTACATGAAGCGACCGCCGCACTGCACAATGACAATGTTGTCGAACTCTTTGAGCCAGTAGAAGCGCAATTGGCGCTCCCACCTAAACTCCTGGCTGTCGCACACGCCGTCCTGGACGAAGCCGTCAATGGTGTCACGCGCGTGAATATCAATTATCGTGAGTATTTTCAACTTCTGCCGCTCACACGGTGTCAATTCTCCACGAATCAGACCGACAATTGCCTCGAGTTGGGCACTCTGTGTCTCCAGGTACTCCTTCATGGCATCTCTATTTCCTCCCTCCATCTTGGCGAACACCTGCAATTGGGGTGGAAAGAGAAGAGAAAAACGAGGGTGAAGAAGTGACACAACACATTACACTCCTCCAAGTACGTGGAGAGGAATTGCATCTTTCGCACCATTTCTCGCCCTGACACCCACTCAGCCCTCCGCCTGTCCTTCGGCCGCACAGCACCTGAGTCGATTTTCATGTGCTTCAGGTGAAAAGAGCAGGGAAATCCTCTAGTCAAGTGTAAAGTTGTACTTTCGTGTCGTTCCGTAATCCACCGGATTAGGGAACAGTAATTTCTAATATTTCAACTTTTTGCCACCGCTGGGCATTGTGCGGGAAATTTAATTTGTGCACAGGAATAATCTACGATTCACGAAAACGAGAGGCTTTCGGGCACAAACAAAATTGCTTTCCACATTCCAGAGATTTGTCACCCACGAAAAGTTTTTCAGAGAAGTATTGAATTGTTTAATTTCAAAAAAACATAAGTAAGCACAGTGATTAGTAAGCAAGGAAAAATCACTCTAAATCTCTTATTTTTATGATGATGCCAAAAAATATTAAAACAATAGAATATTTTCTCCACAAATTGCCGCCAGAGGGCAGCAATTTAAACTTTACATGCATTTTAGACTTCTAATTGTATTTTATCCTAATTTTAGGTGTTCGAATCCAGCTTGTGGCAAATTTTCTGACTTTTTTGCTATTTGAATTATAAATTTGTAATAAATATGCTAAAAGTACCTATATAAATTTGATTAATTTTTTTTTTGAAAATCCTATCAAAAATATTCATTTTTTATTTTTTTGCCATTTTACTTGGAAAATAATCATTTTTGATTATTTTTATTCAAATTTTGATTATTAGAAATTAAAAATTAATATTTAAATATTTTATTGAGACCATTAGGATTCCTCAAACATCATCTAGAGTGACATCTAAGTATTTTATAATCCACAAACACGAGCGATAGTGAAGTTGTAATGCAGTTTTAATTTACTCTGAGAGATTATGTTGTTTCCTTTGTGGCAAATTGATAAACTGATGTCGCGCAACCTAATCGATATTTCAGATTATTCCAAATATTTGATGTAGGGCAAATGTCTAGCGCTTTGTCGCATCAATATGTGGCATAAATACAGAATCTTGTTTACAAAATGTGCAATCAAATTGGTGTTTTCCCTGTGATAGTCCCTGGGCTACCATCTCCGCCAATAGATTATATCTACTGTTATTGCATGCTTTTGGCAGTGACAGTGCTCATACATGGAATTTCACAGAATATCCCACAATACGATGAATTCATAATTTAGCCCAGCACCATTATCTAGATGCTGCCGGGGTGGCGAGGGAGTGAAAATGGTTGATGTTTCTGTTTTCAAGAGGCTGCCGAATTGATATTTTTCCACTGTGCGAGTGATTTATCATGGTGCAATGGGAAGAGAGAGAGAGAGAGAGTTTGGGGCTATTGATCTGGAGAGCATGAGTGCCAGAAAAAAAGGTTTACAACACTATGTGGGATGCGACTCACCTCTTCAACTTGTGCCGTCCACCAAATTTGATTGGCCACAACGACAACCATGGTGGGATAGGATTGGATCCAGGAGTGCCTGGAGCACTCTTTGTGGATGCCAAAGTCATAAATTGCCTTCTTCGATATGTAGCGATTTGACAATTGCATCTCACTTAGTATAATGTTCATCCACTCCTCGACACCACCACTGAGCGACACGGCATTGCGGAAGTTGAGCAGCTCACCGTTCTCGGCTATCATGCCCACCACAGACATTAGCTGCCGCCCCGACAGCCCCGTCGATTTGGCTGGCGGGGAGGATGTCAGGTGCTGCTGCTGCTGCTGGCTACCGGCTGATGCATCATCTGGGTGTGAGGTCTTCAGCGCCCTGACATTGTCGAACATTTTTATAATGTGGCGCTCAATGGTGAGCGGATCCTCTCGCGTTCGACCCAGAATCGATAGCAGTTCATCCGACGATATAAAATAGAATCGTGGGAATTTTTGTCGCTTTCGCTCCAAAAAGTCATCCAATGCCTTCTGACACTCTTCCATTCCCACGTTGAGCCTCTTAAATTTTTCCAGCCGATTTGGCATCATGCACACGGAAATCACTTTCGGCTCTTCGGCACAGTGTTGCATAATCTGATGAGATAATTTGCCAAATTTCACCATTAAATACATACACATAGCAATGAAAACTTCTCACGCAAACATTTTTTTTCACTGTCAGTGAATTTTTTAATACGTAGAGGTGTGTGTATAAATTTGTAAAATATTTCTCAATTATTGCTGCACTGCTTTACATGCGAAATCCTTTTCGAATTATAAAATAATGCAAAAAATAAATGTCTTTAGCATATTACACATTTTTCGGGTATTAAATAAACACTGGCAAATACCGGATCATGGATACAAAATAACATTCGAAACTCACTCAGCGTTTGATGCCCCAAAAAAAAAGGTGTTGGAAAAAGCTTTTTTATTTACCACTCATTGTGATTACTGGTTGAATAAAATTCACAGAGGAATATCATATGACCCTGCAACTATTTAATAAATAGCTTCCAACGAATTCAACTCATTCAGCGGCCCGAGGTATCATGTCAATTGAAACAGAGGATTTATATGCAGTAGCAATTCAAAGGGGATTTCTGTGAGATTTTCCCTAAAATACTCTAATGAATAAGCGTAGAATGAAATGTTTCGGATTGCTTTGAATTGCTATAGTGTGGCTTACTAAATTAATTTATCACTTTGCCTTGACCACGCGATCGTAGGATATTTTAATATATATTTTTTGAATTGTGTGTGTGTGATGTTAATTGACAAAATCACAAACACTTGGAGGTTTTCTCTCAATCTCCAATTTCAATCCGTCACGCACAAAAAAAAGGATAGATTTACACATTGGGTTTTTTATTTAACTCATTCAAATTCCCAGCCTGGAACAACCTTTGAAGTTTTTGAATGCACATAGACATCAGCAAGAGTTATTTTTTTCCAATTAATCCCCACGCGGAAGCGTAGAGCTTTCAGTGGGATTGATTTCTGAATTTGTATGATTGCATGTGGCTTTTTTTTATATGTATTTGTCCAGAGAAAAAAAATTGGCGTAGGCGTTTGTGCTGTGATTTTTGCATTGATATCTGCTAGTGAAATTTACACAGACTAAGCAAATCTACAGCGGGAGAATTTAATGCGTTCCAGGAACAGTGCAAATGCCATGTATCAACTGGGAAATGCAATACGAGGGAATTTACGAGATCGTGTGGCGAACACTTACCTCACGATAACTCCTATCAATGCCGTTGAATTGCTCCGCCTCACTGGGCAATTCATCACTAATATTGGTTCCAATGAAGATTCCCTCCAAATACAGCCACTTGCACTGGACATTAATCCACACATCGATTATTTCAGATACCAGAGACAATTTCTTCTCCCACTCCTTCACATCGTGCAGAAATGGACCGATAACGCTGAAAATATTTACTCCGGTAAGTGAAATATTTGACATGTTTGCAGCGGAAAAACTCACTGTGAGAATGACATTGATTGCAGCTTTACAAAGTTATCCTCGAGAGCTTGAATGATGTTGTCGATATTTCCGAGAATGAACCTGCAAAGGGAGGAAAAAAGCAGTGAAATCTTGCCACTTTCTGCAAAACACATAAGTAATATTCAACATGAAAAGATCTTAAATTAAAATTCAACTCAATTCCAATATTTGAGTGAAAATGAGCGTGTTACTTCAATATTTACAGTGTTACATGGCATTTTCTTCGAATGTGCTTTCATTTAGAGCTTTCTCCTTCGAACATTGAGAGTAATGAGAACCTATATAGGAATATTATTTGTTACAGCAAAATTGTGGGAAAATGAGGAGAATCATTGGTGATTGCCAATACAGTCGTGAATATTCAATTATGCCATTTAATTAAATTCCAAACTTAGTACAACTGTAGATGCAGCATAAAATTACAATTAAATGCGATGCGGGCAGACAGGAGAATTAAGCCTACCAGAAGACACACACTATATATGGGCCATGATCTCCCGATTTCAAAGCTTTCAACGCTAAAAGCCCCTCTGGTCATGCACAATGTTTAATTCAACCCCAAAATGGGAGTGGAAAATGTGTAGATTGCTGCATAATGTGATTTACAGTTTAGAGGAGAACAAAGTGATTTCACCCCCTCTTTGCGCCATCCTTGAAGTGCTCAATGACCGCGAAGGCCATGTTGTCCCATGTTGTCTCAATGATGAGCATCGCATTCTCGATAGAAAGTTCTTTAACTGCCATAGTTAGGATCTCGTGGACTGTCTCCCGATGCTTGTACAGCGCCATGGCGAAGATGCTCTCGAGGAGGACTTTCTCAACACACTCAGGGTCAAATATGCAATTTGTCTCAGTCATAAGATGCTCCCAGTGTCGGCGTCTTAGAGCGTCATTCTTGAGCGCCAACATTAGTGGTATGGACTGCTTGAAATGCTCCATCTTCCTCTGGAGCGTCTGTGCCACGGGAATTTCCTGTATCTCCTCTGGCCACATTCGGAACTCATGCATATAATTCTCCATGCCATTCGTCAAAGTGTTTGGATTCATGTGAATCCACATCGTCTTCGACCAATTCTCCTTTGCATTCCGCTGTTGACGATATAATTTGTAAATCTAAAAAAAAAACAAGGGGAGGGAATTTTAGCTAGAAGGGAAATATTAATGGTTTATTCAGGGAAATTTTTCCAACACACTGTGTGCATTTGTCATTTTGGTGACATTTTCAAATTTTATGTCTGTTTTCCGTGTGCACCAAATCGCTAAAACTTTGTGTGTTGGCGCAACTCAGGAAAAAGCTCAAATTACCATTCTCAAATTTTCAAAATCCTTCTTTGCATGTAAAAATTCTGTGTAGTCTGTTAGTGGCATATCGAAAAGTTTTTCCGCATTCACTGTAAAATATATTGGAAAAGTTATTAGACAATTAGTATGTACATATCTGATGAATAGGGGGATGCGAGAATGTGAGCAATTTACTATCGAATTTATCTGATGGGTAATCACGTAATCCACCACACTTGACCTTTTTCATGTTTACGAGCAACAAACAATATTTTGATAAAAAAAAAAGATCGAGGTTGAAATGAATTTTCCAAATGTAAATTATTAAAATTTATACAGTCAATAGTATACCTAAATCCAATCTCTGCGCCTCATATGTGTCAAAGAGTGAGTCAAATGTTTCCATCAAGTCGAGTCCCCGATTCATGTCGTCACCAACAGATCCTGGCCCCATGTCGTTAAACTTTTTAATGAATTCATCCAACTGCAATGTGTGGAGTGTTCTGTGAGTTAGATGGCATATACACACGAGTTGCTAACTATTAAAGGAACATTTTCCGAAAGGGGGTGGAGAGTTTTTGGATGAAATGACAAAAACATAATCTAAGATTATTCAAATCAACTCCACCGAAATTCCCTTATGCCACCCATTTTCTCTCCCCCCCCGCAAAATTCGCATATTGCCATTCTAGCACAAATAGTCTAATGACACTACGACTCACATTTAGCGTAAACGAACTAATTTCCACTGACGTTAGCGCTGCAAATTTCACTTTAACTGTTTCCAATGTTGCTGACCGATATAGCGATGATTTATACAGCTTCCTCCACCTCTTCTCCAGCTCATATGACATTAGCATATCCGTGAAGGAGAACTGGAAAAATGTGAGTCACAGATGCACAATCGTCTCCACTTTATAGATATATATATTTTCACATAAAGACAGCATACTTTAATACAGTGCTCCTCCAGAATGCTGAAGATCTCCTGCATCTCTTTCACTTGAATCTCAACCGTCAGCGTTGTTGACTGAATAACACTTATAGTCTGCATTACGGTCTTAAAATCCACCAAACCATTTATATTGCGATCCAAATCTCTCTTAAGTATCTGAAACATTTACAAGGATTTAATTCCCAACCACACACACTTTCTTTCACCCCCCCATCGATTTTTGACCTACTTTTGAGTGAAACACACTCTTTAAGGGTGATTTATTTAATTGTATATGTAGTATGTGCAAAACTAGCTAGTTTGCATTAATTAGTTGGTGTAAAGCAAATGTTAGAGAGTATATAAACATCGTCAGGAGCACAGTGGTTCTTATAATTGCCAGTGATTGAAACTTTGTGCTACAATTTAATTTTATTAAAAGCCATCGAATCGGGGGGAAAAAATGCAGAAAGTGCAGAAGAATCTCAAGCACTTTCATTGTTGATATATTGGAAGGAATTAAGAAATCTCTGAGTGTAAAATAAAAAGGTGATTTGGGATTTTAAACTGTTCAAAAATCTGCAATACGTTCTCTTGAATAGCTTGTGCAGAGAACTTAAATTGCACACTTAATAATTCAATAGAAGCAGGACTCTTTAGGGTGGAAATGAATTTACATACCTTAATTTGATTCCTCAGTTGGAACATGTTGTTCCGTGTACGTTCGGCCAAAATGTTGCCAAGTGTATTTTTCCATTCAATTGCATGACTCTTTATGCTCTCAATTAATGGACGAAGGTTGATCCTGTGAGAGAAAATTCCAATTTAATTATAAGTTCAATATGTTTTGTGCAAAATTTTCAAGCCAGTTGCGAACCTGGGCTAACATGTGGCCAAGAGAGATTGGTTTGATGAGGGTTTTAGGGGAAACTGGTTGTGCTGGTGATGCTCAAAGGCGAGGAAAATGGGTGACCAGGGAAAAGTTACAAATCAACCAATACACTCTTGCTCACTTCTCTCTCTGATTTAATGAAACTTTTCGGTTTAATTCATTCGCCCAAAATTTTCACGTTCCACACTCTGGCTGACACCCACTCTCTCTCTCTCTCTGGCATGAACTTTAATCAAGCCACAATTTGGAGAACAATATTCAGGGCAATATCTTACCTAATCGCTTTAACGTCGTAATAGGGTTTGTGCTTTCCAAGATCTGAGACGATTTGCATGTAGAAGAGGAATTTCTCATCTAATCGAATCAATGGCATTCCCTTGTTTAAAAACTTCTCACATATTGCCGCCTTATCGAACATCCACAAACTTTTATACTTCTTCCAACTTTGCTCCAGTATATTATATTCCAAATATTCCGCCAAGACATATGCAAAGAAGTGTTAGGAAAAAGAGAAGGAAGTCATTAAAGCACACCAAAATAATGCAATGCTGTGGAGAGAGAAAGAAGGCAAAAAATTCATATAACGCATATAATTCAATCCAAAGATTCAAAGCGTCGCATATGTTATTTTTCCGAAGAGTGCGCTTCTTTTATGGGTCAAACAAACTCCAGAGTATTCACAAGCATTATCATCACCATGAAACAGCCACACAAAAGAGGGGAAAAAAACGATTTTCCCCGTGAAGAGTTATGGATGAAAGTGCTTTTTGTGGAGTCCGGAAAAAAGCATTTTAATTTATGACACTTCAAATTATCACTCTCAGTGGATTTAATCCACTTCAATTTGTTGTAATTTATATATCAAACAGCACAGAAAAAAAGACTGGGAAAAGACCATTGAATATATTGAAATAAACGCACTATTTTCACCAAAAAAGTGCGGTATGCAAAATCCATTGCTCCATTTTTATGTGTTTAGAGTTTTAACTTTATTAAATACAAATATTGCAATTGTGGTAAACCTCGAAGCACACTTTTCTCATAATTATTTTTCATAAAATTCCTTTGAGTTATTTGATTCAACATTTTCACAGTCATACCACATTTCATAATAATTTACCGAGCAATTCATCAAATTGATGAGCTTTTATGGATGAAATGCATAAGTGAAATGTGATAATATGATAGAGATAACCTGTGAAAGAGATAAGTAAAACCGCATAGCAGGAAAATTGAAGTGATTTACCTCGTCATGATACCGCGTTTCGCGAAGCACTCAAATAATCCCCCAACATGAAGTACATCGTAATGGGATAAATCTAAAGTTACATTCTCTGTCGACAAGACGAATTATTCAATTTTATGCACAAAGCCGCAAGAGTGAACACGAGCGGGAAAAATGCAACACGAAATTCAGACATCGACGCAAAGTTCATTTGCATAATGCAATTTCCTAAGCACTAAATTTTTATCACTCGCCACCATAAATTCTTCAGTAAGACATTAAAGTAGGATGTTTCGTACAAGTCAAGAGCCCACAATGCTTAACACAGAGTTTTCCCGCAATCATCTGCGAATTTCAATGGATTTTCTGTGTTAAATTGAACAGGTGACGCTTCTTATTATCTTTATCTTTGGGCAAGGGGGAGATAATATGGTCAGAAGTGGTGTACAGCCCAGCAGAAGTACTTAAGAAGTGAAAGTGTTCAGAAATTTGCAATATTCCATTCTTGAGTGACTATTTGTCTGGATTCTTTGGTTTTTCTTTAATTTTAATGCAGAATCAATTAAAATAGTCAATTTCTAGGTTGTGTCACGAATCAAGTACAGATTTAGTGAATAATTCGCATTCTAGCACATCAATTCTTATACTCAAGTTGAAGAGATAGTAAATCATTGACAAAATTAAGCATTTATATGTAATAAAGGCTGCAAATTGTATTGAAGTGAAACATAACCTCAAAAAAGTCATTTGAACTCGGAAAATTTTTGTTCAAAAAATTTTCTAGACTATTTTGACTCTGAATGAGCAATTTAGAGTTCATTAGCAAATCATAAGAGATGATTTTGTGATTTAAAAAGCTTCCAAACTGAGTTTCTGAAGATCTCTTAGCTATATTTTGAGGTTATGGTCGGAAAAGATGCCCAATAAAGCGTTTAAAAATGGATTCTTGCAGAAATATCAGATGAAATCCTAAGAGTTTCATTATAATTTGGGAATCAATGTGGAAACAGTCTAGAAACTTCAAGTTCTAGAAGTGTTTGGCATACTATCTCCCCCTTGTCTTTGTGTTTACTGTGGCAAACTTTTCAAGTTTTCACACAATATATTGTGTATTATCACATCTATTTTTGACTACGCAAATCTCAAGCAAAGCTCCTAGCAGGAAGCAACTCTGCAGGGGAGGTAGTTTTATGTAAAACATTCATTTTGCAATCTGCCGCTGAAGCATTCAATTTTGCCGTAAACAACCTTCTTCCGACAACCAACCGCATGTCAATCATTCATGAATTTCCCATTCAACATCCGAGCGACTTCGCCTCGGACTTTGCAATTTACCTATTAGGGTCACACCTAGAGTGGAATCGCGAAACCTACCGTGTTAAGTACTTCTTGATGTCGGCAATCGACTGGGCGATTATGTTTTCGATCTGCTTGATGGCACTGGCAATGGTGGGATTCTGAATGATGTCCTCGAAGAAGGACACACTGGGCTCCGTGTCTCGCGGCGCATCGTCCGCGAGATCCTCCGCCGCGATGGGCTCTGGGCGCACGGGCACGGGACAGGGTATGCAGGTGCCCTGCATCCATCGCGTGAAAGTCCGCGTGCGACTGAGGAAGTCGTTGGCCGAGTGCAGGACGATGTTGTAGATCTCCTTGGCGGTGGGACGAAGCATTATTTCCGTTATTGATAGTGTGGCGTCGACTTGAAAAATGGGCTTATCTCGGAGCACCCCCACAAATTGATTGAGGTTATTCTGGGTGAACTTAACAAGAGCACGAAATATCTCACGCTGCCAGTGCTCATAGTATTCGCACATTTTCTCCGAGTCACCTGTGTAGGTGCCGAGCACCAGGGACTCCAGCTTTATCAATTGTGGCCCAATTGATTCATACTGGCGCTGGAGTACATTCATTTTTTCATTGCGTCGATTATTGAGCTCACGAAAGTACTCGTGACAGGGCAAAATTGAATTTGGCTCCACAATCGTTACACGTGAGTCACGTTTTGATGATTTACGGGTGGTAAACTCCTTGCTGTGCTTCCGTAATGAGCTCTTTCGTGCCTCCTGTCCCGCCTCACCACGTCCAAATATCTCATTTCCCAAGATCATAAGGGAGAAACCCTCAATTCGCGACACCCGCTCCTTCACATCATTGGCTATGTATTCGATTTGCAATACCACGGCCGATAAGTGCTTTAGAAGCTGTCACGAGACGGCAAAATACAGAAAAAGAGAGAGAAACACATTATGAGAAAATACTTAACCTATAGTTTATGGATGAGCTGCTTTCTGAGGGTCAATTCGCAATAATAATAGCAAATTAAGGGCTGAAAATTTAGGTTAGGATATTCGAAAAAAAATATGATCAAATTGGTAATGACAAACATAATTAAGGAGGTCAAATATTACACTATTTTCTGGCATCAAGCCGTGATTGGGCATTAGGAGAAAATTACTTGTACGTCGTTAAACCACGAATAAATTGCCTAGAAAACTTGCAAATGCTTTTTATGATTAACTCAACATGACTCGTGCAGTCTTCACTCCATTTGCACCATTGCTAAAATTGATCCTTCAGATCGCAGAGGTGAAATGCTTGCAGAGGGGAAAAAAATGCACTGAGAGGAATCTTGCCACTTTCTACTTTACATTGCACATCACAGTGAAATTGAGTGATACTACACTAATCCTACTTCATGTGAAAGCTGAGAAAACCCATCATCTTCCTCACTTTCCCGTCTTACCATTTTACATCGCGCACAATAAGTAGTAATATTAAATGCCTGCCACGTATATCTGCCAAGTCCAGCTTGAATAATTGATTCTATTTCATGGAGGAGATCCTTCAGGAAGAAGATCTGCGAAATAAAATGGTAATTTTAATACATCACTTTATCATTCAATTCCACTCTCATTTCTTGCATCATCTCTCTTCTTGACTACATGAACTACTAATAAAGTATCACGCAGTGTTCCGCTCTGCAATCTTACACGATATTAGACTTTTCGCGAGAATTTTCACATGATTCCTCCTTGGGGGCCTCTCACTCACATCGAAGTGGTTTCCCACTCCGTGGAGAGAAGGAGAACAGCACAAGAATTGATGTGGTCTCAGGGGTGCGAAAATGTGACGATATCTTCTCGATTTTACAAATGTTAGTCGTTTTTTTTTCTCGAATGTCCTGAATATAAATGCACAGGTATGAGAATTTATTTGCATTATTTAACAAATTTATACCACGATGTGCATAATTATGTAACTTCAAATGAATTTTTTTATGCATTTTGTGTGGAGAAAAAATGGCTAAAAATTCATTTCCAATTGAGCTTTTTTAATTAAAACTTCTTCTGTAACCACAAACTGTCTATCAATATATTTTTGCAGACTGGAGTATAAATTGGACTGGCGCGGATGTATTGTAGGAACTCAAAAATCCTTTGTGCAATTTCTCGTCAAAAGCAGTGAAATGAATACTTGTGCACGGTATGGAATTTCATGGATAGAGAAACTAAAATAACTTCTCGAGAAATGGAATATTTTTTTCTCAGACCCGCTGGCTGGAGTGAGAGAAAGTTGGTCTTACCTCAGCAATTGAGAGCTTCTCGATGATTTCATTGTAGCGCCTGATAATACCTCCAACGGCAATCAGATCGAGATAGAGGGTGTCTTTTCTCATAATTGCCATTCGTATTACGGGCTTCATTTTATAGTCCAAATATTCAAATTGATGCCCTTCGGCAATAACGTTGAAAATGTCATGTGAAAAATTCACTGAGAATTTCACATTAAATTTTACGAGAATCTCATTCCCAATTACTTCTGTCCATGTTGGAATTTTCACTTGATTCGTCGCTGTTATTAGGAATTTCGCCTCCTTCACTTGCGGATGGTTTCTTGCATCTTTATACGCTCCCCTAATGTATTCATTGGCTTTCAGCAAATCCAAATTTGACGCTTCGGGACGACAGAAAAGCCATTTCAGCGTATTTGCCGTCGAGATGAACTTTCGAATGGCCTTTGACTTTGTATTAATCACTCGTCGTTTTTTCTACACACACACACATACACATATAAATATATAGAAAAGGTGAGAAATTGTCGAGAGAGAGAGAGAGTGAAAATCTTCTTGAATTGCACCTTGAGATCGGAGAAAAGTCATTAAATTGGAAATCTAGTGGAGGAACTTACCAAAGAGTACGTCTGCCTCTCTTCGGTCTTATTGATTGATTTCTGCACAACTGCAGAGAAAGAAGAAAACGTGGATTATATGTGAAATGGCGCTATTTTGGCAAATTGCTAATCATGTCGCGTGCAAGCAAAGTTCACACAGAATTCAGCCAGTGAAATAACATGTGCAGAGTTACTTGAAATACTCTGAGAAATCCAAATAATAAGCAGGTGAGTTGTTGAGAGTTCCATGGAATATCCTGTTTATCATTCACACTGCACAAGGAATCATCGTACATAGTGTCTGGCAATACTTTCACGTTTCATTTGTAAAGTTACTGGGAAACGGGATGTTATTCAGAGAGAGAGAGCATCAAGAGCAACTTGATAGAATAATATTCATGCATTGAGAGATAGATTCTTGAGACTTCAGCTCTCAAATAATCCTTGAAGGAAATCATATTCACTTTGCTCAATCAATTTCAAATGAGCTTATAAATTGAGTTTTCAATGGGAACAATAAGTCAGGTGGCTTTTGGGAGACTTGAGTGAATACAACTGTAGTTACTCACAGTGGGATGAATCTATAAATTCCAGCCTGAGTATATTTCCCTGCAGAATCCTATTGACAGTGTACACAGCCTTTTGTTCGAACTGACTGAAGAATTGCTTCTCGTAGTTCAGCATTTTCTGTGTTAGCTCAAAGTATTGCGTCATTGCGATTTGACTTAAGTATGTCTTCGCCACTTTCGGATCCGCCTCAATCAATTGGAACGCCACCACGGACTTTCGCAAGTGTTGATACAACAATCTCTCCCAGATGATTGTGCCGGCACAGTGGGGCTGCTCCCGCAGAAGGGGTGGACTGGATATATTCTTCTGCAAATTGAAAGTACACACAGACTCACACTCTAAACTGGGTCACGAGGCAGAGTTTCTGGCGCTGCGATTCTCACCAAAAATTCATTTTCGACAAGAGTGATTTCCGTGACGAATTTCTTCAGCACATTCTCGTACTTTCTCTGCATATGTTCAATGAATATTCGTCGTGTTTTTACAGTTGGCAAGTCGGCAATCAACTCCAGACCATATTCTGCCGAACGCAGTGAATCTATGCAGTTGTCCAGGACGAATTTGCCCTGTGTTTCACACATTTGAATCTTCCTCCTGAACAGATCCAGTGTTGCCATCCAGTTCTCAAGATTTCCACTGCGAAAGACGTCGTAATCGATCTGAACTATCAAATCAATCAAGCTGTACACTCGCTTCATGATATTGTCCACCTCTTCGGGGTCTGTGATAATCGACTTGAGGCGTGCATTGAACATATTCTCGAATTCAATAAATATTTCAGATATCTCGGCAATGTCTTGACTGATGTGTGCTATGTGATCAACGTCCTGGAACAGGAGATTCCTGTCAAACTCCCACCGAGAGCTGATGTTAGACACTTCAATGAAAGTCCTCGTGTCAATGTAGGCCTTCTTCCACGCGTTGAGAAGTGTGGCCGACTCTGTGGCTCGATTATTGATGGAAATGGCATTATTTTCGAATAATCGCTTCAGTGTCATGAGATCTTTGATCTTCTCAGTGAACACAAAAGAGATTTTCTGCAGAAGTATCAGCATATTGTCATCCCTGCCAAAGTAGCTGGACATTGTCCAGATGTGACGAAGAGCGAGCATCAAATTCGGTAAAAGTGTGTGGATGAGTTGAAAATTTTCACTCATTTTTATGGTCTGAAAATAATTTATTAGGGAAATATTAAGTATGAATACTGCGTAAATTCTCTGTGATTGTGAAAATGCTAACAAAGACTCACCATGAGATACTTCTGAAGCGTGCTGAGGTATTCAGAATTCTCCCTCGCCAATAAATATGCAGATTTAAGAGACTCCAAGCATGGTGACCACAGGTTCTCGATGTCCGATTTGAATTCATTGAGCTTGGCTGTTGAGCATGAAAATGACACATTTCAGTTGAGCCTCAGTGGCTCGACAAAATTAATGCAAAATACCCAATGAAGGGCAATTTGCAGTGAATTGGCAAGGAAAAAAGGGGGTGAAATTGTGAGTGAGAAAAGAAGTGAGTATGAAATTGGAATTCTCACCAAGAACAGAGGCAACAAAAGTGTGATTGAGTTGCTCGAGGAGATTGTTGAATTCCTTTTCTCTCTCGCGCCACAAATCGTACTCGGCAATTGGACTAAAAGTATCTGGCTCCCTCTCGCTGTACATCTTTATAAACTTGTTGGTATATCTCATCCAGCCATTGACAACATCCTCCAGCTGCAGCTGGGTGTAATTGTCCAAATTGCAATTTTCCGGATCGATGGCAATTTTTATTTTGTCCTCATCGAACGTTATATACTCCTGCCCCGCCTGATTATACGCTGTCGGGATGGTGAAGTGGGAGGTGACACACGAGATTGTCCACTCCAGTTGTTTGTCCATAATCTCAATGCTATTCAGGAGCATCTTGCGAACAAGTGGCTCCGCACTCTCCTCCCTCTTTGGGCGCTTGGACTCTGGGGCGAATGTCTCTGGCATCACCTGCGGAGTCAGGGATAATTTCCTCGTCGACTCCAAGTGGCTGTCATCACCGCTGGCGGAGAATCTTTTTGTGTGGAAGGAATTCATATGATAAGAAAATTGTCTGTGCGCCTCATTCCAGCGGTGGAAAGGTGAAAATTGTGCAATTAACCTCACCCCGCTCGCTTTGCCGAGATTGCAACATTCCAGTACTCCGACGGTCTCGTCAGGTCCAATTTGTCCTCGCGCTCCTCCTCCTCGCCGACGCCGTCTAACCAAATACAATTGCGGCTGTTAATGATTTTTGAATGGCCGCCTCTTAGGCTGATAAATTGAGCACATAAAATTAAATTTCACGAATAGTCGTCATGCTTAATCATGCTTTTACGCTCGCGGGGCAAGAAAGGTTGTTAAATTCATTGACGTTTTAATGAAATTTCCTATTTTGTCGTCTACAAAGAAATCCGCAGAAGAGAATTTTCTCAACTCTGCGCCTCAATACAACTTCAATTCTCATTATTTCAAATATGATTTAAACTAAATACCTTGTGAGAAATATGAAATATATTTTTCTCTTATTGCGCAAGAATAAAAATCCAGGGGAAAATATTCAATCAATCTGTTTGCTATCTAATAATTTGACAAATTTCGTGCTCTATCTTCTTAATGGCTTGAGTGAGTATTTTGTTGTCTCTTCCTTGAATAAATGCCAATCATTTGAATAATAAAACACTCCCAGATGTGCAAACTTGAGTGCATCGGTAAATAAGAGGCTTTGAGAAGCCTGAGGAAGAGTTATCGCATCAAGATTTATGTCATTCCCTGAAATATGCATTCAATATTCATGAAATTCACGTCAATCTCTACGCTTCCGAATCCCAGATATATAACATATTTTTTCTAGGAAATTCAAGAGAGAATTATTGAGTTTCTATGTATAACTTCAAACCGCGCAACATGTATATTTCCGCCTAATGATAATGGGTCTTAAATTCCCTTAGTTTATTTACTTTTCAGACTTCTTTTTTCCCCCCGTTAAAATCCCCCCATTAAAACTGTCGAAGAATAAGAAGAGCAGAAAAAACTATCTTTACGGACAGTTGAGATAAATCAAAATTTCCATCAAGATTCTCCCTGTCGCACTTTCTTCTCCTCAAGGAAAGGAGTAATGAATAAGTTATAAAGTTTTTCCACCAAGGATTATTTATCTTACCTGGTGATATTTTTCCCGAGTCACCTTCGTGTGAATCCTCAATGGTGGCACGTTGCTCGAGAGTGGGCTCGCGAAAATGATAATTTGCCGTCCCATGGAATATATTCACGAGGAGATTTCTCACAGTGAGAAAGGCGATTCCTTTTAATGAGCCAACAATAAAGTTGAGAGGCATTTCCGCATTGCAGTCCTCTGCCGATGTGAATCGTTCTATAATGAATTCGAGGATGGTTTGTTGGGTGTTCTCTCGTCCATTATAAATAAAACTATATACTATAGTGAAAACATAGGGTGGGCTGAAAGTCTGGCGGAGCCCACACACCCTCAGTGTCTCACACAAGTGTTAGACAATCGCGGAATTGTGTGGTTTCAGTGGTTTCGACCACGGAGATTGCCACCACGATGATGAGGATTAAAATGCAAATGCTTTATACAGTCGCCCAGAGAGATAAAGTCTTTCTGCTGGCTCCACTCTTTCACCACTCCCAACCCCCTTCCTTCTGCTGTGCACCCCCAAATGTGTTGGACTTTTTTGTCCACCTCACCACCTCTTCGTGCCCAAAATGGTGCCCAAAAATTTATGAGACAAAAGTGTTTGTCTTGCAGAAACAATAATATTGCGGTGTCCATTGAAAAATGCCCCCGCTCTTTCCACCCCTCTGGAGAGCATTTTTATCTGTCGCACCCATCAGTTACGCCTGGCGTCGCCCAAGACTTCGACGCTTCCCGGGGAGATTAAGTTATGTTGCAACACTCGCCGAACCACCGCATCAAGAAAAAAAAAACGGCGAAAATATATTATGCCAACACAAGATGCTTCTGCTTACCGACCGGGAAGGGGTTCTTGCGAACCAGAAAGACATAATTGATGCTCTTATCGAGAGTCTCCAGTGGAATGCGACCAAAGTGACAGTTGAGAATCGGTGTCTTCACGTAATTCTGAATGATCTTCTTCACCTCAACATAGTCAACCTCAGGTTCGGCTGCCACTTCCTCCTCGATATCCGCTGAAAGTTGTATAAGAGAGATATTTTCAATTTAAGTAGACAGAATAGAAGAGTAAATTCTGTAGGAGGAATTTTATGTATTTTATTTCTTATTTTCTCCATCGCATTTACCCAATTTTCACGTAGAAAATTTCAACCCAATTCCGCGCCAGAGCAAATTGTTAGGATATTAAAGTGTCGGTGTTTAATGGCAATGGCTCTAAAGCAATTTCCAAACGCTAAGAATCACGTAGATGGAATTTTTTACACGAAAAATAAATTCTCACCTTTCTTTTTGCTGGCCCTCCTCTTCTTTTTGATCCCTAATAGAGAAAGCATGATGGTCACAATAAGGTCGATCATGAGGAGTGTGTGGGTGTAAAAAGAGAGACATTTTCTTGCTTAATAATTTTTCTGTCAGATGCTACTTGACTTCTCTTCAGTATACCTGCTCCAGCACCTTCTTCTTCGTCTCCTTTTGCCTTTTCTTCAGGCGCGAGCGCGCGCGTGTGTGTGAGTGCATGAGTGGGTGAAGAAAGAAAATCCATTTCAAATAGTATTTTTCTGTCATCTCGCAGACGAAAGTGAAAAATCTATTCACTCGCCAAAAGGGATGGGAAACACATCTTTACCATCTTTCTCAGTTGACTTTGCAGCATCTGGACGATCTAATAAATAATCATGATCAAGTTTCACCTCGGCGTCCTCCTCCTTCAGGTCCTTGCCCTTCTTCTCCTTGCCCTTGCCCTTCCTCTTCTTCTCCTTCACGGGCTCCGGTTCCGGTGTCTGAACGTGTGGCACTGGCAAAAGTGGAGAGTTTAATTGGCAAATTTGTACTGAGCGAAATGCAACGCGACACAAACAATCCCGAAATTCTCTCAAAGGAAATAGCATGGGAAATTAATGCGTCTCACTGTACTCTTGTCTCCTCTACCTTCTTCCACAACTGTGATTTCCGTCTCAACCAGGCGATTGTAGAAGGTTCGATAGATAAATATCACTCTGCTCTCGATATTCCATGCACCAGTAATTTCCGCCTCGAAAAACTCCGTGATAGCTTCAAAGTTGTCATTAAGCAGAATGTCGATGCGCTCGTGGTCAGAAACACCAAAGAAGTGCGATAACTTCTGCCGAAGCCAGAGAAATCTGGGCTCCATACTTCCTCCTTTAGCCCATTTGCTGCCCAACTAACCACACAGAAGAACGAAAAAACACACAATTTCGACGTTAGAATACAGTATCGTTCATGGGGACTTTCCGGTCGGAATGCTTTGCAGCCAAGCGACGCTCCTTGTCTTTTGCAGTCACAACAAACTATACACAAACACTTGATGTTACCGTAGAAACTCTCGTATTGAGTGTCCGTAAACTATGATATCATCGATAAAATACTATTTTATTAAAATTATCCGAGAAACATGAAATGTTGTTAAAAATTCTCGTCTTCTGTGCATGTTCAAATCAAATAAATTCACACTTTAATCACACTGAGGGAAGTCACTGAAAAAAAAAATCTCCTTACGCTTGAATGGTTGGCGAAAACTGTGCCAGACATGCTGGAAAAATAATCAAAATCATATCTCAATTGAAGAGAGAGAGAGCGAGAAATTTTTTCATTTTGTGTTTCAAAACAATTTTCTAATTGAATTGTGCTGACGAGGAAAAACTACACCATGCACTTGACTGATGAAGGGAAATTCTTTTGACTTGTATACACCCAATAAACACTCCGCAACGGAGAATTCCTTTTGAACTCTCCACGTTTCCGGAGTGGGATATCGCAAGACAAAGAGGCCTCCGCCATCGAATGGTGGCAAGTTTCATTGAGTGGCTGCGGAAAAATCAATGAATTGAGTTAATTTGATGGAGCAAATGAAAGTTTCTCAAGGGGTGAAAAGTTAACGAGTGAATCTTTTTTCAATGCGCTGTGCTTCTTCCCTTTTTACCCTTAGCATAAAATACCGCACAAATAACTTGTGAGAAATTTAAATTTGTTGAGAAACTTTTACAGCCTTGACTGGAAAAACATGTGCTAAAGCTTTTGGGAGAAGAAATTTCAATCTCTAGTGGTTGTTTAGGTCAGGATTTTTGAAAGTCAATTGTAGGGAAGTTTCATATGTTTTTTAAGAATTCTTGTAGATGGCATGTTAACGTGAATGAGTATCAATAGACTTGGCAATTGTACAAGAGTGATTCTCACCTTTGATTCATTTGATATACGGGCAATCAGCGCAGTGCTGTAGCGATATTATGCAAATACGTAACAAAGTCTGCAATTGAAGTTCACTGGGTTATTGACAAAGTTAGTCGTGAGAATTTGAGTTATTTGGCAGGTAACCCAGAAAAAACAACAACAGAAACGATGACGATAGGGTATCTCTCGAAACTTAATCGCTACGTCAGGCACAATACAGCTCATTATTGATTGGCGAAACGTGGGGTTGATTGACGGAGAAAGGGTCGGAGTGGCTTTTGAGGTTGTTGAGGCGCCGGAGACACTGAGTGAGAACAAGTTTGATCGAAAATTCCGTGCAAGACGAGAGGAGCAACGCAGGGTGGGGGCTTTTGGACAAGAATCCCTCTTTCTCTCTCGTTAAGGGTTACATTATTTAATAAGGAGACTTTTCTGCTCTGTTTGCGAACATGTTGAATATTATATCAGCGATAAGTAGTGCCACGCTGTCGCAAGTCCCAGCAAGAGCGTGAGGGATTCCCGTGGGAGGTGGTTTGATTGCTGCGAACTGGGTTCATCTGCAATGAAGAGCTGAGCGTGAGATGATTTGGCAATTAGGCAAGAGAGATGGAGGATATGTCTTAGGGGACGGGACAATGTGTGTGTGTGTACCTTCGCACCGCCAACCGTCCTCCGATTCGTAGGGATACTCCTCCTTGCACATGCACAGCAGCTGACCTTTGCAATATGCCCTCGTTATGCAGTGATTATCATACATGCAGCGCTTCCCGATGCCTGGGCAGGAAAGGAGTGGAAAATTGAAATTGCCATCGCATGGGAGCCTTTCAATTTGCACATTCTGTAGAATTTTATTTGATCACCTCACTCACCCCCCACGCAGGTCTCATTGGTGGAGTCGGGTCGATAGCCTGAGGCACATTCACACAATCCATCGACGCAGTTGTAGGCCAGAGCACGACAATCACGTGTAAAATGGCACTGCTGTCTCCATTCTGCAATAGAAATTGACAACCGGTGGAGTGAGGACAGGGCAATATGCCTGTTAACATATAGGATGTCTTGTTCCAATATTCTTCTTGGCCCCAAAGGGGATGTTCTCAGCAAGGATTACTCACACAGCGATAAGCATATCAAATTATACATGTGCCAGAGAGATGTTTTCGCCAATATTTACATTCAATTTTGGTCATTGTGGCAAAATTTGAAGCACAAAATGCATTACAATAAAATATATGGTATTTTCTTTTAATTGTATTAAAGTCAATTGAATTTTTTTTCAATTTGTATGACAAAAATGAATAAATTTATTAAAATTCACTTTGATGTCGCCCTAACACACACGCACACACCTTTCGTAATTTTTACAATTATATGTTTTTGCTTTTCAATTCAACATTTCAATATGGTTTACCTTTATTTACTTGACTTCGGATATTTTTTTGTGTCACATCCAATTTTTCATTATTGCTAATTATAACTGGATTTGAGAGTTTACATAAACATCCCGCGATAATGATTAACAACAGTGAATGCATGCAAATTGAATTATTCATTCTTGTTGCCTAATTATTTATTATTTAACACGCTCTCACACTGTGACCGAACCTTTGATAGAACCCGACACACACACTATGCATAAATTAATCTGCAAATTTAAAAATTAATTAGGTTGAAAAAGAATAAAAAAAAATTAAATTCCAATGAAAGAGAATTACACATCTACTATTAATGACTTGATTTCGCTGTCAAATGCCCTGTTAAATGCTCTCTTTTTTCGCGGACTTCACATTTTTTCGCGCGTGATTCACACAGCGACGATGCTCACACTTTGCATATATGCGAACGACAGTGGTGAGCTTAGCGGACTAAACATCAAGCACGAGCAATTGGTGATGAGAAGCCATTGAGGAAGCTCGAATTTACAGCTGTTGGGATAGTAATTTGTATTACACAGCCTTTTTTTCTGTGCCAATCTCCTCAATGCATCTTTTTCGCACCCACCAAAACGGTGGCAGAGAAGCCGTGGCTCTGTCTCTCTTCGATAGACTTCATCAATCATCGTCTGCCTAAAATGTGGAAAATGGAAAGTCATACAGTTTCTTTTTCCACCATTCTCCATTCCCTCTTTCAACCCACTGAATGGAGGGTGTTTTGTATTGAAAATTGTGCTCTATGGCTCTGTGTCATTACAATGGCGTTTAAATTACTCCTAGAATTTATGAATGGATATTTTTTTCTTATGAAAATTATTGTTACTCTTAATTTACTGATGAAGTGCGATGTTTTTCCTGCAATTGAAAACTAAAGGAATATATTCCAAGACATGAACTGTGTGAGTGCTAAAATAATCCCATAATAGTATTCAATATTTCTGTTTTAATATAGTATGAAAATGACGTGGCAGAAATTGAAGAAAAACTAATCACATAGAAATTCACTCAAAGGCAAATTTTCCTTGAGTTTTGCACCGTTCCATGTAATTTTTGGATGACCTAGTTTAATTATTTCCACCCCAGCACAATTACGCTTCGTCAAATAATAGTTCAAACAACCAGAACTTACAACAATGTGTAACTTGTATTAGAGAGTTTCCGCAAACATACAATTTTCGCCGATGATTCGCCAATATACCAGTTTTCCTTCCAAAGAATGACTTTGATGTTGCGCACGAAATATGTACATTTATCGTGATGTTACAATAAAATTGCCAAAAATTCCATTTTGTAATTGCTGAGCATTTACATTTGAATGTATCAAAGCGTGAGTGCAAGCTTTTCTATTACCTTCTCATTCTGCTCTTTTGATGTAAATATAATTGATATGGGGACAAATTAATTTATTTTGCAATATTTGTAGATAGAACGAAAGGAAGGGGAATACATTTGGAATATCATTTCCTGAATCTCCCACCTAAACGATATATATGTACTTTTTCACTCTGTATAGCGGATTTCCTGGTGGAAATATCCCTGGCAGGCATTGAGTTGTGATATTTGTTTGTTGACTCTCTTGCAAGGGTGTTTTACAATCTCTCCTCTCACACTGAATCCCTCAAATTTCCACCTCATGTGAACTCCATTACGTGCAAGTAATTGAATTAGTTGCCGGCATGAGAATGGATAGAGGTGGTTAGAAAGGGGCGAAATATCATCCACTAAGTAGCAGCGCGCGAGCAACTATTCTCTCCATTCTCTCCTCGTGAGCGTGTGATAAAATGAATGGGCCAAAATAAAGGAGTGAAATACCCACGGAAAAACACAAAATTTTATCGCAATTCTTGGAGAGGCGCACAGATACTTTTATTATTTCAGCATAAAAGCACCGGGAAAATGGAAGGAAATGATAGAAATTACTGCTATGGCTCCTCTCACATCACAAGAGTTGGCTTTTCCCATATTCCTTTGTATGCCTCAAAATGTATTTTACAACCTGAAAGTTGTTGTATATCTTTTCAGTCATTTATTTTTATTTCTATGTGATTTATTCATTCCCTCACGCACTGTCAAAGGGAAACTCCGCGTGCAATGTCAACACTTCTCTGCCAAAGTCCTCTTGAGAAAGCCCTTTTCATATTTGTTCACTCCCACAAAAGCCTCTCATTTTAATGAAACCTCCTTTCTGCAGAACATCTTATCCCCAAATGCATCAAATGATTAGACTTTGTGCAGTACTTATAGATTGATCACTCTGTCTGTGTTTGTTTCTTCTTTGAAGGAGAAGCTTTGGCGACTTCGTGCCATGTCCAAGAAAACCCCCAGTAAAGAATTTTAAGATAAAGAAAAATAAAATTCGTCGTCAATGGCTACAGAGAAATTTTCCATCCCTTGAGGGTGAATTACATTTTCACCCATTTGACATGTGAGGGAAAAATTCACTGCAGATTTTTCTCTGGTTCAGGAGCACCCAGAAAAAAAATCAATCGGTTTTCCACAAATCTACTTCTCTATCAACCGTATTTTATGTGAGCTACGCAAAAGAGAAAATGCCAGACAGAAAACAACTAACGTGAAAAAAACATCTAAATTCTGCGAAATAAATAGCATGAAATATTTTCATGTTGACGAAATCAGGGCGGAAGGGAAAAAGGACTGTTTGTGGGTGAATTCAATCTGAAATATTGCATTTGGAGTTCTGTTCTTTCCGAAGAAAAGTTGGGAAAAACAATATAATAGTTTCTGAAAAACCCTCAAAGGATTTCTAGACAATAAGGATAATTTATATTATTTTAATTTCATAATTGCTTCATATGCAAGACTGCCTTTTAATTATAACATGTCTAGAAACTTTTATTACTTTTTAAATATTTAGTTGCTTGTCAGTTAGAAATTCCCAAGAGGAAAAGACACAATTTTTCGAAATGAATCAAAAGCAAAGTGTAAAAAAGGAACTCTTCCAACATCAATCAGGAGTATAATTTAAAATGCAGCACCTAATTTTCCAGAAAGACTATGAAAATGCCACACTGTTCTGCTAATATTGTCGTGCAATTTTTCATTTATTCATATGCAGCTGCCCTCTTCAACATTAATTTCACATCACTCTCATTTATCTTCATTCAGTACATCAGTCTGTGCAATTATGCTTGCCATTCCTTGAAATTTTAATACTAATTCAAGCGTGCTCAGTGAGTGGAACGTACGTTACAACCGTTAATATTTGTCTACATAGTTTCTGTATTAAGTAGTAAATAACAAAGTGAGGGTCACATCGTACGTAATTGAAAGCCACGTGAAGTTTTTTTTCTCCTGAAAAGTGTTTGAAATGCGTAATTATTTAATTCCAAGTTGCAAAAGTTCGCAGCAGCAAATTTAATTACCGCCCAGAAACCAGCAAAAATTCGTGTTGAAACAGTTTTTCCTCTTTTTTTTTCGCTAACCGCCAGAGTCATGGTGGCGAAAAGTAAGAGTGAAAAACTCTTTATTCATGGGATATCTTTTAGAGGTGCATTTCAGCACTGTGTAGTGTGTCTATTTAATAAACTGCTTGCGAAAGTTTTCTCCGTGAAAATTCACCATGAAATTCTAGCGGGTGTAACTGTAAAGAGCGAGAGGGAGGGAGAGAGAGAGAGGGTGGGAGTGGCGGTGGAAAATTCATCACAATCAACGATTGCAAAGTTATAAGAGAAGAAAGCTTCTTACCTGGCTGGACTTTTTTGTGCTCTCATTGCCACCACTCGAAATGGCTTCTTCTGCACCCCCCGCATCCCCCTTCCCAACCTACTTAATTCATTGCTGATGGCGAACAGGAGGAAAAAGTTTCAAGGAAAAATTTAATCTTCTTGCAAAACTCCGTGTTAATGCCAAACGAAGGAACAATAATGAATGCTCTGTAATCGAAGGCTCGGAGTCTCGTTATGAATTAATGGAAGAAAAATTCAGGGGAAAAGCAAAATCAAATTGTTACATGACATGAGATATTGGGTATATGTGAACTGAGACAGAGAGGAAAAGCATCTGTAGTCGAGCAGACACAGATGATGTGAAAGTGAACTTGTGTCGGTCTAGAGAATTTTAAGGAGATACTCGTCAATTCCATACATCGCATAAAATGATAATCCTATCAATTTATATTGTTTGTCTATATGAAATTATTCCTTCTCTCATCGTCAGATCGAATCTCCATTCCATCTCTCGATTTCATCATATCACACATTTTTTTTCTGCTGCGAGCCATTTTCCCTCCCCTCCCCTCCCATTCTGTATATATTTAAACAGATGCACGCGGAAAAGAGGGAAAAAATAGATTATTTTCAATTCCACGTGAGGTATTTGTATGTAAATTCCAATCGTTAATAGGCGCCGATGATGGAGGATCACGTGGAGAGAAATTGACAATTTCAAGAGTAAACTCAACTTGTTATGCGCGATGTTTGTGCAGGGACTTTTTCTTCCCTCCAGCGCAATATATATGCAAAATTATGACTGTAACTTTTTGCTGAAAATCACATATATATTTTCTGTACTTTGCAAAGTTAACGGTGATTTGATTTTTGAAATTTCACTTCAAATCCATAATTGCCTTAACTGCCTTCCTCAATGAAGTCTCTCTCATGCGCTTATCATAGCGCCGAGATAAACAGCCTAATTCCTCCTCCTTATCCAAAACTACACAGCGGTTTATTAAGCTAATGCCAATGATGTCAATTTGGGTCGAAATAATGGAAGGCTTAAAGTTGCTCATGAAAGTTTTTACAAAATATACCATAAAAGATCATAAAAGGCTGACATCTAATCCGGACGATGTGTGGCTTCTTCCTATTCAAATGAAAAGCCAAACGAGGCACTAGAAAGAAATGTTATGCAATGAAATATTCTGTGGCTTAGGTTCACTCACCCTAATCCCAGGCGTCTTTGGCAATTCATGAGATTGGAAAAGGAGCGATGTGGCATTTTTTTTTTACTTTAATTTCTCTAAGAATCATGAAAATCTTCTTTACGAGTGAGAAATTCAACAAAGTATAGATGAAATGCTGGAAGAAATACACCAGCCACTGTGAATAATGTATGAGACTATATAGAATTATATGTCTTTATTCCTCTATCGTCGTGCATAAATCCATTCATAAATTTGTGAAATGAGGAATTAATTATGTGACAAAGGCGCGACATGGTGAGTACGAGAGCGATGGCTCCTTGCTGGGGACCTCCTTTCACACTCTGGATGCTGAAAGAAAATCCTGCAAGCGCCAGTGGGAAAAGAAAACTGGTGATGGTGGTGATGGAGGAAAAGTCAAATGTGAAATTGGGTGAAAAAAAAACTTCCGGGTGGTGGAGAGAGCTCTCTATCTGGGGGATGATTAACAAAAGACGGAATCGAGAGAAAGAAAAACACATATCCGTCACAAGCATACCCCGCAGATTCCTCCCTGTCGTTCACTTTGAACTTTCAATCGGGTGAGACACAGCAAATTGTATTTGATGTCTGTGGCAGTGGTGGCTTAATTAATTAATTCCACCATCCGGGGATGAAATTCCTGCTGGAGCACAAAATATGCCATCGAAAGGGAGGAAATGAGGAAAAGTCTGACAATATATTGGGAAATTGAATTTTTGCACACACTCAGCTCTACGCACTGGAAAATCATAATTAATCAGGGGAAATATCTCTATTCCATACCTTTCGCACAGCATCTCTTACGAGTATGCTTTATTAAGTATATGTACTTATATATGTATAGTATACACACATTAATTATAAAGATAGAGACGTATTAGCACCACACAACCATGCATTTTGGTACTTGTCGGCAACATTGTTTCATGCAACTTTCCTCAGATAGCGTTGAGAGACTTAAAATGAGAATAAGTTGTCTAAAAAATGAATGAATCTTCACTTACCTCATTTATGCTTGAAACAGAACTTTCAAGTGGCAGATATTATGGTCGGAAGTGGTGTACAGCTTTCGTTGAAGTGTTAGAAATTGAAAGTGGCAAAATATTTGCATTTTGAAAGCTTCCCTTTCAACAAATTGAGATATTTTCTAAATTATTTTTCACACCCTTGTGTATTTTAATCGAATAGTTACAGCATATTTACCTCTTCTTGAAGCGATAATTAATACATCATTAGTTGATTAAGGCATCAATGCAAAGTTTCACTCTCACATTTCGCCTCATTTGACCCCTAAAAGAATGTGTCATTATGTTTGATCACGCGAGAGAAAAAAGGTCACAGATTGCATTTTTATTGGATATGGTTCAAGAGCACATAAATCCCCACGCTCCTTTGATTAAGCCTCAACGTAACCGGCCGATGATACTATAATCTCAATTTCTCCCAATTCTATTGTAATCTTGCATGGAAATACCATGACTGTGTGTAAAATGCCTCCGCCGATAACCTTTTTTTGCGATTTCTCGGCAATCACATATATGATTCTGCCACGGAGTGAAAACAAACGAGGTAGGGAAGAATTTGATAAAAAAATATGGGCAATTTTTTGGCGTATAAAAGGGTGTTGCGCTGGGAGTGATCTTCAGTCAGTCAACATGAAAGCCATAGCGTTGGTGGTTTTCGCGTGCTTCGCGCTAGCGAGCGGGTACTATATGACAAAGGATGTCAAGTACGCCGACAAGGACTTCCTGTACAAGCAGAAGGCCATCCTCGAGGTGCTCCAGCATGTCCACCAACATGAGGTTCACACGCAACTGTGGGAGGACTCGAAATTGTACAAGATCTACGAACACTACAATGACTACACCAACGTGACGGCTGTGAAGGAGTTCTACATGTACTACGAGAGTGGAATGCTGCCATTCGATGAGATCTTCTCCATCTTCAGCGAATACCAGCGCAAGCAGGTCATCAGCCTGTTCAACGTCTTCTACTACGCCAAGGACTGGGACACGTTCTACAAGTCGATGGTCTGGGCACGTTTCCACATCAACGAGGGCATGTTCGTGTACGCCTTGACCAGCGCTGTGCTCCATCGCAAGGACCTCGTTGGCATCGTCCTGCCAGCTCCCTACGAGATCTACCCCTACTACTTCTTCAACAGCGAGGTGATCCAGCTGGCGCAGCAGTACAAGATGCAGGGCTTCTATGGCATGAAGAAGTACGGCGATATCTACAGTGTCACGATTCCATCCAACTACACCGGCTGGTACAAGCACACGAATGTGGAACAGAAGGTGTCCTACTTCACGGAGGACATTGGTCTGAACAGCTACTACTACTACTTCCACATGGACTACCCCTTCTGGATGGGCGGCAAGGAATTCGGACTGTACAAGGACCGTCGCGGTGAGTTCTACTTCTACCAGTACCAGCAGCTGCTGGCTCGCTACTACCTGGAGCGTCTCTCCAACGACATTGGCATCATTCCCGAGTTCAGCTGGTCCGAGCCCATCAAGACTGGCTACTACCCTGACCTTCGCTACTACAACGGCGTCTACTTCCCCAGCCGTGAGAACTACTACATGTTCAACACTGAGTACAACTACTACTACATCCAGATGATTGAGATGTATGAGAAGCGCATCTTCGACGCCATCGATCTTGGATTCTTCTACTTGCCCGACGGAACCTATGTTGACCTCACGAAGCCTGAGTCCATTGAGTACCTCGGAAACCTGTTCCAGGCCAACCCCGACAGCAAGAACACACGCTACTTTGGATACCTCGAATTGTACGCCAAGATGCTCCTGTCGGCCTCACCTGAGCACTTCGAGACATACAAGATGATCCCTGGCATCATGGAGCAGTTCGAGACCGCCATGCGCGACCCGGTGTTCTATCAGCTGTACAAGAGATTCCTGAAGTTCTACTGGCAGTTCAAGGAACACCTCCCATACTACACCTACGATGAGATCTACTTCCCCGGAGTGAAGATCGAGACTGTTGAGATCGACAAACTGGTGACCTACTTCGACAAGTTCGAGTCTGACATCACCAATGCCGTCGATGTTGAGGTGTACGATGAGAAACTGCCCATGTCTGAGATGAAGAAGTTCGGCAAGATCGCCCACTACCAGGGTGAGGACTTCGTGATCAAGGCCAGCCAGTACCGTCTCAATCATCTGCCCTTCACTCTGAAGTTGGACGTGACAGCCGAGAAGGCCACGAAGGCATTCGTGAAGGTCTTCATTGGACCGAAGTATGACAGCTATGGCAACATCTACACAATCAACGAGAACCGCGAGAACTTCTTCGAGTTGGACAGCTGGGTTGTGGACCTCAAGGTCGGCCTGAACAAACTCGTGCACCAGTCAACTGACTTCACGTGGTTCGTGAAGGACCGCACCACCTACTATGAGCTCTACAAGTACGTGATGCAGGCGCTCAAGGGCGACTACAAGTTCCCTCTGGACATGAGCGAGGCCCACTGCGGCTTCCCCAGCCGACTGATGCTGCCCAAGGGCAAGAAGGGAGGCTATCCCTACCAGTTATTCTTCTACGTGATGCCCTACGTCGCCCCCAAGGTCGAACCCTTCTCCACCTACGACTACACGATGAGCTGCGGTGTTGGCTCTGGCGCTCGCTACAACTCCGCCTATCCATTCGGCTACCCGCTGGACCGTGAGATTAACGAAGTGTACTGGTACACGCCCAACATGAAGTACTACGATGTGTTGATCTTCCACAAGACTGACACAGAGATCAACGCTGTGTACTAAAGCATCTCATCCAACATCCGATACTCCGTTTCCCTCTGTGATGGAGGGAAATTGACGTGACCCCCTCCCCCATGACAGTAGTTTAGTTCTCATTAAGTGTGCAAGATGATGCAATGAAAAAATCTACAAAAAAAGGCGAAGGTGAAGAATAAGAAATACAAAAAAGTAAAATGAAATCAAATGTATTTTAATACTGTTGGGAGTTTTACATTGGAAAGTGCGCTGTTTTCCATTTCCCACCAAAAAAGGAGCTAAATTACCATAGCAGAACAATTATTTGAATTTACCAAGATTTATTCCTTATTGGTCACAGTAAATCTCAACAATCTCAATTTCCACCAACCAACCAAAGCTTCAGAGAGTTTCGTATTGCAGCATATTATGGTGTTCGCTTGAATTACAATTGCAACTTACATTGGCTCCTTTTGTCGCAGATGCTGAAATTGTGAAGAAAGGAATTGAAAATTCAATGCTTTTTCCTTCAACTTATTCTTTAATAATCTCATATAGTGTAATATTCTCATCATTCTCTCGACCTTCATGACAACAATATATACTTAATCTCACATCGCTTAAGGACTAGGCAAAAAATGTACACAAATTCATCTCATCTTTATGCCCATAATGAAGTTATCTCTCCAGGCCATCCTCTATACGGCAAATTATATTATACACCTGATTGAGTTTAATTTTACCATAAGATTAAAATGGGATTCTCTTTGATTCTCATCTCAGCTCAACACACATTTCTCGACTACACAGCATCGCAAATCTAACCGTCGAAGGAGAATTCTGAGTGAGTATTTCAACGATGGTATCACATTCGTCTGACTTTACTCTCACGGCTCATCATTAGCATATTGCCTACAATTCTTCTATCATTTATAATGGGATTTTTTTTCTTTTCTTTATTTTATTTTCCATTAACATTATAAGTACGTATTTTGAATATCTCTTGCTGTATTTACATTTACTAAAATTTATCAAATCATCTTTATCAACACACCTTTACAAGATACAAGATCAATTTTGGACTGGATGTCGTATCCACAAAAATATATTATACAACTTTACCAGTATCTTTCTCTTCCTCCGCTACAAAATTTGATTCTTTTCTCTGTGTGATTTAATTTGTCGCAATTTATCAAAAAAAAATGGCAAATTGAGATTTGATGGATTTCTTCTCGTTTTTTTTCCTCTTCTTCCACTCCTTATCAACTCAATTGGGCGAAGTGGGTAGAAGAATTCATCATGATCTCCCACTCTCCACGCCATCTCATGTCTCAGGAAGAGTGTCCTTTTTCTCATTTGCCACCAATCGCTTGAATATTTAAAGGAAAAATTGTCTTCTATTTGAATATATCTCTGTAATCTGATGTGTTTCAACAGCGACCACAAGACTCGAATATTTGTATTTCATATACAAATTTAATTATATCCAACAAAAGTGGATTGAAATTCAATAGTTCTGGGATGAGGTGTCAAATTCTGTCACATCATCATTCTATAACCATACAAGAGAGTGTATTCAAAATCGTTAAGATCATTAGTTGTATGGTTACGATCAGCTACAACACTTTTAAACATATCATAATGCAAGGAGGTGATGCAGCAAGAGCGCAAGGAGGAAGAGACAAACTGGGGGCTTCAATTTGAAATCGTGTCCAGTGAGCGGAGAATTGTCGGGATCTCGAGGATGTCGCGGCGCCTCCAGGCCCAGCAGATTAGGTGAAATGGTGGTCATAGACTTGGTTGTTATGGCAATCTTCTCCTGCACACTCTTGTGATACACGTTGAGAATGGAGACTTCGCACAGGAGACTCACAACCGTGACGTGTTGAAATTGTGGATTTGATTTGAATATTGCTTGCAACACTTGACTATGAGGATAAATTTCTAATGTGGAAAATGTGCCAGAACTCTCATATGCACGATACGTTATTCGTTGGGATGAAGTTTTGTATATCTGAAATCATCAGGAAGTAACATTGGTCTCAGGCTTCGTAGCCCCGGAGATGTCTACCTTAATGCATGACGCTACTTTTTGCTCTACACATCCCTCAATTTAGAGGGTGTATAGCATTGAGAAATTTGTCAGTGAATATACTCTCCAAAGTCACAGGAGATTCTCGTCTCAGCTCGTATTGTACAGTGTTGAGGAGAGAAATACACCCAATTTGAATGGATGTGAATTGACCCAGCGAGCACAAGATGCTAAGAAATCAACGTTGAGATTTGAAAAGCTAAATTTCACGCTTTCTTTCGCTAAAATTCGATGAGCGCACTAGCGACAAAAATGAGATATTTTCATGGTACGGGAAACGGGATAAAGAAAATCCCGTGAAAGATAGACTTCCTGTTTCCTTGCTAACTTCTGATCAGAAAAAGCATAAAATTTAGCAAAATATATTGCAAAAAATTCAGAAAATTGTTAAAAGAATTAATTGAAATTTTAGTTCAGTCACTTTAGCTCTTTTTAGCTAAAATATCTGTTGTTTTCTTAGCTCTTTTGGCTCACTGGGAAAGTCATGAATTTTGTAAAATGCACCGGCAAATTCACTTGATGCGTAGTTTATGGGGTGTATTTCCATCCTCTCCACTGTGTTTCACTTCCAATTCTTCTCATCTGACACCGCAACAGGGGAGTGAAAAGTAATTTTGAAACTTACTCGTCTTCCATTCATGTACCATGTGATATTGGCAGGTGGAAAAGACACCCCGATGGAGCAGGCTGCTTTAAAATTTCCACTCGGCGCCACAGTTTTCTTATCAATTTGCATTATTGGCTCCTCCTTGGGTAGCTCAATCACCATCATCTTTGCACTCTTCATGGCTGTGTGGAAGAGCGGTGCATCTTCGGAGACTTCGCACTCGAATTGACCCGTTAAATCACGCGTGACACTTCGCAGTGTCACTGAATGTTTATCTGACATGTTGAGCTGCAAGAGGATAAACAAGAGCAGAAAGGAGCAAACATGAAGACAAATCAGCCACGATTGCACAACGACTGGGGGGGGGGAGGTTAAATTACTTGTGATTTAATTTTATATGTGTGTATCAATTTAGGAGCATATAAATATAAAGCTGCACAAGAGCATGGGGAGAAATAAAAGAGAGATAGCTGGCAAAGTGAATTTACATCAACAGATATTCCAGACACGGGAAACACTCTTTCCGGTGGCGATTCCTTTGGGACGTAGCTGTAGAATTCCTCCTTCTCGAAATACCATCGCACAGCATAAAGTGATGCCTGGGAAAAAAAATAACACCAACAAAATATAATTGCACTCCGTTTCCGAGCAATCTTTTGTCCAATATTGCTTTGCAAAGTATAGACCCATAGTATTGAAAAATCATTGCAATATTTTCCCCAGTCTTCGCATGTGCAATCCACCCCACACTCCACCGTCAACAGGAAATTGATGAGAGTTTGCAAATCCCAATGAAAAATAAATTATAGCTCTTTTATAAAGCTCTTTCGTAATTTACACCAGCGTAAATTACTATATTACAAAACTAACCACATTAAATAGTGCAAGCTTAAAAATTTCTCCCTGTGAATTAAACAGGATTCCTTCTGACAGATATTTTGTTTATGGGAAAAACTTTTTCTATTAGGTACACGCTAAGGAAACAATTCAATTTTCTACGCATCACTTTCTTTAAATGCGTTATTGGAACAGTAAAGTAATAAAGTTTGGAAAAAGTGAAAGCTCTGCACTTTGCTCTTGGTGAATTTGTTAACGATTTGCCAGCCATATAATGTAAAAGACCTATCCAATTAGCGTTACAGCTGGCTTTTAATTGTCGTGCCACGTAAAGTTTTGAAATGCACTGTTTCCCTTAATGTATCCAATAAAACCTATTATTGTAGTTTAAGTTGGCACCACGAGACTGGCTGGGTTTTGTGAGATGTGCGACGACTGTTGGAATTGGTAATGAAAATAGTTCCAGCGATAAAACTTTCTGGCTGTTCTTTGTCTCATGAGAGAAAAACTGGGTATTTGCCCCAGGAAAATGGTGCATTATTTTCAATTTCGCTACAAGCAACTCCAATTTCTAAGGTGATAGAATTGCCAGAGGGTGAAACGAGGGCGAAAAAGCAAGTCGATTTATTGCAAACACACGCATTTTTTTTCTTTTTCTTCTACCCACCTTTTCCAAGTCATACTGACATGAAAGAGTAACGGCATTCCCCACTATGACGGCATCTGGTACAAATATTTTTAAGTCTTTTAAGCAAAACACTGTGAAAATAGAGAGAGAGAGAACATATATATATATATAGTGGAAGCATTATTTATAAGGTGCCTTCATTTTCTTTCATTTTCAATAAACAATATACACCGCACAAATATAAAGGATCTTTTCGCTGACGGGGAAAAGCCATGGGGAAAATCGACGGGATGTTGGAGAGGTAAATAAAGAAAAATTCAGGGAGAGAGATCGAATGGTTGAATTTATGTTGGAGTTATGGAGATAATATGAGGAGAAAGATAAAATTGTGTGAATGTTAGAAATAGAATTATGATTACATTTCTTCTTTTGGCCTCTCGCATGTCTTTTATTCTTCTCAGCCACATTGCCAATGTCTATGGCACAGTTTTTCCTCGCAAATCATCATAAATAATATTTGGTGAAAATAATTCACTTTTTTCTGCTCCAATAGAAAAGCATCGCACACGGAATCGAATCAATCAAGGAGAGATTGAAATCAACAGACGATAATTACACCTCATGATGACTTTTAATAAATGCGGCTTTCGTGTTCTTCCTCGCATAGAACAGTAAGGAAAAATAATTTTGTGGCCTTTTCACGGGTCTGAATTGTACATAAGACTGCAAATTGTTACTTAATTACAATTTTGCATTTGCAATCTTTTCGAAAAAATCACTGTTTTGTGTGTAAAACTCAATGCCAAACAAGAAGTACGCTGAGAAATTCACAATTGTGCAGCTCTCCAAAGACTTTTCTTAAGAATTTTCTACATTGAACAAGTTTAGTTTCCGTAAAGGATTGCACAAGGAATATTGATTGAATCGAATTGAATAAAAAAAGGGATTTCATTGCATTTCCATGGATTTCCTTGATGATCTTCGCCACTTCAATATCTCATTAAAGGTCGGGGAAGAAAGCTTCAAGAAGTAAAGTGCGTTTCAATGGATCTTTCTGCGGGGTGAAAAAATGCAAAGTTCAACGTGATTTTCTATAAATTTCCCACTTTATTTATTTAACATGAATTCAATTTCCATCTGTGTTCATATTGTAAAGTATTTTCGCACACACGGAGTCAATCAATTCCCCATTCAGCAGACACACTGAGAATATGTAGATAACTCTGCTGGTATTACACACGGAGGAGTATAAAATGTTAGGTAAAAGTACCTACGTTTTTTTTCTTCTCTCTCTCTCTCAACATTCCTCTCCTCTTTTTGTGCCATTCTTTCCCTGATATGGGTATAAATTTGCCTCCCCACATAATGGCATCGTCTTCACAGTGGCAGGAAAGTGAGGAGAGAATGCAGAAAGAAATATGGATCGGTGTGTAAGAAAAAAAGGGAATTCACCCACATTTCCCTTCATTTCAATTCTTCTTCTTCAATTCTCCCTTTGATACGAGAACAATCATCTTTTTCGCTGTCTTCGGGAATGAAGATCATAAAAGGGGCCAAATTTGTGTGGATATAAAAGAAGCAAGAAAAAAACACAAACTGACGCGCTTCACCTTTCCTTTTCTTTTCCCTCAAACACACACACACACACAGAAACACACGTTATGACACAAAAAGGAAAAGCTCTCATCGTGGAGAGAAATTGTAAAACCAATGAAAACTTTGGCATGTGAATTCGCGTTATGATTAATAATAGCACATAAGATAAGCAAACGCCTTGCTAAGCTCATTTACGAGGGCAAATTTGGAATGTGACAAAATTCATTGTGAGCTGAGTGCTGATAAAATCAAGTCGGCAAGAAATTCAGAGATGCCAGAGGCTCTTTTGCCAAATCAAGATTGTGGAAAACTTTTAATTAATAAGGATATTGACGAGCACTTATGCAACTCTCTGCACTATTGTTCTCCAATTTATCTACACTGACATTCAAGATTGATCATGTGAAAAATTGAGATGAAAAGAGAATTAAAACATACAATCAAAGAGAAGTTAAGAGTTTAAGCACAATTTCTCAGAGTCTTTTCCTTGTGAAAGTAACAAATCTATGCTGAACAGTTTTCCCATGACAATTCTTTGGTTAAAGTCCTAACAAACTTTTCCCCACAGCTTAAGAAAATGCTTTACTCTTGGCTTTACCTTAAACATGACATGATGATGACTGGAGAAACACATTTGAGAATACCTCAGAAAGACTAAAATGCACATCTTCATTCCAACAATCTTGTTTGTCATGTGAAATGAAAAGTTTTCAACTCTCTTAATACGATTCAAGGGGGAGATAATATGCACTAAACCCCTAAAGTTTCAAAATAAGAGAGATTTTTAATTGAAATTCACGACTTTTTCCGTTCCCTCGAAAGTGGTTGCATGATTGGATTGATGTGTAGAACCCGAAATTGAATTAGGAGCTAAATTTGGAATTTACATGGGATAAACCCACTGGGATCATGCTTATGGGTGATTTGCCTGATAGAATATTCTCCCTAATCAAGGTATCGACACATAATAGTTTTGGGTTTCCATGTGTTAATGGTGAATCCATCAATTTGAATTAGCAAACAATCACTCAGCCCACAATACGCATCAATCGAAAATCCACGCATTTCTCCTTACTGGAAATTTAAGTATGGATTCCATGTGTTGTCTCTTGGCATTTATGGAAAATTGTGTTGGCAGAATATCATAAGATTCATGAGATTCGCGGTTGAGGAATTTAATTATACACCCACTTCACAGTTGGAGAAGAAATATTTTGCTGAATTTAATCAATTTGAAGTCACACAGAGAGAATCGGGAAAAAATTTTTCCACTGATGCATCCTTTGATGTCTCAAAATATTCTAATATTAATACAGAAGCGTGTCCACAAAGCAATTCTCCAGTGAATCTGCAGAATTCCAGACGCAAACAAATTTATGCGCCCTTTCTCGCTCTGTCAATTGGAAAACTGCATCAAATTTATATTTGATGAAGCTTTTACAGTTCCATTTCCGCCCCTTATTGCCGACCATCCGTCGAGAGTTTCAATAAAACCGTGAGAGTGAAATTAAATTCCTTTTATTTCTCTGTGTGCGCCTCACTGCACCCCGGATGAGATCCTGGACGCAGTCCTGGCACAGCGATATAATTTATTGACCTGCACTTCTAATTCATTTTTCACTAATTGAGACTTTTTTTTGGGGTTTTTTTTTCATTTATGCTTCTCTTGTAATGATGTTGTGGTGTTGGTAAAGCTGAGCGCGTTTAGTAGACGGTGTTGACATCGGCCTCCTTCTTGTGGAAAATGTAGACATCCTGGTAATACATGTTTGGTGTGTACCACACGTGCTCGTCGATTTTCCTGTCGAAGGGATAGCCGAATGGCAGCGAGTCCACGTAGCGGGCGCCAGAGCCAACGCCAGCGGTGATGTAGTGGTCGTAGCCGGTGTACTGGGGCACCTTGGGGGCGTAGTAGGGCGTGACGATGAAGTAGAACTGGAAGGGATAGCCACCCTTCTTGCCCTTGGGCAGCAGCAGGCGGCTGGGGAAGCCATTGTGGGCCTCAGTCATGTCCAGAGGGAATTTGTTCTCGCCACTGAAGGAGGTCATCACCCACTTGTACAGCTCGAAGTATGTGGTGCGGTCCTTCACGAACTGGCTGAAGTAGATGGAGTCACGCACGATGACGTTCTTGCCGACCACCAGATCGTAGGGGAAGACATCCAGGAGCACGAAGTTCTCGCGGTTCTCATTCACATCGTACACCACACCGTACTCATCGACCTTGGGGCCAAGGTAGACGCGCACGACCGACTTCACGGCCTTCTCGGACTGCACGGTGAGCTTGACGGTGAAGGGCAGGTGGTTGAGGCGAGTCTGGCGGGCCTTGATCACGAAGTCCTCACCCTGGTAGTGGGCGATCTTGCCGAACTTCTTCAGCTGCGACTCTGGGAGTTTCTCATCGTACACCTCAACATCGACGGCATTGGTGATGTCAGCATCGAACTTGTCGAAGTAGGTCACCAGTTTGTCGATCTCAACAGTCTCGATCTTCACTCCGGGGAAGTAGATCTCCTCAGTGGTGTAGGATGGGAGCTTGTCCTTGAACTGCCAGTAGAACTTGATGATTTTCTTGTACAGCTGGTAGAAGAGTGGGTCACGCATGGCGGTTTCGTAGTGCTCAAGCACGCTGGGCACGACATCGTAGTTGCCGAAGTAGTCAACGGTGTTGCCGAGGAGGATCTTGGCGAAGCGCACGATGTACTTGTAGTAGCGGTTGTTCACAGAGTCAGGATTGGACTGGATCAGATTGCCGAGGTACTCAATGGATTCGGGTTTCGTGAGGTCAACGTGGGTTCCGTCAGGTAGATAGATGAAGCCAAGGTCGATGGCATCGCGGATGCGCTGCTCATATGTCCAGAGTGTGTCCACATCGTAGTAGAACTCCTCAGTGTAGAAGTTGTAGTAGTTGGGACGGGATGGGAAGTAGACGCCGTTGTAGTAGCGGAGGTTGGGGTAGTAGCCAGTGTACACGGGTTCATACCAGCTGAACTCGGGGATGTGGCCGAGGTCGTTGGAGAGACGCTCCAGGTAGTAGCGGGCGAGGATTTGCTGATAGAAGAAGAGGTAGTATTCACCGCGACGGTCCTTGTACAGGTTGAACTCCTTGCCGCCCATCCAGAAGGGGTAGTCCATGTGGTAGTAGTAGTGGTAGGCGTTCAGACCAATGTCCTCCGTGAAGTAGGACACCTTCTGGTCAGGAGTGGTGTGCACATACCAGCCGGTGTAGTTGGATGGGATGATCACAGTGTACACATCCTCGACCTTCTTCATGCCATAGAAGCCCTGCATCTTGTACTGCTGCGCCAGCTGGATCACCTCGCTGTTGAAGAAGTAGTAGGGGTAGATCTCATAGGGCGCGGGCAGCTCGAGTCCGGCAAAGTCGGGGCGGTGGAGGACGGCAGCAGTCAAGGCGTACACAAACATGCCCTCGTTCACGTGGAATCGGGCCCAGACCATCGACTTGTAGAACGTGTCCCAGTCCTTGGCGTAGTAGAAGACGTTGAACAGGCTGATGACCTGGTATCTGTGTGTGTCCTCAAGCACAGAGAATACTTCATCGAAGGGAAGCAGTCCGTACTTGTAGTAGGTGTAGAATTCCTTCACGGCCGTCACGTTGGTGTAGTGATCAAAGTAGTCCTCGAATTTGAAAGCCTTGGCCTCATCCCAGAGTTTTGTGTGAATCTCGTGCTGATGGACATGCTGGAGCACCTCGAAGAGAGCCTTCTGCTTGTACAGGAAGTCCTTGTCGGCGTACTTTACCGTGGGTCCGGGCACGACGTAGCCCATGGCCAGCGTGGCGCAGGCCAGCACAAAAATTGTGATGGATCTCATCGTGGATTCAGCACAAAATTCACTCTGATGCCCATCCAATGCCACCGCCACCGTATTTATACTCTGCCCAGCGAAATGACAATCGAAGGTTATCGCTCAATTCTCCTTCTTAATCACATTCTCGCGCTCCTACTCCCCACTTTACAATTACCTTATCAGCCCCCCAAAACCAATTTCCATGCGGTGCAAGATGATATTTTTGCCAGACACAATTAATGTTGGGAAGAATGTCACAAACATTCCCAGATGCTGTGCTCTCTTTTTGCCTTCAACCACCCTGGGTCGACGGTGAAAGAGCAAAGTTACTGAGGAAAGTTACATTATAATTTAATTATCATACTCCAGAATTGCGATTTATGCCAACAAAGAGAGAGAGAAAGCTTCGCACGCAAAAAAACCTCATCATTTTTGGCCCATCAAAATACAAGCTGTCTCATGAACTTTGTCACACAGATGCTTTTTTCCGCACCGCAGAAAATGCTCAATTTGAGATCCATCATTGATATGATGCTGACAAGAAAATAATGCTTGGATTTTTGTCACCATTGATCTCAATTCAATTTGTTTTTCCGGCAAAAATATATCACTGATTTTGTACTTTATTATATTTTATATTCACAAGAGCAGCGCTTGCAATTTTCTATAAAATAAATAATATATATTTATTGTATTTTAGCTATATATTCCCTCCGCGGGACAGTAATTCTCTAACAGGCTGTTTAATCCGCCAACACACAAAACTCCCTCCTCTGATATGATGTATGGCATAAAATGTGGAAGATTTATTTCTATTTTTGGCTATAAATTTAATCCGTAGGCGTATCGAGTAGCAAAAAATGAATATTTAGTGCCAAACTAATTAAAACATTATGGTGATTGTGGAGCCGTAGTTAATCTAAGGGTTAGCCAACATCAAAGGGTGACACTCTGGGGGCGCACAAAAAGCGATCACCACACGTGCTTTAATGTCCATTTTGCGCTCTTCTGAGGTCAACAACCGTTCATGTGTTTTTATGCTGTCTTATCGTCTATGCTCCATAGTTTCAAAGTCATGCAAATGCTCAAAATTCAGACATACAGGCATCACGAGTTATTCACACAATTTTATTTTCTCCTCTCGTAACCGTCGCAAAAATAGCAGAGCGAGTGAGAGCGATAAGGAGACCTTTTTTTTCACCATTAAACAAACAGATCATTTTCTTCTTGGGGGGAGTGATTCGAGTGTTGCGAAGAGCAACAAAAAAAAAGGTGATGATGGGAGTAGAAAAAAAAATGCGAAAGATTGTCCAATTAACTCACCATTAAGTATCACGTCTGATAGAATTGCCCAATAGAATATGAAGAGATATTTCTTCTTCCTTATCATTGTTGAGACGGAGTCTGTGAAAATAAGCAAAAAGAGAGGAGAGTTAAGAAAAAAAAAATGTGTGGCGATATGCAATTATCAATTGTTTGCTCGCAATGTTGGAGAGCAGAAAAAAAGCCATCCTCTTGGTTACATAATTGGATGCACTGCATGAAATTCACACACATTTATCATCGCATGATTTTTTAATGCCTCTCTCGAGCCATATTTGTCATTCATTGGGCATAATGTTTGTCACTGCAGCTCTCATTATACTCAATCCCAGGATCAGCTTAATCAGAGGAATTTTTTCTCTCTCGAAACAACGCGTTAAATTGGGTTAGTGTTGTTTGTCCATTTTTGCTGTTGCATCTGTGCGAGTTCAAAAAACAGACCCTTTTCCTGGGATGATCGGAAAACAGAAAATCCATTTCGCATGCATAACAGATGATTAATTAAACATTTCTTTAGTGAAGAATTTATAGATAAGAAATGAGAGTGTTTTTTAGAGAACGAGACATTCAGATCGCGCTATTTTCTAATAAATCCGGCTTCTTCAGTCATTTTCAACGTGACTTCTGTGCTTTTTTTTCTCCTCATCTATTACTACCTATACTTTGTCATTGACTTCTCCCTCTTCTCACCCATTTTGCGGAGAAAATGAACTTTTAGCTTAGTAATTGTGGTTTTCCCAGTGTCTTCTGATCCAATCATTTCTCATTCTGCGTGTGGAGTCCTTTGGATTTTATTATGATTGAAGACATCACCTTTAATATAATTTTTATGTATTATTTTCACGTCCGCAAAATTCATATTCCATCTTTTTCTCTTTCGTCTCTCATGCGTTGCAGAGGCCCCACTTCATAAGAGATATACGCTTCTTCCTGCCCCCCCGAAAACTGGGCGCAATATTATATGGGTGCGAATGAAGAAGTAATCAACGGCTTGGCCGATTGCGAGGTGGGGTTGGGGGTTGTTGGGGGGTGTGAAAGAGTGGTTTTGCGAATGAAATGGGAAGTCTATGAATTGTTATAGGTTTACGTGCCTCCTCCAGGGGATGGGTGGACACCCCATAAAATCCTATTCCACACATACATTTTCTTCAATGTATTTTTATACATGGCCCCATATTAGACGATATTATGTAATACATACATTAGTCATATATTTTTGCGCCTTTTCTCTCTATCCTTTTGTGTTGGATGCTATTCAGCCACTTTCAGCCCAGTGTCGCTGTGGGGTTATGGATGCGGTATAAAAGCTCTCTCTCTTGCTCCTTAACCGCGTCAGAGGAACAGTCGCTGTGGCGTAGCGTTGAGAGATAGGATGATCTATAGATTGATACAGCCACTCTGACGATCATCCGGCTGCCTCCTCGAGAAGAATAAATGCGTGTGGCGAGAATGATGGGGCGCTATTTCGTGTCATAGAGAAATTTCCTGGATGCTCTCTTCTCACTATGGCAATGGCATGAAGATGAAATATCTTCACACAATTTTCACTTGATTAATCAATTTCATTGGCGACAGTGACAATAATTTTCGATTACCCAGGGAGGCAATTCTCATGTGTGGTTATTGTTGCTGTGGGTACTGTAATCAACAGACAAACGCGTATAAATATGAATTAGTTCACATTTTGTCGGCATAGAAAGTGGCATTTACCCTCTCTTATCGTAACCACCCAAAAGAGCTCCGCTATTTTCACTCACAATTTAGCCATTTCAATGAATAGCTACATGGATAGGTGCTTTTCATGTAAAATGTATCCACACAGCCTCGAGCTGGCTCACTTTCTACCTCCACACGGGGGAGGAATTGGAATGGGAAATGCCATAGAAATCAATTGGCTAACCCACACTCCCTTTTTGCTATTCTCACTGGAACTTCTGACAATCTTTTCACTTGAAAAATCATAAGAAGTCATCCAATATAATTCGTGAATTTGCAATAAATTGCCAAGACTCCAGTGACTCGTTCCATGCGATTGCGCCCAATAAAGTGCACAACATCTTGATTAATTTTTGCCCAATAGACGACGAGAGAGAGAGAGAGAGAAAAAGAATAAGATGGTAATTAATATTTTTATTTTCATACCGTAAATAATTTATGATGTAAGGAGAAAATATTTCTGGTTTGTTCAATTTATGTCCCGTCTTATTTTCTGATCCAAATCATATTATATTGATTTTCATCATTTTTCCTTACAAAAGCGCCTGTTGTGTGTGTGTGTGTACATAATTCTGCTGCGATAATTTCCAATAAAATATCCGAAATGTGCATTTGACGTACTGTTATTTGGCTCTTTCATGCCAATGCGAAAAACTTTTGTAACAATCACACAGTTTTACTGGAAGGTTGTAAAAATTGAGTAGCTTGTTATAAAATATTTATCATCTCTACGTGGATTTCTTGGCGAAAAATGACATCATCCCAGAATAGATTGGTGGGGTTTTGGGGGGAAAGGAAATCTCCTGGTAATTTTCATACACAATCTAACAAGATTTGGTATTTAAATTAATATCGAGAGCCTGTGTAAACCTTGTATAATATTTCCTAAATATTTGATGAAGTGTGCCTCTCTGTACATGCATAATATGTCTAATGTGTATGTTTTGGTATCTCTACCCAATTATACCAATAAATTAGGATATTTGGTTATAGCTGTATTAATATGCTTCACGATATAATAATAATATGGATCGAGGTGGAATTCTTGGCATCATTTATGCAAAATTGATTATATGTCGAAAAACTTTAACCAACATTTCCATACTAAAATAAATTCCGATACAAAGTCTTCAAACACGAGCATATGCAAATTAAATTTCGTTGATTAGTTTTCTTCAATTTTCGACGAGTGACGTTCATCGTATTTTCACTCAATTCACTTTGGCGCGTTGGGTGCGGAAAACATTCCCATGTTTTAGTGTTTGTGCAGAACAGAACGGAGAGAGAGAGAGGAATTAAAGCAATGTTAGATACATATATCAAATGTTATTTGTTTTAAAATTGTAATTCATTTGCATTTACCATATACATACACTCTGTTTTCTCCGCCGTTGCACGAAAAATAAACTATAACAAAGTTTTCCAAAATGTTTTGTGAATATTAAATTACTCATATATCTCACTTTGTACCCGCAGTGCCACCAGAGAACCACTCCACAGGCGTGAGATGACTCTCTCTCACTCTCTTTGTCCTCGTTTCACTTGTAAATATTTTACTGAGACATAATGAAAGTCATGTTATTCCGGACCGACGATGGAATCAAAGCGAATATAAAAGTGTCCTCGGAGATTCAGTCTCTCCTGAGAGGAACGTTATTTAATGGAATTAGGAAGAAGCTTTTAGAGCAGAAAATAGCCGAAAATTTCCTAATAAGCTCTCTCTCTCTCCTTGTTTCCGCTGGAGAAGTGATTATGACGCTAGTTCACCTGAGAGAATTGGGTCAAAATATAAAAGGAATTGTGGTGGAAAAAGATAACAAGTGTATTTTACTTTGCATCACACTTTGTGTCTCTGACCTCTTTTTTGGCATGAGAAGTTGTATGAAAAACAAAGCAATACTCACATATAAATAACCGGATTCATATACATAAATTAGTTGCAACATAATCCCCTTGTCCAGCATCCCTAATCCATTCACCGAGGTCAATTTCTATGCCAATTTATATTCACATTTATCAGACGCAAACTTGCAATATTCTCGCCCTTCTCGCATTCTTCGGGGGTTCTTGAGGGCGCGCCAAAGAAAAAAATTCATCAAAGTGATATAAGAAACTCTTGAGTTCTTCTCCCTATCTTGCGCAACATCCAACATTCCATGATGATTTATCTAATTGTAGTCTATTGAAAATCTTCCCTCTCGGGGAAAAAATTACATAATCCCATGTCCAAAGTGGAAGAGAGAAATAAAATATCGGAAATGATTCCGAGTAATCAACAACAATATGTTATGGTTGATAGTAAATTGGTGCGATTAGGGGATTCTCCTCTCATTCGGTGAAGGCGCCATCGGTGGAGGGCTGCAAGGGTGGACGTGGAGAAGGAGTGAAAGTACCATTTTATAAGATAACACACACACACACGCGCGCGCCCTGGAAAGGGTCCTTCTATGGCGAAAGAGATTTTAACTGGTTGGAAGCGATAGAAGAAAAATCTCACTCCTTCTGTCTCTGTGCATATCGAGAGAGAGATTGCATGGGAATATCCACACTAGAATCCTCCACTTGACCCACAACATCGCCAAGTGTCTAGCTATATGTTGACCGTGTGTGTCCTCACGAATGCCAGGTACTTTGCCAGAGGAAGTTGTTTTAAATCCATATTGAAATAAGAGATTTAATTTCCGTGCTGCTGTTGACTATTGCACACGGCTTCCACTCGAACAGCAGCTAAGCATTTTCGAATGCAGCATATAATAATTTTGAGCTCGACATAGCACAACCACACCAGTTTTCTTCATCTTATCTCAATTGTTTTGCGCTTTTAGTGCGATTTCGCATGAAGTTATGCAAAAATATACGAAATCTGGTGGTTTAAAGAGTTCATTTCTCAATGCAGAGCTTTTACCCGGCGTCTCCACCAATAGTATTGCTTCGAAAGTAATTTTATAGTTTCCTTCCATTCTTTTTCAATTGATTTTGTGTACATTCCCAAAGTATCTCACACCTAATTGCACCCAGAAGAAAGGACTTCAAAGGCACTGGGCATCTGAGAAAGTTGTGTGTGTGTTTTTTCTGTGCCAGAAAAGGAGTCAGTCACTCGCAAGGATGCCCGCCTTACTCAACACTTGTCTTTATTTCACTTGTGTGTTTAGTTTCCTTGGGGCCCATCCCCTCTGCTCATGAGATGCTTGGGGGTGTGGGGCAAACATGGAAGTTTGCTGGGATGTTAGAACATATCAAATGAATGGGTGGATGGATATCAATAAACGGCAGGAGACATATTGTCTGACTCACGGACTAGACAAATAACTGTTGTCGATTTGGCGCTTTAGCACAAGAGATCCCTTCCTCTATCTTCGTCCACC